AACATGGATTTTGCAGATGATAAAGTGAGGTAACCTGTTTTGAAGTCTTGCATAAGATCAGCTGCGGTAGACACGATTGACATCATTACACCACAGGCAGCTAGACCCGCGATGACACCACCATCACTTCCTACTACGGAAGCTATTATGAAAAGCCCGATCTTTCCGTAGGTTGATGCTAGACTCCAGTCCGTGAGCCCGGTTCCATACGAGTTGCAGAAGGCGAGAGCTGGTGCTATGAAGTAAGAACACAGGACAAAGTACCATTTCAAGGGTGGAAATATCAACGGGATAGTTGCGGTTGAGATAGCTGCTAGACCAACATAGCCAGAAACCGCAAATCCAAGTGGTATACGGTCCTTGAGAAACACTTCATCCCTTTTCTTCTTTACCAGCAGTATCTCAGAGGCTTCGCTGTCATCTGAATTAAGGAATTGGAAAATATAGAGTTTCAGAGGTTAATAGTCTTTGGAAAGTGGCCATGAGAGAAAACAAGATATTGGTTACAACAAGAGCATGTGAGACCATTTTACCTACAACGTTGGTAACAATGGGGAGATTGAGGTGTCTAGAGCTATTGCTGCATAGTTCCTTCACAGTGACGAGGATGATCTTGACAAGATTGTAGAGACCGTCCCCAAGGATAATGGCAATGGCGATAAAGACCTTAAAAAGACAGGAATGAAGTAAAAGCATTAATACTTGAAACTTGTCTGTTTTCCTCGCTTTTCACATGAATCTGTGCTTTTATTCAATGGTTTCTAAAAGAGCTGCTTATACCGTACCTTATACCCGTAGAGACCTTTGAAATCGTTGGACCCAAGGTCAGCTGGATACCAATCACCGGCATGCTGTGATACAAATGGCCACAGAAACCCCCAAGAGATGATCGCACCGAGAAGAACCGAACAGTTCACTATATGGGGGCATATAAGACCACATCCAACATAAGTAGGACTGAAGTCAAAGTAAAACCTGCGGGGCAGAAAATCAGGATTGGTTAAAAATTGCACTAAATTACCTCCAAAAAGTATTATACAAACACATTCCAGCTAACCGATCCTCACTTCTCACAAATCATTATGTTAACCGTGGACTTTAAAGCTGTATCAAACTGGTTAATATGAACTTACGTGTTCTTGAATAGCGTCAAACCAAGGGTGGGGAAGTTATCAAATCCACATGAATCTCCAACACCACTGAAGAACCACTTGAAACAACTCCAAACAAAGCTAAGGCTCAGGTATTTTCCAAGACATTTGACCTGGTTCCTGTAGTGAACAATGTTACAGGCACACGTTCAAATAAACACAAGATTTGATTAGAGGAAACAGAGATTGAATGACTCTTGATAATTACCCTGCAAGCTCAGCTCCAGAGTTGGTGTGGAAGCTGTTAATCAGCATTGCTGTGGCGGTCCCACTGGGATATGTAAGTTTGTAGTCCATAACCATGACCTGAAAGAAAGATAAACATATGAGTTAGAAGAAGGATCCAGTAATAGTGATAGGAAGCTACACATTGATTTTTGTAAGATCACAACATTTATATGTAGAGATGCTACCTTGCGTAGTGGAACGAGACTAAAGAGCCCCAAGAAGCTAACTACGACTAAAAACCCAATCATCCACCACAATCCTGGATTAATAACATCCTCTGCGTGGTTTCCAGGATAATCAGCACCAATGAGCTTGTATGTCTTCTCATCCATAGCAATCAAATATGAACCAAATCCTCCTGATATAAAGAAACAAGAGTAAGAAAACGTATGACCAATCCATATCAATCCTAAACAATCATTTCTCAGAAGTAGCTACAAATCACTTCAACAAATCCAACGTTGTGATTCCTAGTTAATCAAATAGATTCCTGATCAAACCATTATCATCCATTCTTAGTAAAATCCCACTAAGCTGAAAAAAAAAAACACAAATCTAGAATAATATGTGTACCGCTAAAGGCGAGGCCGTAGCAGGCGACAACGCAAGTCTGGATAACGGTGTTCTCTTGCTTGGTGAACGGCTTGACGGTAAACCCAAGCTTCGACAAGAATCCGGTCCACGACTTGACGAAGAAGAAGCCGAGTAAACCGGCGGCGACGTTCAACGAAGGGATGATCCCGACCGTCAGATTGAGCTTGTGAGTGATGATGCAGAACAAAGTCCCCAGCAAGGCGCTCACAGCCAATCCTCGGATCGTTATCTGCTCCTTCCACTCAGGAACATGCTCATCATCGTGACCTAACGCCGTCGCGGTCTTCTCAGTCCCCGGCAACAATGACTCCGATATCTCCGCCGATCTAGGGATCTCCGTCCCCATGTTTAGCTACTCAATCCGGGAGTTTTCTCAGCAGATTTCACCAAATTAAGCTTGGAATTTCCCGGCGGGTTTTTCCGAGAAAATGGTTCCGACGATCTAGAGAGAGGGAATCAGAGAAATTGATAATGGCGGAAGAAAATGTAAGTTTGACGAATTGAGGTTAGTTATGGAAACGATGTGCTGAATCTCCAGATTAGACGCTAAGTAGTTAGAAGGTCGAATTGGATTGTGCCACGTGTATATTTATATTCTGTTACGTTATTGTGCATCGAACCGATAAATTTTCTGTTGCATGGATTGAATACGAACCCATAACCATAAATGTAATTTGTTCTTTTCTTCTTTTTTTTTTTTTAATGAATGTAAAATTTTATTCATCAAAAAAACCTCATTTACAATGAAATGCTTTAGCGTTTTGAATTTAAAGAATCAAACAATTTGAAAATTTCTGAAACTTGATGCAATTTAAAAACTCAGTGTAAGTGAGTTGGTCTTGTGGCGAACCAGAGAGTCAGCCCCTCATCATATCGGTGGTCTCCTTTCATTCTGATCGAGCTGAGCCGGTTTCTGACATTCTTGTCAATGAGCCGATAGAGTCCTGCAGGTGGCATAGGTTGCTCGCCATACCTTCGTCTATTTCTTTCCCTCCAAATGTGGTAGATAGCTGCCTGATACACATACCGGAACAGAAATGCTTTTGTTCTCCCCATTCCGGTAGTCTCAAGGAGAGTGATGATATCGCTCCATGAGTTGGTGTAGCTTGCAGCGAGAAGATGTCGGGTAAGTTCATGCCAAATTCCTGTAATTTGTTCTTTTCTTTGTTCCTTCTCGTGTTTAGAACTTTTGGATTAGCAGAGGACGCAATAGTTTCCTTTTTTTTTTTTTTTGTCTTTTGTTTTGCCATATTTCAACTAAATTTTATAACCGTCGTTTCATACTGTATTGAACTTTGTTGGGCTCAGTTTTAATATCGGGCCGTGTCATTCTATTTGTTCTCAACATGTATTTTTACGAAGCCATCAAACCCAGTGTACATATTCCGTGTACATAAGAAACTTAACGAAGTTACACGCTATTTTTGTTTTCGAAAAACCTTCACTTATTAGTTACTAACACAGTAACATAATATATAAGTTGTTATCTTTTTCTTCTTTGTCGTCTGATGTGATCTTTATTCTTAGCTCACATTTTTAATGAAATTCCAAAATCCATGTTGTACCAGTACGATAAGCTCCAATGATTCAAAATCTGTAAGAGTTCTACAACACGGTGTAGATTGATTCAATAGCTTTACTTAGATAGAAAATAAGTTGTTGTTCCTGATATCTCAAATGCGTCTATCATTTTATAAAATATTTACTGTCATATTTGAAACTCCATTAGTGGTGCGATATATGAGCGTTATGCGTGATGTTATAAAGTTGTAACCAATATATTGTTGATATCATCCAATCATATGTTTGTGTCTCGATGCTATACTTCTATTTGTGCACATTCAGCAATCACAAATCTTGGTGGCACACAAAATTGCAAACCTACAACTACATGAAACGTTATAAGAGGTTCAGAATACAAGATAAATTTGGGAACAACCGAACAAAAAAGAAACTAAACACATTTTGATTAAATATTTCATTTGTCCGTTTTCGCATGTGAAATACTGCAAACGATAATTGAGTGTACGGTACAAAGCAATCCCATGTGTAGTGTATCGATCGTAAAGATATCATAACTCATAAGAAGAAGAAAGCTCATAGATATCATTTCCCCATGATTATTGCATCGATCATAAAGTATGCTATAAACCTTTGTGAACCCAAAAAAAAACTACGTACTAGTACTAGTGTCGGTGACGTGGCAGAGACAGGACAAAAACCCGGTCGCAAAGATAGATTCTCTTTGTGCATGGACTAGAGACTTCCATTGCTTGCACGCCTTTTATTTTAAGATTTGATCGAAAACAACATTTCCTTAGAAGATATATCACTTTCCTTTTTGGGGGAAAAAAAGTATGCAAGAATGAACAGTACACAAACAGACATGAAAGATAACTCAATAGTTACGACCGTGTTGTGTCACTTCATGTCATGTCATGTCGATGCTGTACGATTTAAACACGTGGCGGTTTGTGAGAGAAGTTCACAAAACATGTCCAAACAAAAGAGAGAATCAAAGTAGTGGGAGACTCTCTTTAGTCTCTACCTGGCCAGAGACTTCCGTATTAATAATCCCTTTTTAAGTTTTAGCTCGAAAACAACCTTTCCTTAATTTTGTAAAGTCCCATCATACGTGAACGTGCTTATAATATATATTTCAGACATTTCCCACGTAAAGAAAGTCCGATTAAAACGCAAATCACACGATCACTGTTATGGTCCTTATTCTTTTTTCTTTTCTTTTTTAAAGGAAGGAAAGATTGTTATGGTCCTTATTGATACTCATATGTACGTGGTTCGAGTTATAAACTTAGAATATTATATAGATCCTCAACACATTACGACAGAAGACGGACAATACCAAAAAAGGCTCATTTACTGTTCTAAAACTCAATGATAAGACTCGGATCCTTCTAGCTCAAACTTTGACCTACTTATATCTACACCTATATATAGTCCCTAAACCCTACAGAAAACTAAAGAAAAAACAAAAGAACCTGATACTAATTAGGAAGTGAAGATAACATGAAGGTGAGTATATACATATTCCAGTTTCCAAAGTCTAATAAAAACGTTCTTTTCTTTTTGAATACTATTGAGCTATAACTGAACTTAAACCTATCGCTTGTAGCTGCTAAGTTGGATGCGCACTATAAAGCAAAATGGCGTAGACCCATCAAAGGAGTTCAAAGGTTTAATAATATTTTACTTTTATCTCGCATAGAGCCCTTTCAAATAACATATATATATTCATCTTAATACAATGTTATACATATGTCTTTTTTTTGTTGTAAATTTATCCATGTCAACCTATCTTGCAGGTGATTTCTGTTGTCTAAGAGCTCAGGTTTCCTCTGAAGTTCAAGACATCCGTACAAACTCCTTCTCCTTCTCCTTCTCCGGACCATCTCATGACCCGAATCCACCGGAACTTGATGACGAACTCCGGTTTGATAAAAACGGGTTCAGCGGATTTCTGGCGATCGGGACGCTTGGCAGAGATCCTGAAACACCGAAATTCGCAGCTTTGGTTGCAGAAGAAGATGTAGCTGGAGCACAAAAAGAGATGGCAAAGCTCATTACTGAGAAACTAGACAAGTTTCTTGAGGAATACCCTGAGGATACTAGCAGTAAGCGGGTACAGAGATCGAATGCAGAAGGAGATAGAGAATCAGATGTACGTCCAACACAAGGTTATGATCTCTTTCGATCCTCGATTGAGCTTACGAAGAGAAGCAACAAAGTAAAGAAGAAGAAGGGTTTACTGACGAGCCTCTTCAAGAGAAGAAAGACAGTAGAAGGAGAGTGTAATTCCATGGAGAAACATGGCACAGGAGATTTGATTAAAAGGATATGTGCAAAGCTCCATGGGTCTTCTACAAAGAAGAGAAATGATGATGATGCTGTAGATTCTACTCCCAAGAAGAAAGATCTCAGAAAGGTTCAGTCTTTTTAGCATTAAGCATTTCAATCTTACCCAAAGAGATTGGTCGGATAATTCTGATAGTAATTCATGTAGTTTTTGTTTTTGGGTTATAGAGTGTTCAAATCCTCCGAAGTAAAGTCCACCCCGTTCTCTATGCACCTGCAGCAAGAGAGGATAACAAGATAGATGGCAGAAGAAGCTGCATCAACCGCTGCGATCTCAACATCCCGAATCTTAATGAAGGGTTTCTCGTTTCGAGTTCCATCTCTGAAGGGAACAGGAAAGGAGAAAACTGGATCAAGACTGATGCAGAGTGTAAGTCAAGATGCTATACAGAACATTGAACCCAAAGAACACTATTTGGTTTTATTTCCTCTCTCTCTCTTTCAAGAGTTTTCATATCGTTTGCTTGCTTTTGCAGATCTTGTTCTGGAACTGTGAAGACCAACACACATTGCAACAAACCTCCATTGATGTTCCAAGCAATCTGCTATCAAACATATATATATATAAGTCACTGTCTATTAATGTTTGTAGTCAAAAGGCCATGTAGTATAGTTAAAGGCAATGAATAAGAAGCTTCATTTTAAAAAAGGTATAGTACACAAATTTAAACAGCATTCGAAGTAGCAACTATACGCAATTTGGCCACAGGTGTTAACCGCTCATAACCGTCACACCTCTGCTCCAATTAATCACTGCTAATTCTAAAATGTCTAGCCGATAAATCCAGATTTGACCCTCTTTGCCTCTTGAGCTTGAACTCAATCAACTACTGCAAGCCTCACAAGCAAAAAAAAAGATTAGAACCTCTGAAACTTCACTGGGTCCAGTGTTATGGATCAAGAGAGAAAAAACAAAACAAAAAGGAAACCCAAACTACTAAGAAAACTATCAAGTAGACACATATCTTGATATCATCTTTAGGCTACTTTGTATCAATTTCTTTAACAAAAAGCAAACACTACCAAAGAGCATAGAAACAATTGATTCAACAATTAAAAAGAGAAAGAAGCAGCAAAGTTCATAAAAAGCAAAACCAATATAGAATACAATACCTTTCCTCGTAATCTATCACTAAGCTTTAGTATCTTAACCTCTTCTTCCTTCTCCTTAGCCACAAAGAAAAGCCAAAAAGACTCGTCAATCATCTTCTACATAACTCTCTTACTTGTCTCCATCTTCATCTGCAAAAGAACAAACACTCTTTACACACACACAATTACCAAAGAGATCAAAACCGTTATACATGAGCGCGGATTGGGGACCGGTGATTGTAGCGGTGTCTCTGTTCATCCTACTATCACCAGGACTTCTGTTTCAGCTTCCCGCGAGGACGAGAGTTGTTGAATTCGGGAACATGACCACGAGCGGTATTGCGATTTTGGTTCACGCAGTTATATACTTTTGTATACTCACAATCTTGGTGATTGCTATACAAATCCACATCCATTTCTGATCTCTGCTCTTATATCATGTGATGTAACAAAAAGACGGCATTTTTATTGCAAACTCTAATGTGTGTATAAATCTCTCTAATCTTTGTCCTTTCTTTGGCTTCATTGTTCGCATGTTCTAATAAAGCTTCAAGCAGGATAACAAAAAGTAGCAATTTTTACCAATATATAAGCAAGTAAAACAGAGTTAAAAGACATTGTTAGATGACAAGTTTGAATTTTTTTTCCCCGAAGATACAAATAAAAAAGAAGCAAAGTGAAGTAACGATACAATACAACACAGCCCTTTTCACCAAATATGTTTGTTCATTACAACATCAACACAAAACTGTAGATCTAAGGTATATAAAACCCCTAAATTTACAGAGTTTCTAGACCCAATTCAAAAGGGTACCTTTATTTTAATCTGGGGGAAAACGACAACAACAAAAGAGAGAGACCCAGAAGAGATCAGCCAGTGTAGATGTGGAGATTAACGGCGAGGATCAAAATGGAGTAAATGGCGAAGAAGATGAGAGTGTGAACAGCGATGGCTTTTCCGTTGGTTTTGAGGGTACCGAAATCTACCGCTCGGTTGTTTCCGGGCAATGAGAAGAGAAGTCCCGGCGATAGAATCACGAACAGGATAACGCCGACGAGAACCGGAGCCCAGTCCGCCATTGTTGTCGTTTTTTGTGAGTGCGAAGGTAAAAAGGTTACACCTTTAGAAAGCGGTGCCTAAGAGAAAAAGACAGGAGGAGATGGAAGAAACTAGAAAAGAGGAAACATATGGTAATGGGTTGATTTAATTTTTATTTAACTAATCTCGTGATTATCAGTAATCTAAAGAACTTAGGAGGGAACAAAAACTACTACAAAAATAGTTAATGCCAATTTAATTGTTTTCTATTAAGTAAAGGACTAACAAAAGGAGTGTTAAATATTGAAATATTTGCTCTCTGAGCTGGTAGTGCACCGACCCACGTCATCCACCTCACACTCACTCAAAATTAGTAACTCTTTTTCTAGTTTCTAAAGCCTTTGGCTTCTTCTGATTGTAAGTTACTTCTTAGTTAAGTTATGTAGTACCATCAAATCAGTAAAAGTTTACCATATTCTTAATCTTACGAAGTAATCTGAATGATAAAAGTGAATACAGTTTTCATGTGAATTCTTACAGTTAATAATGATAACTAATTTGGATACTTAATATACCCTTTTCTGATAGTCTTTTCTTCATTAAAATAAATATATTACGCTTCGTTATCTCTTTGTCCCTCAATCTATTAATCTCCACTTGTTTTTTTTCTTGAAGCTCTTTTCTACTAATTGTGGTTACTCCATGTAAGCTGGATTAAATTACCCGAGAGGCCATTGAATGATCTTCTTCGGTATTTGGTTGGGTGTTCAATCAATTGCTTTCGTTTGACTTTGAAAATGTTGCTTACAAAATATCAAAACCAAGTTGAATCGTGTTATTAAGATTTTAGGCTTTGGCTCAATTTGAAAAGCATTTAACGGCCTCCTATTTATTCGGATCTTTTTTACTATTAATCATGAATGTTGGAAATCAGATGTCTATTACATAGTTTTGAAATCAATTTGTTTCTTATACCAAACAAAACAGTGAATTTACACACAATTCAAGTAAAAAAAAAGATAAGAATTTGACTATTACACTAATACAAAAAAATGGAGAGATTTCTTGTTTTATTAGATTAGGCGATATACATGTGAATTTGGAGAGCGAGCAAGAGGATACAAACAAGAGTGAAGTAGATGAGAGTATGAACAATAACCGAAACACCACTTGTTTGAAATGTTCCAAACTCAACCACTCGGTTTTTCCCCGGAATCTGAATCAGAACTCCTGGAGTTAGCAACACGAAAAGCGTCACCGCTACAAAAACCGGTCCCCAATCAGACATCTTTATCGATCTTCTCCTCTCTTTTGCTATATATTTTAGAGAGAGATGTATAGTTGATACTTGATAGATGTAAATGCTTAAGTGTGAGTATTTATATGTGCGGGAAAATTGTAATGGGTTTGGTAACGCGAGCTGAGAAAGTGAGAATAGAAGATTAGGATTCTTTTTTTGGAGAGAATAGAGTGATCCATTGGTTAATGTCGGAAGAAAGAGTGCTTTGGGAGGAATGGACAAATTTTTGTGACTTGGAAGGATTAAAAAGTGGTTTCAAGAAAAAGGAAGAGATTACGATGATCATCAAGTTGTGTGAGGCATCGAGGGGATTCACAATATGTTTGTTGGAATGTGATGTCACGTGGTATTTGCTTTGGATCAAAGAAAACAAATATACAAAAGTGGTCGTCGGTCCACTTATTTTATGGTTTACTTTAATATCAATTATTTATGTCTTTATTGGAAATAACAACAATAGTTCCCCTATTTGGGAATTATTACTAACATCTTTATATAACACGGATGAAGCATTAAGGAAGCAAAGAGATTGGGACAAGTGTGTATATAGCCTCGACGTGAGCCGTCAAGGTCCCGGTCCATCCATCATCGGCGGCTAACAACAATGCCTCTCTCTTTCTTTGTTTTTTTTTTTTTTTTTGTGAATCGTAAAGGAACTGATTGATTGGTAGTCAGTATGCCACGTCAGCGTTGTAAGAAAACACAGGAAACCAAAAAAAAATAATTGTTGACAGTGGGATTTGAACCCACGCCCTTTCGGACCAGAACCTTAATCTGGCGCCTTAGACCAACTCGGCCATATCAACTTGTTGTCGATTTGGAATCAGGGCCGTTTTTAAATAAACAAATGAAAAACATTATTCCAGCATGTAAATGACTTGCACATGCAATTATTAAGAAGAGTAATTGTGGTTAGAGCGTTCATTGAGAATGGTCTCAGTAGTGGTTAGAGCCTTGCATACTTTGATCTTAACGGTACTTAGAGGTAATGATGAGGAGGTCAAGAAATGATCTGTTTACATTTACTTCTAAAGAGTTGATCAGTATATGTAGGTGAAAAGAGAGAGAGAGACTCAGTTTACAGATTGAAGTGGCCTGTGAGAAATGAGAAGCTATCTGGTTCCAAAAACTGGTGAAACTCTTCTTCTTCCAGCTTCCTCCATTTCCTCTCCTGTCAAAAGCGATGCCTCAGGCTCGAAATCCGCACCTTCTAGTTGTTTCTGAAGCTGTCGGAAACGAAAATAAAAGAAAGATTCAAGGAATGCTACAGCAATTTGGGATCATTAAGAGGTCATGAATCAGTCCTAAATAGGCTCACATAATTCCCAATTTACCGGTAAGTAAGACAACCAAAAGCCATTGTCTTTTGGAATAACTTAAGGCTAAAACAGTCTTGCTATTCGTGTTCATGTAAATTAATCTTCATGCTATATTGCTAATAATCAACAAAAAAGTGTCAAGACCGTTTTTTTTTTGTTAACCTTTTTAAGGATAGCAGATTGGTCATCCAGAGAAAATTTACGCATATACTTAAGCATCTCCAGTTGCTGCAGTAAACACATTCGAATATTTAGAAATTGAACTTTCAACAGAGTTCTAGTAAATTATACAGAAGCTGACGTAACCTGTTGTTGTAATTGTTGTTGTGCTTTCATTTTCTGTTCAAATCCATCTGGTCCAAGCTCAGCTTCTTCACACGCCATCTCCTCCCTATTTAACTGTGTATTAGCCCTCGTGTATAGTAAAACCTCATAATCTAATAGCTTACGAGGGTAACAACTTAGTAAGATCACTAGAGGAAACAAATTTCTGATAAGAAAGTTATCAGTAACTCTCAGAATAGAAAAGGAGGAGAATCAAGCTTACTTAGAGAGGAACTTGTAGAAACCAATCATCAAGTCTTTATCGTTTTCATATGCCGAATTCAACTTCCCCAAGCATCCAATACCAAATCCAGGGTCTGCTTGATCAATACACTTTCATTAAGAAAACATGTGATTGGTGTAAAACAGAATAGCCAATAAAGGTAAAAGAGAACTTTACCAATTCCCATCTCCAAAAATATTTCCTCTTGAATTGCAGTTGTAACGGCTACAGCTTCCTGCATTGTATTACGCATCAAACAATGTAGCAAATGTATAAACATCTTTTGAAGTTTCGTTTACAGATAAAACTAGATTTTCTAAAAAGCCATAAAGTTCAGATAGTAAAACTGAGAATCCACAGAAACAAAACTTATAACAAGTAGACTCTCCCAGGCATGTGTACTGCAGCAACAAAACCAAAGTCTCAATTACCTCACAAAACTTAAATCAAATCTATATCTTATTCACATGCTTAGCCAATAACAAGTGCCATTTACACAAAAATAAAAACACCCAATTAATATTATCTCAACCAATTTGAAAACGACATAACTCTACCAGCAGTAAGCATTAATCGATAGCTAATGCATAATTGAGCAATTAAAAAGCTTTCACCTGTTTATCCTCAACGGCGTCGGAGATTCTTTTCTTCACATCTGAGATTTTAAAAATAAAAATTGCAACGAATCAATAGATAAATGGATTCAGAAACAAAAATAAAAAATAAACACAATTACCAGACTGCGAGGTCAAATAATCGAATCGATCAAATAGATAAACCATTTGCTCTTTCGTCAACATCCCAGAGCTTTGCAGCAACGCCATTGCACACACAAACAAAAAAAGCTATCTTCGGAGCAGAAAAAAGTCAGGAAGCTCTATATTATATCAAATGACGAAAACACCCACTTTCACTAATGTTTAGATGGATTCCTTTTTCTAATTACATTATTGCTTATAATTTCCCCATTATCGATTCATTTAAAGTTTCAAATTTACTAATACACTAATTGTATACCATGAAACCCGAAATTATGGAGATAGAGCTACTAATAGTATTTCATTAATTAAAACGAAGGTAATACACGGAAATATTACAATGATAAAACAGTGATAAATTATAGTATTAGATCTAAAAATCCTCGTCGAGCGAGAAGACATGATTATCAAACGCGCCGTTTCCGTTAACGCTGGACATAACGGAAGCCTTTTGGTAATCACCAACTCTCTTCTCGAAAAAGTTTGTTTTACCCTGAAGCGAGATTAACTCCATCCAATCAAACGGATTAGCCACACCGTAGACCTTACCGTACCCAAGCGCACCCAAAAGCCTATCCGCAACAAACTCGATATACTGACTCATCAAGTCACGGTTCATCCCCACCAACGCGCAAGGAAGCGCGTCGCACACAAACTCCCTCTCGATCTCGACGGCGTCGCAGACGATCGACTTCACGCGCTCCTCCGTGAGCTTCGTCCTCAACAGAGTGTAGATGAGGCACGCGAAATCGCAGTGTAAGCCTTCGTCTCGAGAGATCAACTCGTTGGAGAAGGTTAATCCAGGCATGAGACCACGTTTCTTAAGCCAGAAAATCGAGCAGAAGCTACCGGAGAAGAAGATACCTTCGACGCAGGCGAAAGCGACGATTCGCTCTGCGAAAGTCTGAGATCCGTCGATCCACGTCATCGCCCACTGAGCTTTCTTCGCGACGCAAGGGATGGTTTCGATTGCGCGGAAGAGATGGTCTCTCTCTTTGTTGTCCTTGATGTACGTGTCGAGGAGGAGACTGTACATCTCCGAGTGGATATTCTCAATCGCGATCTGGAAACCGTAGAAAGCACGCGCCTCCGAGACTTGGACATCGGACATGAATCGGGAAGCGAGATTCTCTAGGACGATTCCGTCTGAGGCGGCGAAGAAGGCGAGGACGTGTTTGATGAAGTGTCGCTCGCCGTCGTTGAGATTCTCCCAGTCGCGACCGTCTTGTGATAGATCGACTTCTTCCGCCGTCCAGAACGATGCCTCGGCCTTCTTGTACATCTCCCAGATCTGTGGGTATTGAATCGGAAACATACAGAATCTGTCAGGGGTTGGAGTCAGAAGCGGCTCCTCTGGCATGGAAGGCATCTTTTGATGATTTGATTTGGAAGGAATTGGGAAAATCGATGAAGAGGTTGAAGATGTGATTGATGGGTTTCTGATGAATTATGGGATCTAGGGATGGATATTTATACCCGAAATCGAAGGGTTTTGGGAATTTGAAATGTTTGAACAGGAGAGGGAAAGATAAGGAGGGAATCGTTAAAACGTTTGAACGAAAAGCTTGTTGGGGAAGATGAGGGCTATTATCGTAAATATGCACTGAAAACTTTGTCCTAAGGTTTATAATTACGCGGGGGAAATAATAAAGTTGGCGCCAACATTCGATAAATTCGCCGGTTTCTAAAGGGTAAAAACGATATTTTGTGGAAATTCTGGTCAAGTGACGCGAACGTATGTGGTTCGCGTGTTCTGTTGTGAGCCACACGCGTCTTCGTGTGATCTACGGTTACTTACCCAATTTAATAAACGGGATCACAAATTCGACCTGACCTAATTAAATGTGCCTCGAGATTTTAAAGCCCATTATTGAGCCCAATGGACTTTCCGGAGTATCATATAACGCCACAAAATCAAATCGAACCCAAAATTCGTTAAACCGAAACGGAAGTACCATCGAATCGGATGAATTTGGGTTAAGTTTCGAGTTCGGGTTGTATTAATAATTTCTGTCGTCTGAGTTAACAATGAAGTTTGTAATCTAGTGTAAATACACACTGTAATATATATCCCTCATTCTCAAATACCAACGAGACACTAATAACAAAACACTATTTTATGATTTATGATAGCCACTTAAAACAAAACACTATTTTGTGATTTATGATTTTCTCATCCATCATATTGCGCATAATGAAGATAGAAGTTGATTATTTAGTGTAAATAACTTTTGTAATTTATAGCATCTATAGTGTACAACACATAAAAAAATTCATCAAAAACACACAAAGTCATGGCAGAAATGTTGCTTGGTGTTCAGTGTTCTGATTGGTGCAGCTGGATTAAAGAAGTTGATGGGCACATTAGTGGCGAATCTTCGTCAAAATTTGTAATAGAGGAAACTAATTATCAGATAGGTAAAACTAATGGTTTGGGCAAGGGATGGATTATACTAGCATGCTTAGTACTAGTGGGGTTTGTGTTCTTGAACATAAATAATCGAAATTAACCATTGACAATGATAGATGATAAACATTGAAAATTCCTAAAAATGTGTCAAAGAATTTCACAAACTTTGTGAAAACTTCAAAAACGATTTGTAAGAACCTTAGAAATGAAAAATCCAACAAAAACTCCTATTTGAGTGGATTAAACTTATCGAGGAGCTGTTGTAACAGGGGCATTAGCTTTTGCGAAACCGACCCAAGCAACAACGCCAATGGCTAGAATCACCCATCCCAACACATCATACTTCACATCACTACTTCTCTTACCCTTCACTACCTGTTTTAAAAAAAAAAATTCATGATCATGAGATTTCAAACCATCGTGTCCATTGCATACATCATATATTGAAATGAAATGTGACGAAGTAAATGAACATAAAAAGAGAACCTTTGAGCTCGGCGCTGCTGAAGGTCCATCGCCACCCAATGGTTGTGAGCCTAAGCCCTGTCTGTGAACCTCTGTGTGCAGTAGCGGAGCCTGTGCTTAGTACCAAGAGAATAAAATCAATTAAGAGAACAAAAAATTGAGATTGGCTTTAGAAGCGAAATGCACAATTCAGCTGCAATATTCTTTTTCCTACGAAGGAAATTAGCAGTAAGCACAAAAGAGAAGAAATGCGATTAAAGAACAAAACTTCGAGACTGGATTTAGTGGCAGAATACACAACAAAAATATATACAACTGATGGTTTCTATGGTAGGTAAAAAATGATTCGAGCTATAGAGAAGTACCTTGGCCGTCATTTCAAGTGATTTTAGGTAGAGTTCATTTTCCGGTTGCTGCAAAGATCAAAAATTCAATCTTTTTTTTCATATTAAAGATTCAAAACCACAACACCAAAAGATCAGTATTAACATTGATTATGAATGAAAAAGGCGTATAACCTCATCCACAGCTTGTTGAAAGAAGTGAGTAGCTAAGTCAAAGTTATATTTGGCTTCAGTCTCTTCAGGAGTGAGAAACGCAAATGAAGTGTATGCATTGCCCATGCACCAAAGCGCATCATGTTTCTTTGGGTCAATCAACAACGCCTCTTCAAGCTTACTTATGGCATCTACACAAACAAAAATGTATTGTAATCAATCCCTAGATCAGAGCAGATTTTTCAAGTTTCAAAGCAAAATTTTGATCATAATTAGATCCCTAAGAATCATAAACTAATTATAAACATTGTAGGAATTTTGGTTAGTGTGAAGATTAACAATACTAAAAACTAAGGAGATTACGAGTACCTGAACTATTACAACCGATTTCAAATAGATTTTAGTAAGCGATTACCAATAACCAACTTTTGCATATACTGTATATACATGTATGGTAGCAATGGCATTTCAACAAATCTGAACCAATTTGATCATATTAACACACAGATCCCACATTTAATCCCCAAAAAAGACGAAGAAAATTAAAGCACCTTGAATAATTTGCTTTGAATCTGAGACGTTATGAAACTGAGCTACCTCCAGTAAAGCTCCTCCCCATCTCGTCAAGTTCTTAAAGGAAAAAACAAACGAATCACTTAAATTGCGCCATTGGAATCAGACGCAGAGATCAAACCCAGGAGGATTTAATCAAAATGTTTGTCAAGTAAATCAATCCAAATATCGAACCAAAAATATCGTAATATAGAAAGCAAAACCCAGTAAAAACAAAATCTGAAAAAATCATGAAGCGAAGATAAAACTAACATCGGCATCTAAAGGGTTTTTCACGTAGGTTGCTTCAGCGGCTTTACGAATTTGTTCGAACAGAACCAGCCTATCGAACTCAGCATCCGTATCCATGGCTTCTCAAATCTATCTTATAACACTTCTTCTTCTTCCTCTCTCTCGACCTTAAAATGACGCGAGGAAACAGAAAAACTTATCAGAAAGCGGCACGACGAAACGCTAGAGGGAGTTACAGAATTTTTGGGCCACGTGACTTCATTGTAGATGGGCTGATACTGGGCTTATGGAATTTAATTATATTCCTTGTATTTTGCTTGTGCAGCCCAGCGTTTTCAACTGCTTGCCGTTTCGATTGTATACGAACTCTTGGAAGTTTCCATATGCCTATGCATCAATTCTAAACACCAGCCCGAACAAAAAAAAACAAATTAGTAATTAGCTAGTATGACCCTCTTATAGAAAAATATAACTTCGTCTTCTAGTCTCACACACCATGCCAAATTGCAATTTTCTTCATTCAGATTTTGTCTACAAAAAATGATAGAATTTCGATGAAATAAAAAAATAAAAATATATGTGATGAATGTTAAGTCCAACAACTTTGTGAGATTGCAAGTTGCAACGTGACTAATCTCACCTGCCACATATAAATCACAGAGAGGAAACAAATCAACAATAGTTTATTAACAAATACTATATGAAAAAACTATAAAGTTAGAGCATCACATGAAACAAGGTTAAGATGTTCCTGTTTGTTCCCCTTTCTTTCATTTTAGATTTGTCGAATCGAACTGATATTTTAATCATAAATGCATGTACACTTAGATTATATAGAGGTCCCAAAACTAGATACTTAATTTAGCATTATCTTAAGTATAACTAGATAATGATTATTGTTTTTTATTAACTATAAATGTAAAAAGTAAGTATGCACGGAGATTCAAAGTTAATGATATATATATTTTTTTCAAATCAGTGATGATTAGTGGTCTAACGATAGATAACTCGGATTATTAGTCGAAGGAATTGAGAGGATTGCTACTGCAGTTTTTTTGTAACAAAGGTTATTCAATCTAGTGCGTTATGTGTTAATTTAGACATTCATATATAACATGTCTTTTTTGTTAAAGGACATTCATAATATGTCTGGATTTCGTTTCTCATTTATCTAGTTATGTAGAAATTAAATTAAAGCTTGTTGATGAAAAAAGTGGTCGAACTAATATTGTAATAATGATTATCACATGTGACTCATTACTTGAAAAAGTAATACTATTTATTTATAATTTATCGTGACATATTGCAAAAATAATCAATGCTTGCTGGTTAGTAAATATTCAAAAAATATTGAGAAAATATTACAATATCATGTCGGCTCATTGACATTATATTTAATTATTTAAATTAAAGGTTTTTTCCAACGTTACTATGCTATTTATTCTAATAAGATTCCCGATGACAAAATAACGTATTTTTTCTCAGCAGGTTATTTATTCGTCGTATATGCTTCTTCTTGTCAACTTGTTTTTTTCTTTTTGGTTCTTTTGTCAACTTACTTTGGAGGCACGTGCATTTCGATGCTGCTGCATAATTTAAGGACGCTCAGTGAAAAATTTGAAACCCAGATTATAATACTGCATTAACTTTAGTCTAAAGCGTCAAAATTTGAAGTTTTTAATTTTTAACATTCTTTTCAATCCTACTATAGATGACGGCTCCTGTAAGTCTGTAACATTTAAAGTACATACAAAAAATCCACAATGGATAGTTTTATATGTAATACTATTAATTATTCGTCGACAAAAAAAATTATGTAATATTAATATATACTATACAAAAAAAGATTTTATATGTACCATGTTCACGGTGAACAATTTTATGTTTAACATAGCATTCCACAAGATATTATTTTATTTACAGTATGTTGAATTGATCTTATTAATAGACAATATTTGTATTTGAACTTAGGACTTGATGTATAACAGTAAAAGCACTAAATTTTGGGTCAATACGAATACTGTAGTAACTAACCAAAAGGAGATCTTTAAAAAAAAAAACAAAAAACTATCAAAGGATGTCTTCTTCATAAAAAAACAAAAAACATAAATTTCAGACAAGAAAATATCTAATTCTGATAAGAAAATTTTGAAATGAAATATTTATTTTTTTTTTTGGTCAACAGAATCGGACGGTCGAGAAAGAGTCAGCTATAGTACAAACTCGATCCAAACTTAAAACTTGAAAGCTACTGAGGCGATGACGCGTGGTCTATACGACAGTGGCAAAGAACGTAATTAAAGGGGAAAAGAAGGGGCTATTTGGGTGAGTAAGTCTGATAAATCTACACAGATCCAGCACCATTCAGGACCATTTCTTCTCTCAATTCTCTGACGTGTTTCCTTCTTCGGTTTCTCATCCTCACGTCCGGCGGATTTCCAGGAAACGAAGCTAAAGGTGTGTTTTCTCTTTCTCTCTCTCTCTCTCTCCCTCGGCTTCTATCTAGAATCCCTAAATCTAGTATTGCTCTTGCTTTCCGATTGTTGATGTTTATCCGTTAAGATTCTCTTCCAAAATCTATAGGTTTTTGCCGATCAGTAGCTTTGGTTTTCTTAGCCCATGAGTTTAGTTTCATCGTGTTTTTGAAAATTGGTGAATCTAGGAGCTCTTTTAAAATCTGACGCAAGTTTGCGTGTTCATTGGATGATTAGGGTTTGCGATTTTAAGTTTAGCTGATGCGTGTGTTTAGATTTCCTCGGCTGAAGAGCTTCTGCTTCGGTTTTGGAGCCGCTTTGATTTGGTTAGTTTTGCCTGTGAAATGATCAAAAGGAAGAGAGAAAATTTGGGTGTTTATTCATCTTTTCCGAACATGGTCAATGTGATTTTGTATGTTTTTCGAAGCTGTTTCGAGATAGGGATTTATCTGAATGGTAAATGTGAAAGAAATTAGTATATCGTGTTCATATACTCTGCTCATTCTTTGTAAATTATCTGCAATGAGGTAACACAAATCTTTGTGTTTGTTTTGCTTCTGCTAGATTTCGAACTATGGACAGCTTCTGGCAATTGGGTGATGAGCTCCGAGGTCAGTCAAGAGCATCAGAGGATCACAAATGGTCCACAGTCGCAACTAAACTGGCTGAGCAAACTAGAACCAAAGGGGAACGAACGAACAACCTTGATCTCTCCAAAGGTTACACTGAGTTCAGGCCAAGCGACAAGTTTAGTTTCCAGGAGAACAACCTCAACTTCAACATGTTGAATTTGGGAGGCAAATATGTGGAAAGCATGGGCAAAACTTCGACGCAGACCAATGGTTACAATATGAACAACGTTTTCCAGAAGAATGACTTTAAAAGTGCAGGCAACCCCAAAGCTAACAAGTATAGTGGCAATATTGTTACTAACAACAAAGAGCTGAGCAACAACAAACACAGCAACAATGATAATGCAAATATGAATTTGGCTGTTGACAAGAGGTTTAAAACACTGCCTGCATCGGAGACATTGCCTAGGAACGAAGTTCTCGGTGGCTACATCTTTGTTTGCAACAATGATACCATGCAGGAAGACTTGAAACGTCACCTCTTTGGTAAATTTGAATCCGCTTTCTTAGTGTTTTACTTAAATTCAGAATGTAATTAAATAATTTTTGCTTGGCTTACATCTGCTTCCCCTATGAACTCATATAAATATTGTGTCATTTGTCAGGTTTACCTCCGAGATACAGAGACTCTGTTCGGGCAATAACACCTGGGTTGCCTCTGTTTCTTTACAATTACACCACTCACCAGCTGCATGGTATCTTTGAGGTTTGTTCTCGTGTTTCTTCTTCTGTTATTTCATATCATATCAATGGTTTTGGCATTACCCTTGACTGATAATTTGATTTTCTTTATATTCCATGACAATTCCTGGTTTAGGCCACAACTTTTGGAGGTACTAATATTGATGCAACTGCTTGGGAAGACAAAAAGTGCAAAGGAGAGTCAAGATTTCCGGCTCAGGTGAAACTTACTGTCACATTTAATTTCATCATGTAGTCTTGATCTTGATATCTTGTGCCAATTCGACTTCTTTCTCGTGAAACTCAACAGGTAAGAATCAGAGTGAGGAAAATCTGCAAAGCTTTAGAAGAGGATTCTTTCAGGCCTGTTCTTCACCACTATGATGGTCCAAAATTCCGCCTTGAGCTATCTGTTCCCGAGGTGCGTGCCCATATACGTTTGGTGAATAAGAAACAAGAAACATAAGTGAATAAAAAATGCTTGAATGGTCTCATGAAAGTACATCATAGTAAAAGATGGCCAAAACATATCTAATTTGAAAGACGATCTTAGACTTGCGAAATTGTAGTGGTTGCAAAAAAAAAGACTTGTTCAAGACCAAAATTCTAATTTGTCTTTCAACTTGTGAAATTGAAGCGACCAGCTAAGTCTAAAGTTGGAACTTGAGTATCCATGGATTTTGAGTTTGGAATCACATGGAGAACTCTTTGATGGACTGTTCTGTAAACTGATTATGTGTTAACTATGATGTTTGTTGCAGACATTGGATCTGCTAGATCTCTGCGAACAAGCTGGTTCGCCATAAGCCGATCGACCTTGCAATGCCACGTTGCGAAGGAAGGGGAGGTTTTTGTCTGAAATCTATCTTTATATATAAATATATATAAAAAATACCATAAGAGCGTAAGCTTTTGGGATTTAGTTTACTAAGAAGAGACGAGTGTGTCTTGAGGCAAGCAAAAGGGTGAAGAGGCTCTGCCGAATAAGCGACTACTCTCGTTCGTGTTGTGTCTAATGTGTGTGTGTGTCTGAGTTTGTGAGAGATTCGATACTCTTTTGAAACAAAGATTTATGTAGAAGAATATGTAGAGAGGAAGTGAGATTAAACAGAGCCAAAAAAAAATGATATGAGCTACTGTTTGTGTTTGCTTGTGTAAGGGTAAAAGAATGTCCTAAATGACAAGTTTAACTTTTTAAGCATCTGAGTTACGATCTAACTTGTTAGTTTCCTGTCTGGCTCTGCTCTGGTTCTGCTGCATAGTAAATCATGTGTTTACAAAACATTTCCAAAAATACCTTTCTTTAACTGGGATTGGAAGGGTTGAGAATGACTTTCTTAGACCATCTCCAAGTATACAGTGGGGTTGTAGTGGGGTTGTAGTGGGGTTGTAAGAGTTTTTAAGTATTTAAAAAAAAATAAAAAAGGAAAAAAAGCTTAGAGCATGTACATTAGTGAATCCTTTTAAGAGGTTCACTAATGGGTTCACCAGAATAAAATATTATTATTTTGTGGTTTTAAGTTTTTAGAAGAATCTGTGTCAATTTCTAGGTTTCATTGGTGAAGTTTATAATAGGATTCATCAAAAACTAAAAAAAAAAATTGATGCAACAATAAAAAAGTGTCTTGAACCACATGAAATTCGAATTTGCAACAAAGATTTAGAAACTTTAAAATTGATGCAACATACACGACAAGATTAGCCTTTTTTATTAATTTGATTGTACTACTTATTTTAATGTATGACAATTTTACAAGCAGGCCTTTGAAACCAAAACAAGAGTAGAAATTGCCTTTCTCAAAACTTAAGTTACTTGTCTCCATCTTTCTTTAGTCGAACTCGTGATGAAAAAATTCCGATCATACAATATAACTTAAGACGACAAAACCGTTGCAGCCAAGAAGCAAAACTTATCGGCTCTGAGGTTCAATGTTTCCACTACTGATGCCTTTACTAAATCATAAAGTGTGAACATTGTTTATATACAGATAACAATAAAACAGGTCATGTATTTAAGATAAAAACAACAAGATCTGCAACTATTCTCTCATTTTGCATCATTTTAATTCTCTCATTCTCAACTTAAGCAGCACCACCGGCATTGTTCATGAAATGGGAAATCCATAGCTGTTAGATCAAGAATCGATTCAAGTTAAATTACAGTGAAACAGAGTCATACATACCTCATCCCAAGTGCTTGAAGTCAGTGGATCAGATGTTGTAATGCTTTTCTTCTCGATGTTATCAGGTTCATCGCCCAATCGGATTACAGCCATTACCGAGAGCAACTTCAAAGACTGAAACAAGAAACCATACAAAAATGTTCAGACTTTCTCAAGTCTTATAAACAAAACGTGAAGAGGAATAACAAGGTCAAGCTCTTCTCGAAACTGGTTGTTTCCCTTCTTCTTCCTCTTTTCTCTTCTTCTCCACTTCTGATCTGCTCTGGCGTTGCTCCTCCACAACCGTCGAGGCTTGCCACAACCATGACATTCTTGACTAAACCCACCAGTGGTCTCCACCACCTCCGTGACGTCTCGTTCTCACTCTTCTCCTTCTCCGTCATGAGACTAAAGAACACTCTCCTTTTCTCCTTCTCCTCCTTTTACTCCATGAAACACGATCAGTCTGCTTCTTCTCCTCACTTTTATTCTCTCCTTTCTCTCTCTCAGCCTCAAGAGATTTCTCTTAACATACAAACATGGTTGCCTCCTTCGTACAGATTCTGGGAATTAGCATAAATGGTATCAACACAGAGAGAACACCTTCAAGCTCGGATCAATAACAAAATCGCAGATAACACAACTTTACAAGCTTCTTTAATTATTCCAAAACGTGAATCATCACTGTAAAACTAACAGCAAGCTAACAAAACAGATCAATTGGCAAATAAATAAGCTGACTTTCGGTTGCAATGCTGACACAGAGAAAAGGGCAATGAAAACTGCGGTTCCATAAGTTGATTTTCTCATCTGAATTAGCTGTAACAAGAACCCAAATATACTAAACTCAACACCAGAATCTAATAACATGAATTCTGGAGCGATAGTTGGAAGGAAACAAAATCAAAAGATACTAAACTCAATACCAGAAAACATCTTATAACAGTTCCTCGATCGATTTCGTTCGTTTTCCCCAAAAGTTATAACATTTTAACAAATTACAAAGGAAGAATAATTTAACAAATTACAAAGGAAGAACGATTACTTTGATGATGGGAATAGATACTCGATGCTCGGATTACAATACCACCGGTAAATTTGACGGAATCTCCGATTGATTGAAAATCGTCGGGGAAGAGAAAGAGAGAAGAGAGTTGCGATGGGATGAAAATGAATTTTGTCCGAGAAAAAAAATTTATCGCTCAAAATTACACAATATTTTTGCTTCAATCAGGTTCTTCCACGTGGTTAAGAGGCGAGGTCTTCAGAGTCTTCAGGATGAACCGGTTCATCCAATATAGCCTTTTTTCTTTTATTTTTAATTAGTTTTGCCTATGAAACTGGTCCATGAACCTCAGGTAAACCCTTGATGGACATGGTCTTATATCTCAGGTTCATAAACTCTTGTGGAAAAATTTTATTTTAGTGAGTTAATAATACATGGCACCATGTAATTGGAAGAAAGAATGATAAAAAGAAATAAGCAATATTTAATATTTTTTTAAGATGTCAAATTTAATATTAAACAATGTTTCTCTTATAAGAATGAGAGATGGAAATGCTCATGTTTTTCAAAAGCACTCTGGTACTTTTGAAAATATCCCAATTATCGATATTGATATTTGAATACAAAATTATTTCTGTTTATCACGGAACTAGTGCTTTCATGAACATTTCACACTTTCATTGATTTTGTAGAATGTTTGATAAAGAAACACCGTTATTAAAACAACATTTTCTTTCTGATGCATCGTTTCATTTCATACAAAAAAGAGTTGAAGTAGGAAAGCCAATTCTACAAGAGCAAAGATGATACAGTGACAAAATCTATGGTTTCTGTCTCTAATTAGTGTTGGCCATCAAGGAGCAGCTGATACAATGAAGTTCTGAATTCTGTTCAACAGCTCTTCCTTCACAGAATCTGGTACTGAAGCTGCACATACACAAATAAGATCCATCGAAATAAAGTCAAGCTTTGTAAATAACTAATAATCGGATATCGAAACTGGTTTCTGTGTATAAGGGTTCGTTAACATTTACCTCTGCCTTTTGGAGTGATGACTCGTATTAGTTCATCGACAGTAACATCTTTTCTCCCTTTCTTCTTTACATGCTCCCTGCAATCGAAAGAGAGCTTCAAATGTAGCTAAAACCATACCCAAACAAAGATAGGTTAACACTGTTAATTCAATTCAGCTATCAGAACAAATGAAAAGTTGATATCAAAACTCTTCGTTAAGCATTTTCCTTGACATAGACAAAAGGGATTTTGACGTTTCTTTGAAGCGTTTTGCTCAAACTTTAGAAGCTGTTACGAAACCCTAATCATCCACCAAAAACTACTACCAACTTTAAAGATTGATCTTATCTTTTAATTGTTAAAAGTAAGATGAAGAACCTGCAAGCAATTCTCATCTCATCTTTCCAACCACACTCCACCAATCTATCTCTCACGAGCTCCATCAGATTCTCCTTCTCTCCGCTCTCCACCATCTAGCCAATGAATTTTCAAAACTTTCATCAAAAATCCAAAACAGTGGTTGACCCGAAACAAGAAGCGATTTCGGAGGAAAAACAATCGGAAACCTTCGTGTTGATGCTTTCTCGAAGCGTGAGCTCATCTTTCTCGTAAGCGTCCGCCACGTCTTCATCAGGTGTCGTAGGCCGATTCACTGAGTGCTTCCTGATAAGAATCAAAGCCACCATTACCAAAAAAAAAAAGAAAAAAAGCGAGAAATCGAAAGAGGAAAGTGAATATTCAGATAAGAATAATGCGAAAGAAGCAAATATGATTATCTTATACATACATGTGCTTGAATCGATCGATCGATCAATAACAGGAATCAATTATGATAGAGGATTTTTCCAGAATCTCCAGCAAAGTATCGCAAGAAGAAGAAGATGAAAGTAGACGGCGAGATAGAAACCACTTGTTGTTTAGTAAATGGGCCCTCATGAATGAATCTGAAGCCCAATTTTAACAAAATAATGTCCACAAATAAACGACTTTGCTCGGCTTGAAAACAACGTTCAAAGAGGGAAAGGTCAATTTTCGCGCGAACTATAATGAAAGCCCATAAATGAAAGACCAGGCCCGCCTTCACAGAAAACGACGTCGTTTGGGAAGAAAGGAGAGGAAATTAAACGGTCAACGGGAAAACGAAGGCGCGTCAAATGCTCACCATTTAACAACGGTTGTGGACGGAAAACGCTTTTCGTCTCCGAAGCGAAACCGCAGAGACCAAATTATATTATCCTCTTTTCGTCTTCGCAAAGCAAACCGGCGTAGATTAGAAAACCAACAGGGCTACGCTACGACTTCCGTCTCTTCTTCTATCTCATGGCTGTCTCAGTCTCAGCTCCGGTCTTGTTTCTCTGTTACGATCAGAGCAGCGAATTGTCTCGTCGTATGGGATACAGAAAACCGAAGGGATTCAGTTCTGGTCGCAGTTCACTGAGCTCCATCGGTTTTCGGTCGGAGAAGGTTGGAAGATTGAGGGCTAGGGTTCCGATTTGCAGAGCGGTGCCTCCTCTGTTGTTCAAAGATCTCGATGCCGATGATTTCCGGCATCCTTTGGATAAGCAGGTGTTTTAGCTCTCCTGTGTATAAACTATTGAGTATTTCTTCGTTTATCAGCTGGATGATCGTAATTGGAAACCTTAGGACTTCGATTTCGCGATAATTCCTCCATAGAGTTTAAACTTTGATGCTGTGAACTGAGTTCTGGTTGGTTAAGATACTCTTGTGTGTTTCTTCTTTTGGGTTTCTTCTTCGAATGATTGTTTTTTCTTTTTGAAACTATATGATAAGCTGCTTGATGAAATTTCAAAAGTTTGATCCGCCACTTGAACTGAATCTAAGTCTTTTGCTGCAGAACACGTTGTTACTTAGAGCCATTCCAGGGTTGAACGAATTCGGGAAAGCTCTCTTAGGTGAAAATTTTCTTCTTATTTAGTGGCCTAAAGGCTTTGATGAATCCGAGATTTGATTTATCGACTCCGGGAATGTTGTAGGGTCAATGACGGAACAGATCATGCTTCTTGAGAACATTGGGACTTCCGTTCTTGTCTCCAAGAATCAGGTTAGTATTTTTCGAACAATGGCCTGTGGACATTATCTAATTATTAGCCTATCAAAGAATAGAAATAATGCTTGTTGTATTTGCTGTTTCAGCTCTCTGATCTTCACGGTTTGTTGATCGAGGCCGCCGAGATTTTGAACATTGAAGCTCCGGATCTTTATGTCCGGCAAAGCCCTGTTCCAAACGCGTATACACTGGCAATAAGCGGTAAAAAGCCTTTTATCGTCGTTCATACCAGCTTGATCGAGCTTCTGACTCGCGAGGAGCTACAGGTTCATAATATTTTTAATACAAGTTGTATGCTTTTTGATTGGAACCACACTCTTGAGCCTGACCATAGAGACTTATATTGACCAATCAGGACTCTAGTGTCACAGAACAGTTAATTTCACCAAATTCTGACAGTTTTTTACCTCAAAATTAGGCTGTCTTGGCTCACGAACTAGGCCATCTGAAGTGTGATCATGGCGTGTGGCTCACATTTGCAAATATTCTTACTCTTGGGGCTTATACAGTTCCTGGTAGGTGCTTCACTCTTCTCCAGTTGTGGTGGATCGCTTGTAATTTCTGTCCTGTGTCCGTCTGACAAAATTATAGTGATTTCATTCCTAAAATCTGTTGGTTAAGTAAAATGAACTGACAGAAGTTTAATTTGCAGTGCTAAGTTGAATTCTGTTGTTTGTAGCTTTTGGGCAAATGATAGCTCGAACCTTGGAAGAGCAGTTACTTCGTTGGCTCCGTTCAGCAGAGCTGACTTGTGACCGTGCAGCTCTTCTTGTCGCCCAAGATCCAAAGGTACCAATTCTTAAACCATCAATGAAACTTAAAAAACAAGTATGTTCCAAGTTAAGACATAGAATGCCTAGTGATGTTTCTTCGTTCCTCGTATAACCACACTCATGGAGCTTCGAATTGAACAGGTTGTTGTATCCGTTCTGATGAAGTTAGCTGGAGGATGTCCATCAATTGCCGAACAACTAAATGTTGACGCGTTTCTAGAGCAAGCCCGTTCTTATGACAAAGCTTCTTCAAGCCCCTTGGGCTGGTACATAAGGTGAGAGAGTCAAAACTATACAAAAGTGATGGCGACAATTTTGATTATTCTAACTTCTGATCACTTCTTGTTTGTTTACATACATCCCTTGTTTACAGAAATGCTCAGACGAGTCAATTATCCCATCCATTGCCGGTTCTTCGTGCACGTGAGATCGATGAATGGTCAAGGAGTCTTGAGTATAGGAGTCTCCTGAAACGGGCAAATCGAAGAAGCACAAAGCAGAATGTTTAGTGGTGTCGTAGAATATACAGAAAGGGAAAAAACTGAAGCAAACATGTATAGGTAAGTTCCATTGAAATGTTTTGAAAATCTAAAGAACCATTTCTAAATGAATTTGAGTATTAAGTTTCTGCTTTTGTGGGTCGTTCAAGTTTTCTCTTTTATTCTTTGACAGGGACAATACAGAAGGGGCAGAGAAGAAAAAAGAGACTGGATTCTTAGGTCTAAACAGGTACTGTAAAAACTCTTGTATTTGTATAGTGGCATTGTTGTATATCTTATCTGTGATAGATGAACGTAAATGTATACTCCAGAAAACAGAAGGATCAGTGATAATATATGATAAGATTGTATACTTGTATAACTCACCAATCTCAGCCTTAGAGGCTTAAACTACCAAACTGATTGTTCCAATTGTCGTAGATTCCGAGTTCGTTCTGAGAAACCGAAGGCCTCACTTCTTGTAATGCGTCTTTAAAGTCCTGCATCATGACCAAGTTTACGAAAGAGAGATAGAAACATATTATTCTCTTAGCTACATGTGTATTCACAGAGTTTTAAAATAACATCAAATTAAATTTAACCCCAACAGAATGATAAATATATCAAAATCTTCATTTTGTGTTTACCTGAAGAGTCACAAGGCGCATGTCATCTTTCGTCAGGTTGGTTATGTCTATGCCTCGTTTGAGAGCTTCCCTTAATGGACCCATAGTTGCATCTTTCACCAGGTTCTTCATGTCTGATCCCGAGTACCCTGCGGTGACAAAATTAAAATAAATAAATAATGCTAGCTTGGTTATGCCGAACATGTGTATTTGCCTTTTCGGGTTGTGGTCTTAGGACTTTTATGATCAAAACTCCACAAATTGCCAACATTTCTACTGTGTATCTGAGTTCTTATGATAATTTTACCTTCAGTTAGGTTGCATATGATGTTCATATCATCTTCCGACAGTGCAAACAATCCATCTTTCTGTAGAAGATTCTGTATAATCCATGCTCTTGCTTCTTCAATAACAAAAACAGAACCATGTAAGGGGCAGTTTTTTTTTCAAACAAAACCAGAGAATGACATGAAAAAGTGTGTGTTATCGTTCTTCACCAGATGAGGGAAGAGGAATGTAGAGTCTCTTTGTAAGTCGTCTTCTCGCTGCTTCATCGAGCTCTTGGGGTCTATTTGTTGCTCCTGACCAAACAAAAACAACTAACAACATAAGTAATCTCACAAAACCCACAAATCTCGAACCTGCCTGTTCCAATTTTTACCTATTAGGAGAATTTGCTCGCTGCCGCTGTCGAAACCTTCCATTTCAATGAGGAATTGTGTCTTTAGTCTTCTACTCGATTCATGTTCACCATCTGACTTACGCTGTGACAAAAGGTGAAAGTTTGTTTCTCTTAGCACATGTTACATAAGGGAAACCAGAAATGCGACAACATGCCAAAAGTTGTCTTTGGTGAACCACTCTTTGTTATAGTGCTTATCAACATAAATGATAACAACAAACCTGAGATAATAAAGAATCTATTTCATCTACGAATATCACTGCAGGCTGGCGGCAACTTGCAACTCCAAAAAGGGCCCTCACTAGCTTTTCACCTTCGCCAATCTGCATTTACACTCGTTTGAATGTTAAATCTGCAGTGGACCAAAATCACTAACCTAAATTTCACGAATATCCCTGTGAACGGAAGCAAAGATGTGGAACTAACCCACTTGCTTGTCAATGAACTGGCCGATATATAGAAAAAAGTTGCTTTTGCTTCTCCAGCTATAGCTTTTCCAATCATCGTTTTACCGGTTCCCTGGCATGCAGTAGATACAGAAGTAAGAAACATAGACAGTAACATATCAACTTCAATGTCGAAAAGGATAAGGGTACATACTGGTGGGCCAAAGAGAAGAAGTCCTTTCCCAGGCGAACGACAACCTTTAAAAATGTCCGGACGTAACAATGGCCAAATGACCATCTCAGTTACACACTTTTTAGCATGCTCCAGACCAGCTGCACAGCAATAACTCATGATGAGAAACTCAGATGCAAGTAGAATGATAATACGCACTGCAGCGAAACACGTTTTTATCATCTTACTGTACCAATATCATCCCAGCGGACATTGGGGTCTCGGTCCATAATCTCGTTGCTCACATGCTCTAAAAGACGAGGTTCCAAGTTTCTCAACTTCTCGGGAAGCTCACCATCAGGACCACAAAGCATCTCCAAACTAGAACATGAACACAAACAAATGAACATGCAGCTTATCAAAGAATTTTAATTGATACAGTCTTTTAGGCGTAGAAGGGTACAAAACGCTACTACGAAATAATGAAGGCCTAGCCATCAGCTGAGCAATAGAAGCTCAATATTACAAGGATGGCGACGAGACTTGCTTATACACAGAATCTGAATCGATAAGTGCAAATGAAACTAAACACTACACCTCAGTAGAGTAGCACCATGAACAAGCGACCAAGGATTGTTTTCACATATGCAATTCATCTTCTAGTCCCATTGGGATGCATATATAATTGTTGAAACACTTTCCATAGTGTTTTAATGCGAATGAAGTACAAAAGCAATGCTTATTCTAGAAATCTAGATAGAGGCAGAGACATGTATAGCCTATTTAAGTGAAAACCCAAGAGCTAGTGTCAAGAAAGACAGAGGGAATGAGCTTATGAATTGTAGAAGCTGATGATATCAAAAGGAGCATGTGCTTCTTGAATCATAAATTTAAGAAGATACGCAACTTACCATGTTCTGGTTGAGTCATCCAGTGCATCGTCAGCCTTTCCACCAATACGAGACGTCATGTTTCCAACACTACTCCCATTAGATTTAACGGGAGGAACAAAATTACCACGGCATCCACGTCTTAAATATCCACCTGATCTTGAACAGTATCCCCTAGCTAAATAATTTTTTTCACTCTGCGGAGAAAGAGACATATTCGGTGACCCGGTTGATCCTCGTTTTTGTCTTACGTCCATTTCCTAAAGCAAAAGAAATAGTAGTCAACATCTGCCAATGGTAACTAACCGCAATTCAAATGGTTATGCTCTGCAAAGTTGAGATGACGGCACACAAAAATCAGAATAAGGATCGTACATACTTATAAATCAAGAGAGACGTTAGTCAACATATGCAAAAGGTATCACAGTTCGAAATATAAGGCTTGAAAAAGTTGAGAGGCTGATTCACAGAAAACAGATTCAGGCACATAAAACTTTAAAGCATTTAATCATAGAGTTAAAGTTAAAGATATAAGAGAAGAATAGGCCAAGATCCTTCTACCAGTTTTGTTTTGGCGGATACAAATCCATTAGCAACTCCATCTGCCTTCATTTCTCCATCATTTGTGAGGCTGCTGATTTCTGCATGAGCTCGCTTTGTTCCAAAACCAACTCCATGGCTTCTCTCGACAATGACACATTCATCAGAGGCACTGTCTTGATTGTTCATGTAATTTCTGCGCTGATTATCTGGTTTAGCCATGCTGTTTCCATATAATGATGTCAGTCTGGCTGGCATCAGTGGCTTTGATGCTTTGGGAATAAGCTTACGTGTATCCAATCGCTCTTCCTGAAACAAAAACACATAGGTTCATTATCCATGTTGGAGCAACAAAAAAAAAGATCTCAGTGCCATGTATAAAAGGTAAATTGTACGTGATTCTCAGCTAAAAGGTCGTACAATTGCTTATAGAAATCATAGTGGAAAGAGGAAGCAAGGATAGGTAAAATGGCTGCGCTTCCAAACTCATCACTAACAGCAAGATCATACAAGAAACGAAGTTGTTCACAAGAGCATTACCATCTCTTTAACACCATTTCCGTTAGACTGACTGAAATGAAAATGAAAGTATTTCGACTGCTTAATCTTTTCCACATCAAATTCGCCTTTGCTGCCAAAAATAGGGCATGGAGCTGTTTTTGCAAGCTCAAACGCTTTCCTGGAACCAGCAAGACATAAACCATAAAAAGGTACTCCAAAAATTTCAAGTGTATCCAATATTGACGACAACTGCGCTCGAAAGACTCGACTAAGCTCAGCAAAGTCAAATCAATATACTTCGAATTAAACATGCTAAAAAGGGAAAAAATCTCAAGTACCGGGCCGAATCTGAAACAAGGGCTTCCAAAGCTGAATCGACCTTAGAGGCAACTTCTCGGCGGATGGGGCCGATGAATTCACGATCAGCGTCGGTGACAGAGCGAGAATCGAGAAAACCTAGAAGACGAAGCCCAAGGATCTGAGCTGAGGAGAAATCAGATTTCTCCAGAAATTGGTCGGCACCGAAGAGCAATGATTGGAGGCGCTTCAAGTTCTCGCCTACTTCCTTCCTCCAGGACAACGTCTCCGTCTCTCCTTCCACCTTCACATTCAGAAGCGGTGGTGGCTTTAGCAGCGGAGAAGAAAACGGCGACGAACGCCTTCCCGCCATTATTATCCTCTCTAATTTTCCTTTCCGCGTCCCCCAAAATGGCCAAAAACCCAGAAAAGGAAATTTAAACTCCTTTACTGTCACAGTCTCACTAGTCATTAGCTTGAAGTATAACGTCTTGCAGTGTAATAGCGTAAATAGGAAACGGCATGTAGTTTTTTAGATATCCTATGTTTAATAGGCGGCTTTTCACCAAAGCCCGGCTCATCTCTATACTAAAAATAAGTATGTAGATGACAAATAACCACAAAATTCGATTTGCATTTTTGGTTCGAGTTTTCTGATCCTTATATAATCTGCAGAGTAATGAATGGTTAATTTCATTCAATTTTATTTTCTCTAATGTGTCAACGATTTGCATCCTAAGTTGTTTGGATTCAAAAAAAATTGTTATTTTTAACACAAACGTTTGATATTTTTTCACACAAATGCTTAAGGCTCACAAAACGAAGAAACACTGGCGTTTACCAAAACATACACAAGACGCAAAAACGCCGAACAAGAAATAGAATCCACAACATCGAGTAAGTTTCAGCGTCTTGAGACGCCAGTACGCTACAACATTTTATTCAAACACACACAAAACACAAAAAGCTACTCCAGTTTTGCTTTGCTCTAGAGAAGACCTCTTAAGCAATCATCACACAACAGTTTAAGATAAAATGATTGAGCCGAACGCCACAGCAGCGTTTAGACTCCTCCCAGTCCAGCTTGTCGTCAGGATCAGCGGATGGACGACACGTGTAAACCGACATAGTCTCGGTCCGAGATAGTCCCGACGATGCTCCAATCACAAGCAGCTTATCTCCAAGCGACTTAAACGCAACGCCCCATCCTCCATTAGACTTAGCTCTCACAGGCACATCCCCAAGCTTCTTCCAAGCGTTTGCGTTTGCATCATAAACGCGGAGCTCGTTCGCCGATGTTTCCAACGAGTAAAGTTCTTCATTCACCACGGCGATGAGCGGTGGAGACTGAGCAGAAGAGAAATACATGTCTTTGAAAATGTCCGGTATTAGCTCCCAAGTGTCTGTTCCCTCGTCGTAACGTTCTCCGCAAGTTAGGTTTTGATCATTCTCATCTCTGCCACCAAGGACATAAAACTTGCCGCGCAAGTAACATCCTGAGCAAAATTTCCGCCGCTTGTGCATTCCGTGAAGCAGCGTCCAGGTTTTGGTCTCAGAGTCGTACTTCTCGACACTGTTCACAACTTCCATAGACCTGTTCTCATCTATTCTCAAACCTCCAGCTACAAACACGACGGTTCCACAAGTAGCAGAAGCGAATAAGATTCGTGGTGTGATCATTCCAGGACCTTTGAACCACTTGTTCGTCTCTAGCTCGTAACGCCACAACGCAATGCTCTTCTCTTCTTTGCCAATGACAATCAAATGTGTTCCAGCGCAAAGCGATTCTTTATCTCCACCGAAGAAGCAAATATCTGAAGGAAGTTCAGGAAGCTTCTGGCAATTCTCAAAGTCCTTATCGAACATGGTCCAACGAGTGTCGCCGCTCGAGAGCATAAAGACAGAGGGTTCAGCTAAACCGCGTTCTCTTCTCACCTTGAATATCTCACCGCTTTTTAGTAAACGCGAAAACTGCTTACTTAGAAACTTGAGTTTCCAATACTCGAAACGCGGGACGCGTGCGAGTATCTCCACCTCTAGCTCGTAAACGAGCTGAGGAACGTTTTGTAAATAATCTGCATCCTGAGGTTTGAATCCTACCACCTCCTCTGTTTCTTCCCTATCCATATCCAAGCAAGGATCTGCGTTGAGATCAGGAATCTTGTAGCCATGAATCCGAAGCTTCCTAGGCCTTGACCTGCTCGAGCTTGAACGGATTCTACCGGAGTGATCTTCTCCAAGCGTCAACATTTTCTTAGTAAAATCCTCGGCTTTAATACGCTTTTGACATTCCCTCTCTGTAAATGTTTAACCAAAAACGCAATCTGAATCAAACAGTGACAGTCTATTTATCTAACTGCTGAATCTAATAAACACATTCATATAGAGATTTTACCAAGAACGTAGTTACAATTGGTAGAAAAACAACAACGATTCAGACTTTTATTGATGGAACAGTTAAGAAAGAGAAAAAGATTCAATCTTGGACTAATCAGATCCGACAGATTTGATTTGTAATTGAAACCGCTACTAGTTATATGATTTATGAATAATTTTCCACTTCAGGGAAAAAAAAAAAGACAATTTCTTTTAGGTAATCCGAGTTCTTACAAGCAATTAATCAGATTTCATTAAAACAAAACACGGAGCTGGGGATTAACTCTTAATAAATCAAGAAACTAATAGAGATTTTGGCTAAAATTACTGAAGAACAAATACTAATTGAACATATAGATTAAAGAGTGGGTATATATGTGTATGTCCATCCCTAGAATATATAGACCTGAAGAAAATTTTGTCAAAAGTCAAAGAGGAGAATCAAGAAACTTACAGGGGAAGACAGACCCTAGAAATCCTGATTTTGAAAGCTTTCTTCTCTCTTCTTCTTTATTCTGGTTCTTCTGCTTCTTCTTCTTCTTCATCTGTAAATAAGAAACTATAAACAAAAAATACAAAAAGAGATGACGAGGGAGTAAATATAAAATACCAAAAGGAGAAATTACAAATAAATATAAAAAAATGTATAATAAATCAGAACTTTTTGGGAAGAGAAAGGTACCCACCCTCAGTTGCAGGGAAAATTCAAGCTTGATTTAGAATTCGCCAGAAAAAAACTTACTTTTTATATTGGCAGTGATTTATTGTTTTTTTTTTTTTTCTTCAGTGAGCGAGCAACGACAAAACCATATTCGACTCATCTTTAAGAATCGCCGATATAAACTCGAAAAAGGCAAAAAGTTATGTTTATGATTATAAAATGGAATTGAATATCGTTAAGTGTGTGTGTGTGTGTCTGACTGTGTGCGAAAGAGTGAGAATATGCGTAGAAAACAAGGAAAGATAAAGGAATTTTCAAATCGAATAAGAAGAGAAGACAAAACAATATATAAAGTTCTTCTTCAAACTAAACTTTTAAAATTAGAAAATGGCAAAATCTTTAATTTCATGAAAACATTTTAAATAAGTCGGCATATAGATTGGAATATTCTACACTCACTCATACACTGGCATTCGTTATTGTTTTTTCTTTAAGTTTGCGTTTATAATATACTGTAGTTATTTACGTTTAACTATCTTGAGAGGGTTAATTAAATAAATGACTAACTATACTTTTTTTTGTAAGTCCTATTTCTCTAAAAAAATGAGAGTCATGTTTTACTCAAATAACATGATGTTTGATAAATAAATAAAACCTCATTCTTTAAAGTTTAGAGAAACAGCATCAATCCTGTGTGCTTTCCTCCAATAAAAACGTTATAATCATTCGTTCATATTACAATAATTCTTAAATCCATAATCCATAAAATATATACGTCTATATGCTGAATTTTATTTAATGTATTTTAAAATTTTCTTCTTATTGCAATACGTCCAGAAGTTTTGACCCACTCACATTTAATCTGGACACACTAATTAAAATAAATATTAAACTTCTTGATTAGTTGTTCATTCGGAGAAAAGTTTGGACATTGAGCTTAATATTCTTTTTCAAGTTTCTACTTATACCACCAAGTTCACCGCCGTATTATCCTTTGGGCTCAAGCAATGTCACTTGTAGAAAAAAAAGAAGTCAATAACATTTGTTCCGTCTTTAACTCTTTATAAACGTCGTTCAAAAAAAAAACACTCTAAACATTAAATAAGTGACCTAATCAATAGATTAATCCATGTGTCACGTCTTATGTGTTGGCTCTCCACTATTTAAGTGGAGAGGATTTTTCTTAATCCTTTTCAAGCTCTTGTTACTATTTTATACACAATGATTTAAAAAAAACAAAATCTTTCTAACTTTTCCAATGACTCTTCTTGGTTGGTTCAATGACTTCAATCAAACATGATAAAACATGTGATGTTTGAAACTGTAACACAATTTCGTGATGGTGGCCGAACACAATGCTTCAAACTCAAACATCGCCATTTGTGATGTAGATGTATTCTCGTATAGATGCATTAATCTTTTGGTCTTTGTCGTACATTGTTTTTTATCATGAATGAGAATAGAGATTACTAATCTTTTGGATACTCGGTCTCATATAATACGAATCAACGATCTTCATCACTTTGAGCGATACAGAATTGTGTTCCTATATATTTGAACGATAATCTATGGAACATAGTAGTATATGTACTATACGGATGATTTTGCATAGACATGAATTTCTGAATCATTACACAGACAAAATCTAATAAGAACATTTGGAGGATGACAATAAGCAGTCGCCATCATCATATAGCTAATTCTGAAAGTTAGTCCACTAGAAAAATTAAGGGATGTTAAAAAAACTAAGGTCTCGCCCAACCCAAATGCCACACGTCGTACTCTGTGCAGGTGCGGCTACAAATTGTATTACTAATATAATTAATAACAATTGATGTTGGTACACACTAATTTCACTTAATTTTAATGAGATATTAGTCGGAACTTTGTGGATCGTTAAGGTTCAAGCATCCACTAAAATCCTATTCCTACTTAACATTAAAGGAATCAACTATCAAATCTTTTTGATATTTTTCTCACTTGTTCAAAACAAAATGAGCCAAGAATTTTTTTTTCAAGGATTAGAGGATTTGAACCGATTAATATCGAAAACCCGAGTACTATGAATTTGAGGTTCGTTTGAACCGATTAATATCTTCATAACACTCGTCCTCGGTATCCTTATGTTCAAAACCCTTTTAGGCGTGGACAACGTGTAACATCGGAAAAGGCAACGATTTTTGAATCAAAATCAAATGATTATAATTGAAAGTGCCTGCATGGAAAGATAGCAAAAAAAAAAAAAAAAAAAAAAGCTAGTTTAGTACTTTCTCGTTATAGAGTTTGATGTTTATGGTTATGCACATATTAATTCTTTTTTTTTTCAAAGACCTAATTTACCCTTGTAATTTATAACTAATTAAGAGATCTAATACAGCAGTTTGCTTCTCTTGGTGAAAATCAGAAGCAAAAGTTTGTCTGAAATGAACAGTTTTAAAAAATTTATAGGATTGTTCTGGACACTTTCAACAAAACTAAAATAATTGAGCGACTTAAAAATAATGAGCGGAGCTCAATCCTGACACTCAAAAGATGGGGTTTTAATATTATAGTCATTTTATAAAATATCATATTAAAAATATGTTGATTTACGAATTTCCACATTTTATCATAGATTAGCTAAGAAAAAAAATATAAATACTTTTATGTAAGATTCATGGGAGATCGACAACAGCCCAATCGGCCAATCTAAAGACTTGGTTTAGTTGCATCAAATCTTGATTTTTTAAATCATGTACATTTTTTATATTAATTAAGCAAGTAAGCAACCTCCAAAAGTACCTTTAATTTACCTTACTATAGTATATTTTGAAAGAATACAATTCCTTTTGATTTAATAAAGAGGAAGTTCACGTAGACAGTCACCACCATTATCGCTTCCCATGGGAAATATTTATATAAGATATAGCAGACATTGAAATATTAAAAACGCTTTTAAACCTCTCTACAAATCTAAATAAACAAGTAATAAGAGTATCAAACTGATGATTATAAAAAGAAAAAACAAGTAATTAAAACTCACTCAGAAAAAAATGAATAAAATAATAAGCCCATTATATGGGCCCTAAGAAACGATCTAGCCCAAAACCTGAAAAGCTTATTTATTGCACCCGGTCTTAAGTACCCGAACCCGTATGTGAAACCGGGTTTTCATATCCTGACCCGTAAATGATCCACTGACCTAGAAATTAGGGGGAAATTGATTTGATTCTTATCCACAATTCAATCTCTTCTTCATCATCGCAGCAAGCGTTAATGGCGGCTTCGTTCTCACTCACGAGCTTCATCTCCTTCATTTCTCCATTCAAATCTCAGACGAAAGCTACTCCGCCTCCTAATCTCACTCTCCCTACTCCGACGGTTTCCCACAGGCGGAGGAATGATCTCGCTATCGAATCAATGGCGGTGGAGGAGCCTTCTTCCACGGCTTCGCTTTCCTCTGAGATTTCATCTGTGATATGCCCTTCGCTTGCTTACTCGAACACGCTCTTTTTCAGTTCGGGCTACAACGTGCAGGTGTTTGTCGAAGATAACGAGTCTGAGGAGAGGCTGGTGAATCGATTCAGGAGGGAAGTGATGAGAACAGGTGTTATCCAGGAATGCAAGCGAAGGAGATACTTTGAGAACAAACAAGACGAGAAGAAGCGGAGGACTCGCGATGCTGCTAAGCGTAATAAGAAAAGGTTTCGCTCCATTTCTTATTTCTGTTATCGTTGTTGAGATTTACCTTTTTAGCTTCTTATCTCCTGTGATCTGTTTGCTCTTGAAAAGTGATTGATTCTTATGCTGAAAACAGATTGGTTGGATATTCTTGGAGATTAGAAATATACAGTTTGTGAAATCCTTCATTGTCTCTTAGAATTCAGGGATTAGAAATGGTAGAGATGCTTTCAAATGTTTAATCTTTCTTGGTGGGTATTTTCAGGCGTCCTCAAGCAAGGTTTACTCAAGAAACGAGAGAAGAAGCAGCAGCAGCAACCAAGAGTAAGAAAAAGGATGAAGAAGAAGACAACTGGGAGATGCCTGATGGAGATGTACCTTCTTGAACATTGTTTCAGTATATAAATCTCCAGCCTTTTCTTGTTACTTCGAAATTTCGTATTTATCACATTGTAAGTTTCAAATGCGTTTGCCTCTGCTAATGAGTTCTTATTAATGTTATATTTGTCTTCCAATGTTTTATATTTTGACTAAAATCCATTCCATTTGCTCGGGATTCTCCACAAAGGGATATGAATCATGGATGCAGTTGTTTGTCTGGTATCTTTAGACTTTAGCTTTAGTTGATGCAATTTTCAGGTATAGGTTACTTGCACTTTTAAACCCTTCAAGTACTATACTCTTGTATATATTGGTTTCCTGATGCAACGCGTACGAGATTAAACAACTCTTTAGCTGCATGTTGTTGATTCCCTGAATAAAAAAAAACGCAAGCAAGGAGAGTTAAAAGTGTTAGTTTTACTTCTTCACAACATGGAATGGTGAGTCGCAAAGATTCAGTTTTTCTTACTCGCAGAAAAAATGTCACATTGATATACTCGTAGTAACAAAGCCTGAACTCTGAAGAACCCTCTCACTCACAGATGGAAACTAATGTTTTCATCTCGTCAACCCAAGTTATAATTGTTCACAGATTCAGAATCATCTCACAGGCCTAATAATAGATTCCATAGGCTGTATGTAAAGCCCATGACTATCTGTCGCGTGATGACGACTCTATCATAGTCTCAATGGGCTCCCAAAATTTAGTATATCCACATAACTGTATGTGAACTCACACTGATGATGATTGCAGATCAATGTATTTAACCATATACCGTAATAGATAGTTTTAACAATTTGTTTTCTTAGAAGAAAACATACTGATTTAAACAGTTAAATTATATGAAAACATTAAACTAGAAATCAGTTTGACAATAAGAGTATGGATTTATGCATTAAATTATTTTATCAATGGCAAAGGATCGTGTGATAGATATCACAAGAAAAAGATTCTGAAAGTTTGGAAAACTGGATCAAGTTTAAGGTACATTTGATTGAATCATGATTGAATCTTACAAAAGTTTATACGATTCTCTATGTTTTTTTTGTTTGGGGTAGAAAACAATTCTCTAACTTTTTCTATCGACGAATCAAAATGAAGGGACTTAAAGTAATGAATACGTGTCTTTCACTTAATATTGAATCTCCTATATAAAATTTCAATTTGTAGAGAAAGTAAGTGACTGGTAGAAGACTCTGTAGCCAGTGGGTGGAATTAACCAATCACTTGCAATTAAAACAAATTATTTTAGCTAATGCATTATGATGATTCACTAATTAATATTTAATTTGGTAAGCAGCAACCAATTAGATAAGAGGTCACGCGTCAGCAAACTTTAAAATACATCATTATGATTGTTTTGAATGGGAATGGCAAACAAACGCAAATGCATACTCCCAATATTATAATATATATTTCATATTTTCTTCTTAAATTTATATATGTACAAGTGAACATCTTAGTATATATCTATATTTTGGTAACGCGTCAGCAAGTTTAATATTAAACGCAAATTAAAACTTTTTTTTGTAAGTGCAAACAAAAGATCAAACCGTGCAAACACAAAACGCACAAGCAGATGTTCTATATTACCAAAATAGAAAAAAACATAGTCCAAGTATATATAACGTTTGTTTAATAGATTGACATCATAGAGAGTAACATTGGTGTTATATATTCCAAAGTATTTGTAAAATGTTTTTGATGTTGGACCTTTTTGTTTCTTTATGCTCAAACTGGGGTACCGTGTGAAATTTGACGTGAAGTTTTCGGAATCTTTTTATACAACTAGGTTAACATGCAAGTTGTCAACTCTTTTCATCGAATTATTGCATGTGTTTTTTTTTTTTTAACTTTGATATGAATTATAGTTAGTGGTCCTCTTAATAGTATATTTAACATCTCTTCTTTTTTGGGTGTGGTTGTGTTTATATACGAATTCATGTTTGAATCCTTTTCGATAAAAAGGATGCTCTTCAACCTATATAGAAAAGGAATTAAATTAGAATTATACTATATATTAACCTCTTTTGTGTATGTGTTTGTGTTTACGTTCGAATTCATGTTTGAATATAAAAAGGATGCTCTTCAAATTATATAGCAAAAAACATTAAATCATAATACAAATCATAAAATTAAGGGTTGGTACTATTGGACAACAAAAAAAGGCTTGGTACAATTAGCTCTTAAGAGAACACTGGTAGGACGAAAAAATTATAGAAGAGTGAACGTACAGCGAAAGAGACATAGACCAAGCAAAATTTTAGATATGTTTTTCTTTTTTAAGTTATATATGTTTCTGCGAAAACACACATATATATATATATATATATATATATATATATATATATATATATATCTGTATATGGATTAGTCCATATACAAATATACAAACTAAGATTTGACTGAATACTTTTAACCCTACTTTAAATATTATTTAGCCTCTTAAGTCTTATCTCGTTCATATTTGCACATTTCTTGTGTGTTATTACAAAGCATCTGACATTCGCACATATATATGGCAACAGCCAACACACGATGACCTAAACTTGCTAACGCGCGCTATATATGATATACAGTATAATTATTCCCTCTTTATTATAATTTCTCAATATTTTGAAGAAATTAATTTATTTTTCAATTTTGTCGAGAAAACAAAACTTGAAGGTTTGTCTAGACTGTTGTCGGCCACAAGCGCAGAGTCGACTTCGTCTCCAATAATTTCGTATATTACTCTCCCCACAGAATAATCTTATCCAAATTATTTGCTTATATACACAATAACACACATTACAAAAAAAGTTTCAATAATTTTTTTTATTATATTTGACTACAAAAAACCAATATCTCCATAGGTTATTCCAAAAATCTTCCTGAAAGCGAACATCTTTATATGTCCATTTTCTTCACTATTGAGGTGGCCCTCCCAATAATAACACGAAACACTAAGGTCTGTTTCTTTCCATCACCCGAAATACAGTATCAATTAAAAATTTAATTGACTGAAATTTTAATTGGATATCAAGTAAAAAATGTCTCAAGTATTACTTACGGCAAAATACAATAACAATTTGATGGCTTCTCTTACAATCAGAGATGATGATTAACTCGTTGCTTCTGTAACTGTTCGATGATGCGGTAACATTATATGATATGCGATAAAGACAAAGGGGGGAGAACAAAAAAATCACATGAACCATGAGGGAACACGTGGCGTATACAAGAGACAGCCAATTGGATCAGACTGGTAATCGATAAGACAAGATCGCCGTTCGTTACTCTTCTTGCGATAAATCACATGTACATGTTGGATTCTTTTGCCAACCAAAATCTTTCGCACAAGACATTTTATCGTATTATTATTATTATTAGTTTTATTTGTTGTTTCTCTATAGCTCTATTACTTATTGCCGATTGGCAGTGAAAAGGTTAATTAAATATATCTCGATATAAAATGTTAAGAATTTTTAGAATAATATTATCAATAAACAGTATCGAAATAGTTTGAAAATGTTAGAAGCTAGAAAAGATAATTAAGGACAAGAGTATTATTTTATAACTACTAATTGTTATTATTTTATGATTGATAAATATTAAAGCGATGATTGTTGCTTTCTCTCTCACCTCTAAGAGAGAAAAAAAAAAGGTGATTAGCGGCAATAATTTTAGAACAAGTAAATAATAGAGTGTCTGTTTGATCACCTCAAGAGAGAATGTCATCTTACCGTTAGATCTCTAGCTGACGCATTTGAACTGTCATATGTGTTTACGTATGATAGGTTGAATGTAACGCTGATCTGTCGGATGTATTGGCTGAGTTGGAGAAGTCTTTTATGCTTTAATCCACTTTTAACAATATTTGCCACTTTTCAACCAAAACAAAAAACCGATTGGGTCAATTTAATTGTTATTTTCTTCTTTTATTCAAGGAAATCTGTTACTATGCTCATGTACGTATACCAATTAAAATAGTTAAAATGTTGATATAACTAAGAGATCGCCGTCAATAAATATAATGATAAACTAGTTGAAAATTTGAGATGATGTAATTCACCACTTTTTTTGTTGTCTGGTATACCATTTAGAAATTGATAATATAACTCGATATTCTATTACAGATGATGAACTCAATCAATACGAACTAAACTATTTCCTTGCAACACATGAAAATACGACAAACAATTTTTTTTAAAAAACTCTACAATGGATAATTCTATCTGCATTACAAATACCCACAACAGACGGTTCTACGTGCATCATTTTTAAAATAAACAGTTTATGACTTCACGTACACAACACTTGAGATTTCTGATAAATATGCTTCCAATAATCTGCATCAACCCAAATATAGACATATTCATAAAATCTAATCAACATTTAAAAGTTATATATTCGGCTAATATCTTGTATAAATAGAAATTCAGTTATTTTGGTTATTAACGTGTTAGGCAATACACATGCAATGTCTATCAACTCACACTGGAAAAGTAAGGGAGATTAGTCTCCGCAAGAAACTGATGCTATTAGGTGGTATTCACATTCTTCATCGATACAAATTAACGAATCATAAGTGGTATTAACAAAATTATATGTAATCACATAGATTTTCCATGTTATATATATATATATTATAAATTTATTTATTTATATAATTTTCTTGATAAACCAAATAATACAAAGAAAATAAAGCTTGCTCTTAGCTGGATAAATGTTTTGGCAAAGCTTCTAAGAGTTTTGGGACTATCTACCGCAGAATTGATTCTCTAAGATTTTGGGTGATTGTGAAATTTATATTATTTTTCTTTTGTTTCGATATGTTGTCTTTAAAAAAAAACATGTGAATGTATTTGTTTTCTTGTCATAAGAGTTACTAATCGTTTTACAGGCTAAAAACAAAGTGTTATTTTGTGGCAAAAAATAGATCTTGATGAAAATCTAAACCTTATTTGTTTTTACTATGTGTCAAAACTCATAAACCTTCAGTCGCAAAATCTAAATACGAATCCTAACTTTTTAAGTTCTAACCACCAATTTAAACCTCGACAAAGCTCCTAACGTGACCAGTCCATACACCACCGCGGCGCCAAGCGTCATATATCCCGGCTTCCTTATTTTCTCTTTTTGGTTATATGCACGAAAATGCTTGCTCAGAGACTAGTCAAGAAAAGAAATGAGAATTGATGGCATTTCGGTCCAAAAAAAAAATTGCTAATCTAGTGGATATATAAACACTTGGCCACAAGTCCAGAAATCATATCCCTACGTTATATGAACAAATTCATAATTTCCTTAACTTGGCCAGTCATTGTCTCATCTTGTAGTGTAGCATATGTATGGATTAAATATTTATATTTGTTGTCCTCTCACAAATAAATAACTAATAAACCTTCCCATTAGCGTCGTCTCGCAAAGATTAAATATGTATATGTGTATGTGAAATGTATAAACTATAAAGCTTTGTAGAAAGCTAAGAAAATACAAAAGTCGGAGAACCAATTTACATGAAAAAAACAAATAATTAAAAACAAAAAAAAAACAACAACTCAGAAGTGCTTTCTTAACAGAGAAAGCTCTTCAAGAACTTTAAATAAGTTCTGTTGCAGAGGTTCCGACCAAAAGCCAGTTAGTTTCTTATTTTTCTGATCAGAGAGAGAGAGAGAGAAAGGCATGGAAGAAGATTTAAACCAGATTGGTAATAATAGTAATTACAATGGAGAAGGAGACCCAGAGAGCAACACACTGAACCAACCTCTGGTTAAGGCTAATCGAACACTTTCTTCAACCCCACTTGCTTTGGTCGGTGCCAAGGTTTCCCACATCGAGAGCTTGGACTACGAGTATGTCTTCTCCTTCCTCTTCTTTCCATAATTTTGAATTTCAGGGTCTCATTTTGTTTTTTTTTTTTTAATGTTTTGATGAAATATTGACAGAATAAATGAGAACGATCTGTTTAAGCATGATTGGAGAAAAAGATCAAAGACACAAGTGCTTCAATACATATTTCTGAAATGGACACTAGCTTGTCTTGTCGGTCTATTCACTGGTCTAATCGCCACTTTCATCAACTTAGCAGTCGAAAACATTGCTGGTTACAAGCTTCTAGCCGTTGGCCACTTCCTCGCCCAAGAAAGGTAATCAGCCAAAATCGAAAAAAGCTTTTTTTTTTTTGTTTTTGGTTATCCTTATCTTAGTGTATGATGATGAATGATAAAGTCTTGTGAGGAGGGAAACAGATATGTGACAGGTCTGATGATGTTTGCTGGAGCGAATTTGGGGCTTACTTTGGTTGCGTCTGTGCTTTGTGTATGCTTTGCTCCCACGGCGGCTGGGCCTGGCATTCCTGAGATCAAAGCTTATCTTAATGGCGTCGATACTCCCAACATGTTTGGTGCTACCACTATGATCGTTAAGGTTTGTTTCTGAAACTGTAAATTTGAAAACATTAACAGTCTCATTACTGTATGAGTGTGAACTCATGGATTTTGCGGGGTTTGATAGATCATTGGAAGCATAGGAGCGGTTGCAGCAGGACTTGATCTGGGAAAAGAAGGTCCTCTGGTTCACATTGGAAGCTGCATAGCTTCCTTGCTTGGACAAGGAGGGACAGACAATCACCGGATCAAGTGGCGTTGGCTTCGTTACTTCAACAACGATAGAGACCGTAGGGATCTGATCACGTGTGGCTCAGCAGCTGGAGTCTGTGCAGCCTTCAGGTCACCTGTTGGAGGCGTGCTTTTTGCCCTTGAGGAAGTCGCCACTTGGTGGAGAAGCGCCTTACTGTGGCGGACTTTCTTCAGCACAGCGGTTGTCGTGGTGGTTCTTAGGGAGTTCATAGAGATTTGCAACTCAGGGAAGTGTGGCTTGTTTGGAAGAGGAGGTCTTATCATGTTTGATGTGAGTCACGTTACTTATACTTACCGTGTAGCTGATATAATACCCGTCACGTTGATTGGTGTCATCGGTGGCATTCTTGGGAGCCTCTACAATCACTTTCTGCATAAAGTTCTCAGGCTTTACAATCTCATCAACGAGTGAGTTTTAGCTGCTCAAACATAGTTTTAACACAGATTGTTGGTTAGTCACTTACTTACCTTTTGTTTGGTCATTTTGCAGGAAGGGTAAGATTCATAAGGTGCTTCTGAGTCTTTCAGTATCTCTCTTCACATCGGTTTGTCTCTATGGACTTCCTTTCTTGGCGAAATGCAAGCCTTGTGACCCATCGATACAGGAGAGATGCCCCACAAATGGAAGATCAGGAAACTTCAAACAGTTTCATTGTCCAAAAGGTTACTACAGTGATCTGGCTACTCTGCTTCTCACCACTAACGATGATGCTGTTAGAAACATTTTCTCTTCCAACACTCCCAATGAGTTTAGCATGAGTGCCCTTTCGATATTCTTTGTGCTCTACTGCATATTGGGGCTTTTCACATTTGGTATTGCCACACCTTCCGGTCTCTTCCTCCCGATCATCCTCATGGGTTCTGCATATGGCCGGATGCTTGGCGCTGCTATGGGATCCTACACGAGCATTGACCAAGGGCTTTATGCTGTCCTTGGAGCAGCGTCACTCATGGCTGGTTCGATGAGGATGACTGTGTCACTCTGTGTTATATTCCTTGAACTCACCAACAACCTTCTTTTGCTTCCCATTACAATGATTGTGCTTCTGATTGCTAAAACGGTGGGAGACAGCTTCAACCCGAGTATCTACGATATTATATTGCATCTAAAGGGCTTACCTTTCTTAGATGCAAATCCAGAGCCGTGGATGAGGAACCTCTCCGTTGGTGAGCTTGGTGATGCTAAGCCCCCGGTTGTAACCTTGCAAGGCGTAGAGAAGGTTGCTAAAATAGTTGATGTGCTAAGGAACACAACGCATAATGCGTTCCCTGTTTTAGATGAAGCAGAGGTACCTCAAGGGGGTCTAGCAACTAAGGCTATAGAACTTCACGGGTTGATCCTGAGAGCGCACCTCGTTAAAGTTCTGAAAAAGAGATGGTTCTTGACAGAGAAAAGGAGAACAGAGGAGTGGGAAGTCAGGGAGAAGTTTCCATGGGATGAATTGGCTGAGAGAGAAGACAACTTTGACGACGTGGCCATCACAAGCTCTGAAATGCAAATGTATGTTGATCTTCATCCTCTCACCAACACAACCCCTTACACAGTAATGGAGAACATGTCTGTGGCCAAGGCTTTGGTGCTGTTCCGGCAAGTGGGACTCCGGCATTTGCTTATTGTTCCCAAGATTCAGGCTACTGGAGTGAGTTTTATATGCCTTGAACTCAGTTTTACTTCAATGCTTGCTATAAAGCCTATATATAATGATACTAATTTTCTCGCTGATCAAATCGTTTGCAGATGTCTCCCGTGGTAGGGATCTTAACCAGGCAGGATCTAAGGGCACACAACATTCTACAAGCTTTTCCTCACTTGAAAAAAACCAAAGGTGGGAAAGCACACTGAATAGCTACATACTCTGTTTACCTGTGGTTGTAAAAATGCTTGCATACCTTTTTTTTTGTTTTTTTCTTCTCATTCTTGCAGCCATGTTGTTTCTGTCCAGTTTTGCACTCTTTCTTCATACCCAACAGAAGATGTTATGATAAATATATTGCACAGATTCTCTTCCTTTTTTACTTGTAAAATCACAGTAAGAGAGGAACCATATCTCCTTATCAAAAGGAACAGAGCAAAATTGTTTTCTCATCCATTAGATGGTCTCCTGGACTAATGAAGTTCAACTGTTATAGACATTATCTAATAAGGTCCTTATGGCTCTACTTAGCACGCACTTTCTTTATTCCCACTTTATTTATCCCCGATTTCTTCTTTTTCTTCATCACAACCCTTCTCTTAAACACGGCCAAAACTTCGATGCTGAAAACACCAATTGTAAAATAAGCATGCATGATACTTATTTATAAAACATAAGTAAATTTTCTTCTTTTTTGGTATGAACTGATAGATACCTGTCAGTTCCGGGAAAGAAGTTGAAGCCATGGGCTTTTTCCAGTTCCCACGCTTTGCTAGATAATAACGACTTGCAGTCCTAAGTAAGCAATTGTTTAGAAGTTAGAAAAAACTAGAGGCAGTATTTATTGGCCGTTAAGTATAGAAGTGATATCAGTGTTTGCCTCTAATACCTCCTTAAAGCTTTCCCAACCACAGCTAATATAAATGAGTTTTTGCGGTAGAGTATTATTCGCCTCAGGGGTCAGCTTGTTGCCAGCTTGAACTGAAAGTTCCCTTGCTCTTAAAATCCACGGCCTCTTCTCCTCTTTTGCGTTCGAGTTTGAACTGAAACAAGAGAAAAGAGTTACAGACCGATAAAGATCTACCTTCTGATTTCTGATGGTAGGAAATCAATATGATTGCCTTTGGAAACAAATTCAAAACTTTAAATTGAACAACCTCTGTGATGAAGACCTCATTCTTTTCTCAATAGAGGGGACAATCTCCAGAATCTGACGGAGAGAAGCATCCAGACCTCTCCTAGGAGGATCTACGACAACTACATCTGACCCTATAATCCACGAAAGTGGGTTCTGTAGAATTTAGAATAAAAAGATGAAACACATCATTAGATTGTTTACAGAAAATTCTAGCAATTGTTTTTTTTTTTTTTCCCGCTAAAAGCAAAGATTACTCACAACTGAAGCATCTGCATGGTGCCAAGTGATGCTGCAATTCACAGAGTTCGGCAACCTCTGGACTGTTTTCTCAAAAGACAGCCTCGCTTCTTTGTTTACCTCAATGCATTTGACAGAACTGTTAAAAAAAGTCGGGGTCAATCTTTTCATCAAATATGAACATATACACAGTCTTATTAGATGAAGAACAGATGTGAACACTCTCTGTTCTTGCCTGCATTTCTTCGATGTAGCTAACGATAATCCAATCACTCCGGCTCCTGCATATAGATCAGCAACAGATGATCCACCAGGAACATATTTATGCAGCTTCCAAAGCAAGCTGTCAAAAGCCTGACACAAGCATTGAATATATTATGAAATTCAGTTCAAACAAGAAGAGATCAAATGTGGTGCTAATCTACTGGCGGCTCATAAAGCTTAACTTAATTTTTGCATGCTCACCCGTGTATTTGCTTGGCCAAAACTGGAAGGATCCAAGGATATGTCAATTCCTCCAACGTGTTCCCAGAAATCTCTCTCCCCTAAAAGATGCCTCCATCTGTTTCCAAAGATTATCTAAGACAGACGGAATAATTAAGTCTGAAGTTAAGCAACCAAACAAAAAAAGAAAGAAAGACTTTCAGGCAGAAATTCTTTAAGTTCACAACATGTCTATAGGTCAACACTGATATTCCCCGAAGTTTTGGCCTAAGCATAAGAAAATTTTGTTCTTTACTCACATTGTTGGCTGATGTCTGGAAGTTAGCCCAGACGGAATGGATTAAGTGAAACTTGCTATTGGGTCCACCCTTTCTCCAGAGGTACTGTAAATGAGAATCATGTAAGTGATACTTGCAGAACAAATAAGTAAAACAAGAGAAAGGAATCACGACTCCCGGGAAAAAACTCACGCTGGACAATGCTTGCAGCTTATCTGCGTTATGAGATTTCTCATTTCTCGAGTTCCAAACCAAGGACACCTGCACTTTTCCTGAAACCAATACTTACAAATTGAAAATCTTATTGCAGCATATCACTGTTCAACGAAACTAAAACAAATAGAAAAACTTTCCCACCATTTCTGTATCTCTCTGGGGCACGAAGTGATGTACTGTGCGTCGTAACAGCCATCTATAGAAAAACCTCATCACCACACTGCGCAGGATTTGATTTGCACAATAGTCGTATATACTCAAAATGTCAATCCATTATTAACTAATCACCTGAACATATCGTAGGTCCCCAGTGCCCTGATCCTCATCAAATGGCACAACATCGAACACCTTAATACCTTAAAAGTGCAGCAAAGCCCATCAAATGACAAATACACTCAAAATCTCCATCTCTAAATCACAGAACAACTAAGAAATACTACCTTCTCTCAGTAACTCGATGGCAGCATTAATATTAGGATGATGAGCTGCAAAATTGAAACCATCATGAAAAACCAACATCGAAAAGTAATGAAATAATTTCAATGGCAATCAAATACCTTTACATTCAGGAATATCCACAACGGTGTGAGTTCCCTCTTGGTACAATCCGATCAATGCATTATCGGAGGAGCCACGAACGGCCAATTTTGCTCGGCACCTCCATCCCCACTGCCACACAAGAAGCACCAGATCCCAAAAACTTATCACCAGAAACAAAAACCTCATTACGGTGAAAAAAACAGAAATATGAAGACGAAGATGTGAAAATCACCAGTCTACAACTATCGAAGGTGAAATCTTCGACGCCGTAACGCTTGAAGAAGCCTGAAGCTTCGTCTACGATAGCCGGACGATGAAGATTGAGCTCATGCGTACAACCTGAGCACCTGAAAAAAACACCAGAGAGAGAGAGGAAATCGAACCAATTATGCAAAGTAAGAGATGAAGAAAGAGTCATCGGCGAGAGGAGCGTACGATTGGAAATGAGGGCACTGGAGGGCGCAAGCTAGCGAGTCAGAGGAGCTTGACGGGAGAGGAAGAGAAACGACGGTGGTCGAGGCAGGAGGTGACACGCGGCAGGTTATGATTGGATAACGAGCGCCGAAAGAGAAAAGGCTCGACGAATGCATCGCTGCTTCACTATCGCCGGGAATGGATAAAGTTAAAAAAAAATCTATCTCTGCCCGGTTCGTATCAAACCAAATTAATGAGACCCGACCCGACCCGATCCAATCTTTAACCCGATTAAAAATCCGACCCAGATGATTACACTCACTCATTCTCTCTGCTTTTTCCGACGCATAGAGTCTCACCGGCTCAAGAACAACGATGAATCACTCTCTTCCCTTTCTCTTCTTCTTCTACCTCGTTCTCTTTCTTACCCAAGATTTCCCCGCGCTTTCTCGCCGTTTCTCGCCGTCGCAGCACAACTTAACGCTCTACGGAGACGCCTTCTTTCGCGACCACACCATCTCCCTCACTCAGCAACAGCCCTGTTTTCCATCCGTCTCACCGTCGCCGCCAAATTGCTCCTCTTCCGGCATCGGACGTGCCCTCTACGTTTACCCAATCAAGTTTGTAGAACGTTCCACCAACACTACCGCTTCTTTCTCCTGCCGCTTCTCCTTCTCCATCATCGCTTCCCCTTCTTGCCCCTTTGGTGATGGCTTCGCCTTCTTGATCACCTCTAATGCCGATTCCTTCGCCTTCTCCAACGGCTTCTTGGGTCTGCCCGACCCGAAACTAGACCCGCACGGTTCCTTCATCGCCGTCGAGTTCGATACTGGTTTCGATCCGGGTCACGGCGATATCAACGATAACCACGTCGGAATCGATGTCAATTCCATCTTCTCCGTCGCTTCCGTCGACGCGATTTCCAAAGGGGTTGATCTTAAAAGCGGGAGAGAGATGATGGCGTGGATTGAGTACAGTGACGCTCTTAAACTCATCAGGGTCTGGGTTGGGTATTCACGAGTTAAGCCAAAGAGCCCTGTTTTATCCGCACAGATTGATCTCACCGGAAAAGTCAAGGAGTACATGCACGTCGGCTTCTCTGCTTCGAATTCAGCTGGTTCAGCTCTGCATATCGTCGAGCGGTGGAAATTTAGAACCTTTAGCTCTCACCCTGACCCGATTCAAGAAGATGATGATGATTGGTTGGTCTGCTTTGAAAAACCCAGGAAAATATACCATAAAGGTTTCGATGTTAGGGTTTCAGTTGTTGGATTAAGGATCCCATTTTGGACTCTCCTCCCTGGTTTGGCTGCAATTGCTGTTCTCACTGCTTTTATTGCCTTCTCATTGATTCGTGGCAAGAAAAGGATTGGTGAAGGAGGAGATACGAATTCGGGGCTGAACAGGATCCCGGGAAGATTATCCTTGGCTGAGATAAAAACTGCGACTTCAGGATTCAACGAGAACACAATCGTGGGTCAAGGAGCTTCAGCAACTGTATACAGAGGCTGCATTCCTACCATTGGATCCGTGGCTGTAAAAAGATTTGATCGAGCTCACTGGCCAGAGTGCAACCGAAACCCTTTCACCACAGAGTTCACAACAATGACGGGTTACTTACGGCACAAGAATCTAGTTCAGTTCCAGGGCTGGTGTAGCGAAGGAACAGAGACAGCTCTAGTGTTTGAGTACTTACCCAACGGGAGTTTGAGTGAGTTCCTCCACAAGAAACCTTCATCGGATTCGTCAGAAGAATTCTTAGTCCTCTCTTGGAAACAGCGGGTAAACATCATTCTAGGCGTTGCCTCTGCGCTTACTTATCTACACGAAGAATGCGAGAGACAGATCATTCACCGTGATGTCAAGACCTGTAACATAATGCTTGATGCAGAGTTCAACGCCAAGTTAGGTGATTTCGGGTTAGCTGAGGTTTATGAGCATAGTGCGAAGTTAGCCGGACGCGACGCTACTCTCCCAGCAGGTACCATGGGTTACTTGGCGCCTGAATACGTTTACACAGGTGTACCTACCGAGAAAACCGACGTGTACAGCTTCGGTGTGGTGGTTCTTGAGGTGTGTACGGGGCGTAGACCGGTTGGAGATGACGGGATTGTGCTTGTAGACCTGATGTGGAGTCTCTGGGAGAAAGGGAAGGTCCTGGATGGTGCTGATGTTATGCTGAAGGAAGAGTTCGATGCAGAGGAAATGGAGAGAGTGTTGATGGTTGGGATGGTATGTTCGCATCCTGATTGCGAGAAGCGGCCGAGGGTGAAGGAGGCTGTGAGGATTATACGTGGGGAAGCGCCGTTGCCAGTTCTTCCGGCGAGGAGGCCTTTGCTGAGGATACGGTCGGCTACTGAGGCGGAGGAGATGATTGCCGATAGTTTGAGTGGGGAGGATGTTCCGTGGATGACGCCTAAATCATACTTTTAGCTATTTGACTTTTTGGGCTCGATTTGGAAATATTGACTTCCTTTTTTGGTTACAATTGTAAATAAACATTCATAATAATTTCCATATATTACCATTTTTTTCCAAATAGTGCTCAATCGGAGTAATGGGGTCTGTTGATCGAAATCAAACTATGTACAAAACCAAGAAACTCCAAATGACTTTGGTTTACCAACTTTCAAGTAAGCAAGAAGCTTTACGAAAGGGAAAAAAAAAAAAGCAAACAATGATTCCCTTCCCGTGGTTCATGTTTTGATAACATGGTCGCAACTTTATGCCCACACACACAAAGACACAACAACCATTACGCCGGATTTATAAATAGAAGCACTGTTGTCTTGATTAGTAAATAGTTTACTCGTCAGTACCAAAGTAGCGATCACCAAATTCACCCAAGCCTGGTATAACCCGAAACTCTTCGTTCAGACACTGATCTATTTCTGATGTCACAATCTTCAACAGTGGAAACCGTTTGCAGACGCAATGGATTCCTTCTGGAGCCTGCAGAATGCAGAATCGATTGTCAGTTTGTGACTGCCTGACTGGGAGATATAGAGAGAGAGAGAGAGAGAGAGAGAGAGAGAGAGAGAGAGAGAGAACAAGTTTTGTGAAGAAGTATCTTTTCGTTGATCGAACACTCACAGAGATAAGATTGAGGAATATAATGTGGGATTCAGGAACTCCTTTCTGTATGAGTAGTTCTATCGCCTGACTTGCAGAGTTACCTTCAAGAAATCCAAAGGAATGTTAAGAGAATACACACTTCAAAACATGAGAAGAAAAATAATAACTGAAATTACCTGTGCCTAAAACGGGATCTAGAAGCAGGACATGGCGCTCGGAAATATCACTTGGAAGCTTCTCATATATGAGCTGATCCATATGCAAGGAGAAACGTTTTTAGTTTCTGAGTATTTTCAAATAAGACTTGGCAAACTGTTACCGGAGTTTGAAGGGAAAAAAAGGAAACACAAACAAACCTGCATTCCATTGTCGCCATCACGATGAATGAGAATCTTCCCTATTTTTATCCCTTTACAACAAGCGCGTAATGCGTTTTCCATGCTTTCACCACTAATAAAGCGTAAAAAACAGAAAATTTTAGGCAAGAGAATAGAATAGAAAAGCCACTCACTTAACACATGATGAGAAAACAAACAATGAATGCTTCTAATGTTACACGCCTTTCTTGTATCCCATATTTTAAAAGTGTAAACAAATTAGAAAACTAAACAGCTCCAGTCTCCATCTATCAACAACTTCAAAAACATGTAATACCTTTCAACGCTCACCTTCGAATGATTGAGACACCACAAAGTTTCTTGCAGAAATCAACGCCGCTATACACAGATCCTGTTTTGCAAAAAAATTAGAAATTATAATGGTGGGTATGCAATCGCGCAGTGATTTCCACAAGACACAAACAATCTTTCTAAATCCATGCAAAAGAGATGAAAATGGATCCCAAGAACTAGTTCTTCCAGAGTATCGGACACCATGGCTATCTTATATATAAAAAAAAATAGTATAGTTACAGGTCAAGCCATTCTTCTCTTATACCTGTTGGAGTAACCACTTGTTTCTCAGTGAATGGCAAATGGCCAAGACCATGCTCCACAACCTGAAATAAAGCCATCAACAATTGAAATACAAGTCTTGAAAAGATGAGACTTTGAAAGACTAGCACGAATTAAAAGAGTACCAGACGAATGAGGCGATCTGAGTAAAACACAAAGTCATGTTTTGATATGTCCTTCTCTCGAATAAGTGTATGCATGCCTCTTATCTGCAATTATGATTTAAGAATGAGAAAATGGTTTCTATCCTTATCGTCTGAATCAGGCATCAAATATCTGAAAAAGCGCAAAAATTACCTGAAATGTTGATTGGATAACAAAAACATTAGGGTAGATTTTGCAGAGATCATGTTGCCCAAGTTTTGTGTGGATATGTTGCACAATCAAATCAACAGCAACGTGATTGTCACCTCCTCGGGGAATGATCACATCGGCATATTTCTTTGAAGGGAGCACAAAATCATCAAACGCGGGCTTCACAAACTTTGCATACTGCAAATGAACATAACACCCTCAAAACAAGAAAAGTTGAGAAATAAAGGAACCTCAGAAGATAACGCTGTTATATAGAAGAAGAGTTCAAAGAGGGGAATTAAAAAGTCCAGAGTCACTCAAAAAACAGGAACATTGAGTTGTTCAGTAAACCATAAGGTGCAGTAACTTAGATACGTGTACCCGGCTGAAAAATCTTACACCGAAAGACTAACCTGTTCAAGCACAGAATCAACATCTCTACCCCTCTCAACCGTGTCACGCCTGATTCTGCGAGCAAGCCTCACATCAGCATCTGTAACCAATTAATAGCGAGGATGAGAACTTTTAACTTCAATGCAGATTATAAACATTTCAAAAAGATTCAAAGTTGGCCAAAAATATAGCTTCAAAGGCATTCATTCTGTATTCTAAGGTCAACAAGTGATAGAATGGCGAAGGTGAGTTAATCCATCAAGAGGATCATCAGCTACTGAACAGGAAGAGGAAAACTTCCATCACAATATACAGTAGCCACAATATCATTTAGAACTTTCCAGAACAAATGAGGTTAATATATAGGAAAACCAAGAAGAAAAATACTGGAGCTAGTTAAGGTGGTGACCTGTGTCAACGAAGATCTTCATATTCATTACATCCCGAACTCGTGAGTCATGGAATACTAGAATCCCTTCCAAAATTATCACATCACAAGCATTGACCTGAAAACATTCCACATCAACTCAACGCCTAAAACAGACTTAAAGAGATGCAAATATGGGTATCGTGTTGAAACATAAACATTGCAAATGTAAATGTTCCGAAGATCCAGCATGAAGTTAGAAGGTAAAACCATAAACCCGCAACCATCAAAGGCGGTCAAAAAAAATGAAGCGTCTTAAGACAATAGGTACATAAAAAGTCCACCACAGAAGAGTATGCACCTGGCGAAAAGCATCTGATTTACGTTGATGTGTCTTGAAGTCGTAAATTGGAATTTGATAGGGATGGCCACTCTTAAGTGTCTCAATGCAATGCAAAAGCTGCTCAGTGTCAAAGGCATCTAGAAAAAACCAACAAAAAGAACAGACATTGAAAAATCAACCAAAATGGTCTGAACTGAATATCAGTGTGACAAAACAAAAAAGAACAATCAAAGAGAAATTCCATGGAGGAACCAGTAAGAAAATCTACCAGGATGATCGAAATTGTATTCTTGCACATGGTCCAGTTCTTCAGATGTCAGACCACGGTAAAAAGAATCCTAATCAACAAAACAGCATCAGAGTAACGCAAATGAGGGGAATCTCAGCCAAAACAGTACATCATATTTCCACGCTCCCGAGTGATTTATGCTAACTGAGGAAATAGATGGCTTCAGAATCTAACCTGGTTAACTAGAACAATGCGATGATCATGAAGTTGCTGGATGATCATGTCACATACCGTGGTCTTACCAGAAGCGGTACCACCAGTAACTCCTACAGAATTCAAATGAAAACAAAATTAAGCAGCAGAAACCGATATCGATCCAGATATCTCTAATTTTGTTCAAGTTCATCAAAGGAAAACAAGATTCATCCCTAGAAACTGATATCGATCCAGATGTATCTAATCTGAGTCAAATAGGAAGCAGAAATGCTACTGGAAATTTTATACAGCTAAAACCCTAAAATAAAACCACTAAAATGCAATAAATTAGGAGATAATTCTCAATGATCGGAATTTGAAAGAGTTCGACTACTGAATAAGCAAAGGATTAAAGCGCGGGAGCGAAAAATGAGAATCGAAAATCACCGATAACGAAGGGCTGATTAGGCGCGGCGGGATCTTCGATAGCCGAGAAAGATGAAACACCGGAACGGAAGTGAGAAGGAGAAGAGTTTGAAGATTTCGACGGAGAAGAGAGAAGGCCGTCTAGGCGGAGACCGGAGAAGTGAGGCCCCGATGCCTTCTCCATGACATAGTCAATCGACGTAGGGTCTTCCGGCATTGGATTCCCAGCGAACGAACGGAGAGCGAAATTCCGATTTGGTCTCCGGAGAAGAAAACGAGAGTCGACGATTTAGGGGAAAAAAAAACTATTGATCCGTAGTGATCAGTGACGCCAATTCCTCGCGATACGGCAACCCACTTTGTCTTGCTCCCTCCGTCTTTTTTAAATATTTTGGGCGAACGTGTAGGAAAATTACTTAACTTTAAATATTCCTCTATTTTAAAATAGGTTTAACGAAGACTTTCAATCTTTAAAAAAAAAAAAAGAATTAATAACCAATGTTGTATTCAATAAACGAAAAAAATTGTACTTAAAATACTAATGTTGATACATTATCGAAATTATATATGGTCTCGGCAGTACGCGAAATCGTGTACAATTAACACAAAACAAATAAACAAAAAAATTAAGAAGAAAAAAACTAAACAAATTCATAGTGATGACATAAAATTTAAGAGAAATTTAATGGGCATATGAGAAGGCATAATAAGGAATATTCCAAGTGGACCAATCAAGTGGCCAAGAGGTTGAGAAAACAAAAGTATAGAGAAAAAAAAATATATACAGTACTTCCTCTGTTTCACAAAGAATATAATTTTAATAATTTTCTTAATAAATGTGAAAAATGTCAGAATGACACTCTTTGTAGAATGGACGGAGTATAGAATTATGATCAGAAATCCAGTATACGAAATACATAGTGATACAAAATACAACAAATTTAAGCTAAAAAACAAAACAAAATACAACAAATTCGAATTAACAAATCCAAAAATTATTTATTTTTTCCTCTCCAAATATATATATTTCCTCGATGCATTACAAAAGTCTAAATTCTCAGAGGGTCCAAATAAGACCAACAACCAACGATCCAACAGCCAAAATATACCCAATGGAAGCACGTAACCCATGACCTGAACCAGAATCCGAACTGGACCTCGAACCCGAGCTTGAACCCGAACTTGAACCCGGGGAGGAACCGGTGGTGGAGTCAGAAGAGACAACGTTAACTTTGACCTTCATGCCTTGTTCGCAATGCCCTGGGGTCCCACAAGCGAAATAACGAGTACCGGTTTTAGACAGCTTAACGACGTCGTTTCCAGAGCTCAAGGAGTTTACTGGTGTTCCCAGGTCACAACTCTTGTATGCCGTTTCGCTTCCCAGCTCAACAACGCTATGTAGTCCCGAGTACTTGAACACTACACGGACAAAAAAAATATGACGAATTGGTGTTTAAACCGGTCGGTTTAAGAAACAAAATTGCGTTTTATAAAAGAAAACGTTTGCGTACCCAGTTGGTCGCCGACTTTGAAAGATTGATCGGAAGACCAAGAATCAAAGTCAACGGATTGTTCCCAGCCTTGGCTCCCGCCAATCACATGCTGTGCTGCTAACGTTGTTTTAACCGTGATTAAACCGGAGAAAACCAGGATAACTAGAACTGCTTGCATTTTCATTGGTTTATTGGATTGAATCAGGTTTTGAAATACTTAAAGCTTCTGCTAGTTAGTGTGTATATATAGGGCAATGCATGAACATATTGGTTGCTTAAGAGATAAACTTAGGAAGAAAAGAAACAAAACAAGCTTGGAGTTGAATCGAAGTTAAGATCTTTGGTAGTTGTCGAATCTTTAAAATTAGTATTGTGCTTGTTATTTTTATGTGTGTTCAAGTAGAACGTTTGCATCAGAATTGCCGAATAAGTTAAGAAGACAAAAAAAAAGCCTTCACAGGCAAGATTTAAAACCCACTCGGTTTGAAAAAAAAAAGATTTACCATTTGTGGGTTAACCACTTTCACCCAAAGCTTCTACTTCCTCAAATGTTAACCTTTGAACCACTTTTCATATTTGAACCATAAACCGAGCTATGAATTTTGTTTCAATTAGGCTTTTTTTTTATCATATCTTGGTCGTTTAAAACTGCGTTATTGTTTTATAAATCTCATCTCACTTTTTATCTTGGTCGATGAAAAATTAACAAAGCTAGTAAGAACTTAGAACTAGCTTTTCTAATCTAAAATACAACTTTTCTAAGCTAGTTTTATTTGGCTTGTTACTTGTTAGAGAAAAATTCTTTCTTCTGACTAATTCTTTTATCATAGTTTTTTCTTTGTTCTTGATGTTTCCATCACACAACTGATTGTAAGATTCACCAGTAATGAAACATTGTAAAATTCTTGAAACTTCATAAGCCAAAACAAAGATCCAAAAGGCATAGATTCCATCAACACACCAGAACATCTCATTTTTTTTTTTTACATCATCTCTTCAACTATCGGATTCGTTTTCTTCTCATCACAACCAAGTGAAATACCTGTAAAATTCACCAGAGCTTTTTTACTCTGAGATCTCATTCTCATTCTTTCATGTACAATAGATTATTCTCTACATCTCATTTCACTGCAACAACCGCAGTTTCAGAGCTCATCTTCTTCCTCCTCTCCATGAAACTTCCACCACATGAAGAGAAACCAGGAAGGCAACGATGATGCTGCCAATTAGACTTCTTCTTCTCTTCCTTCACACTAGAGTCTTCAATGGTGGCGTTGTTGAATTCGCCTGAGTTTGCACCTGAGAGATAAGGAGAGCTTAGAGCTGATGAGCTTCCAGAGCTTTCCTCTCGTTCTTCTCTTATACTGTCTCTGAAAAGCTCACCAAGCTTCTTCCTCCTCGGTTGTGGCGCTGGAGAAGAAGAGCCTCGAGGAGGCTTCTTCTCTTGGAATATAAGGTTGTGGATACGAGGAGTCCTATCTGAGAAGCTGCTCTTAGGAGTGTTTCCACGCGATGGAGTGAAATCTGAGTATAAAAATAGAAACAATCAAGATTTTGAAACTTGACTAGCACAGAAACCAATAAGCTATGTGACTAGCACAGAAACTATGTCAATAATCCAACAAGAAACGAAGAAGGATCCAAGATCTTACCGCCATTTACGCTGTGGAAATCATCGTCAGAGTCGGATTGTAGCCATTGCTGCGAATCGAAAAAGGTTTCATCTTTACTTCCTGTGGAACAAATTAAAGGATATACATTTCAAAACTTTAGAACAAGAATGTAAGTGTATGATTCATACTTGTATTTTTCAAACCTTTTGATTCAATCACCATCATAAGATAGAATAGACAAAAAGAAACGAGAATTACTATAAGTCTCTACCCCTTAAAAACAGAGGAGATGGAATCTGAGAAAATCACAAAGCAATGCCTAAAAGAGATTAATTTGAAATTTAAAACATGGAATCTACTTGAATTCTCTGAAGTTCCCGGGTAAAAATTTCGATTTTTTTTTCAAAAGCCATTCAAAGTAAAGCGTGAAAAACAATGTAACCCCAGATCAAGAAGAGAGAAGAGTAGTAACATATACTTTTACACAGCTTTTCAGATTTGGGTCACAGTTTAAAGTAGACAACTTTTGTAATCACAATTCACCAAATTAGCTCTTTGTCCCTCTCTATATCTCCTTTTAAACCACTTTTTCCTGTTGTGAGAAAAATCTCTGTTATCACGGGAAAGTCTTTGATTTAAGCAATAAAATCCCCAAAAATCTATCAATGGGAAAAATCAATTAAGAGATATGATCTTATCAGATAAGAAAGAACACCTAAAAGTCTCTCTCTCTCTCTATGTTGAGATGAAGAAAAATCATATCGATGTTTAGAAAAGGATTATTTTAGAAATATATGAATTAATGGAAGAATAATTTCAGATACTTATTTCCCGATCACCGAACCACCACATGCCAGTATTCATATAACAAAACAAAAAAACAGCAAGTATGTTGAACTTTTGTGTAATAAGAGAGTGTGTAAACTTAGATCGGACAATAACTAATTTAAACATCAGAAAAAGACCAATCATCTGAAAAGGTGAAAGTGAAACACAGATAAAACCATATCAGTAATTAATTCAAAAAGAGAGTTTTTTTGGAATCAATACCGAAGCTTTTCTTAGAAGAAGAAAACGACCATCGAGATTTGACAGGAGTAAGATTATTATTCGCCGGAGACGATCTACTCTTTCTTGGCGATTCTGAGAATTGAATTGAATGAAAAAAATTTATAATCAGTTGTTAAGCAAAAGTATTATTATATTTATGATATCTGAGAAACCCCACATCCCCTGTCAGATTCAATATCATCATGAACTAATCATTCTCGATAGTTTTTTTTAAAAAAAATTAGAAAATCAATCTGAAGATCAACCCAAGAAAACGATAATCTCTCTCGATTCTAAGAAAATACCGAAGCTTTTCTTGGCAGAAGAAGAGGTTTGCAACAAGTCAGAGATGATCGAAACGCCGTCGTTTTTCTCCGGCTTCACAGTCATCGGAGCTGAGTTATTATCTTTCGTGGGAGATTCTGGTGTAACCATACTGTCTGCTCTAAACGGAGACTTATTAAGCGACGACGAGGACGAACCCATTCACTGGCATCGATATTAAACAAGATAAATAAAAAAAGAGGGAAACTTTTGAGAGAGAAAGAGAGAATGGAGAGAATTTTGATGAACTGTTTATGGTTAATATGGTGGAATATGGAAGAGAGACGGACTATTCTATATTTCTTTCTCTCTGTTTCGTCGGAGAAGGCGAGGTGGGTCCCCCACACGTACACGGTGCCCACTCAGTTTTCGTGTTGAGGGAGAGTAACGATGTCGTTTTGGGAACTCCACGTCTTTTTCGTGTGAATATCATGGTGGGACCCATTGGTGACTTTTTTTGGAATAACGTGGCGCTATTTATGTAAAATCCCCTGATTAGTGATTACGTATTGAAATTAGAAGGCATTCCAAAAATATAATTTCATGATTTTACCAACTGGCCTGATTTGGTAGGTTAATGAGATAATTAAAAGATGGGTCTAACTAATTTTATTCCAATTGTAATCCTAACCCTCAGAAAAACTCTCAGCTAAGTGATGAAAGTGCAATTTGGATAACTACAGATACGAATCTTGATGTGAAAAAAATCTTTAGCAATAGGATTTAGAATAGGATGCTTTTGATGGATAACTCCGAATTTGACAATACATGGACTGATTGATACATACGCCAATTTTTGTTTCGTTTTGTCGACTGTCACGTTAATCAAACACGTAATTATAGAGTTTTTTATATTGATAATGCATCTATGATGCTTATGATTCCAATAATATTTGTCATCAGATTTCTCTTTCTGTGACCACAACAAATGGAGTGACAATGAGTAAATACAAAAGACGCATTATATGAATAATGATTTTATTTAGGAGTGGGTCATCTTTATGGATTTCTCAACTTTTATACATACACCCACTAAACATCAATTTTTACAAGGTTCGTGTTAAATGTTTGTGACAATTAAGTTTGTACTTATTGGGAAAATATCTCAAGAAAAATAGGCCATCGAAGTGTTGCACCTTTATTATTATCTTCTACGATCACTGTGGCAAGCTGTTAGCAGATATATATTTTTTATCGTTGAGGCATAAAACCAACCTGCAAATATAAGTAAAGATATAATGGGTTCGGAAACTAGTTTTTTTAAAAAAAAAGATAAAGAAACAATAGTTTTAGAAAAGAAATCAAAAACTATTTTAACAAAAAAGAAATCAAAATTTAACAATATCTAACAAATGGAATCTTTAGAGAATAAATGATGGCATGAGCAATGTGTTTTTCGGTTCAAGAGTCAAGACAATGCACAAGGATCCAAGAACGAATTCAAACAAAATGAAAACAGAGAAACAGTAAAAGTGGAAGTTGTGTCATGTGTGATGTGTGATGCCCACTTCTAATGGTTCACAATGTTAGCGGTATCTAATTTTGTTTGGTGAAACCAAGTTCTAATTCTGCATACTATTTTTTTCTTTGGATTTGGCAACCAATCGGAGTTGCCTTTTAACCAAGTGTGGAATTGTCGAAATGAAATGAACTCGATTTTCAAAATTGAAACAATTTAGATTCTTGGTTTTTTCAAAATTCTATATCCGAATAAATGATAAATAAACATAGAGATGCCATGGTAGGTAAAAACATGCGGACTAGAACTATACGGAATTGGTTAAGTGTATATAATTTGGTAATTAACCGTAAATTGACATGCAAACCTACTATCAGAAAGGCACATTCTGAAAAATGATTTTTGTTTTTGAATTTTTTCAAAGCCGGCCTGCTAGTTGCTAAAACTTAGAATTAGTTTACCTAACCACAATATTTACTTTGAGATATTGATAGAAACCAAAATAAAACAACTAAAACTGAAGAAACTTTGACATGGTTCATGGTGGTTATTATTTCAGCTACCTAATCATAGAGAAAGATTAAACCAATAGAACATGTCGTTCTCCTGGACCGACCACGATAACGATTTCAAGTCTCTATCTTATTTTTTGTCCTATTTCTTAAATAGTTACATCAGAGCATGAACTTGCGGATGATTTACACGCAGACAAAAATGAACAAAATGATCTCACAAAATTTGATATATTATTTGATTAGTCCTCCTTTCAATTCGCACGCAAACATAGAAAACAGTCCGCCTTTTTGTGAGATGTTGCCATTGGATCGACTGTTATACTTAGATACTAGTAATATTAATGGTGTTTTTGAAAACTGGTACTTAGATGAAATTTCTCGTTTCGGTCAGTTATTGGTTTGAATATGATGTCCCTCGACCGCCTCCATGTGTAAGAACGACAGTTAGACGTTTTTTTGGATTATGTTTTTCTTTGACATACTTCGTCATTTGTTCTCAAATTTGTCTTTTATCTCGAGAAGAATAAAAAAAAAACTACAAAACATCAAAAAAAATTCAGCTTAGTTCTCCACATTTCTGCAATAACTTTCCCGGGCTGTGGATTGTCCGGTCCTCTATCGCGTTGCCCTGACGTAAAGTACAAATAGCCATTCCAGAATCCGGCCATCGCCGTTTTGACGCGGTACGGTAACCGTCCGATCACAGACCACGTCTGAGAATATTTTATACATATGAGTTTAAAGAAAACGCTGTAAGAGAAGGAAAACACACAGGAAAAAAATATATGAAGAGAAGCATAATACTTACCAAAGTGTCTAACTGAAACCTGAAAATCTCTCCAACAAGAACAAGCCTTTTGGTCACTGGATGCCAATCCGTGGTTCCACCGACGATAACGATCGAGTTATTAACTATGACCCACGCGGATTCAATGTGGGAATTGTTCTTTGGCATCGGTGGCAACATTTTCCACTTCATCTCCTCGTCTAGCATGTAGACCTCTCCGTTGAAGATCTGACCAAAACATTAGGAATTACAAGAGCATTCAGCTTTACTGGTGTGGAGAAACTGTATATTGGTATGGTTCATCTGCTCAACCCTAGGAATTGAAAAGGAGGGCGAACCTCGCGTCTACGTGAGCATTTGAAGATTGTTGAGTTAGGTTTGGCCATGAAGTCACCTTCTTGACCGCCGATCACAAGCAGCTTGTCGTTAGCAACTACACAAGCCCTATTTATACACAGTTTAAACAGAGATGTCAGCAACCAGGGCCAGGGGACTCAAAACAAAAGGTGAAACAAGCAGTGACTTAAGACAAAATATAAAACCTGTGAGGTCCACCTCGAGGGATTGGAACCTCTTTTCTCCATTCGTCGAGAGCCTTTCCGTCTTTCACAGCTATGCTCCAATGGTCATTGGCAACTGCGTTGCGATTCTCTTTGCTTCCTCCCATCACATGAAGCCTCCCTCTCCATATCTGTGTCGCAGGTGCATACCTTAATCCAACAAAATGAGCTCGATCATTGTACTTGCTTATATGGTAACACAAGACTAATTGATCTAAAGCTACCAAAGAGTTTTTCATAGGCTCGGTATTGTCATCTGCAGAATATGGAGGAATCAGTGCATGGTTCTTCAAGATAAAATCTTTTTGTAGAATGCCTGCTAAGTTTTTTGCTTCCTAACGAAGCCTTCCACAACTCTATTCCGAAGTTTCTCTACTCAATCTCCGCAATTCTGAAGGTTTATCAACCGGAGCCATAACTATCGAGGTAAATGTCAAGCGCAAATAAAGACCTTACCTTGGAGCTGGTAGCGAAGGAAACTCGAGCCACTTCTTTGTGGTTGAGTCTAAGACAAAAGAACGAGAAGTGGGTCCCCTGCATTGAGGACCATACTGTCCTGAAACCACATACACATATCGTCCATCCGTCACAATCCCCAGGTGCGAGTTCGCCATCTCTTTAGGTGTGTCGAATCTGTCACACCATTTATTGTCTGTGAAATTGAACACATCTACATGAGAATGAACCTGAAGAAAGCCAATGGCAGAAGCAAATATGATTAATATGGACACACATTTTCCATGTTTTTGTTTTGAATTGAGTATATACTAAGACTATACGAGTTCTTACGTAGTCGAGACTGCCGTAGCCGGAGAAAACGTACAAAAGGTTTTTGATTTGTACGGAGTATCCATCAAGTCGGGGAACTGGAGCTGATGGCATTTGCTCCCATTGTAATTCCGGTGCCGGCAAATCGGCGAATGTTGCCGATAAGGACCGGGTATGATCTTTTGTTTCATTCGATTGTTTGCTTCTCTGCAAGTGTTTGACATCGGTGAAAATCAAAGAGGGAAAGTTCATAGTTTTCTAATAATTAGCACAAACTAAACACCGTCGATTGAAATGTACCTTTTGAACAATCCTGGAATCGATGCTCGGAATTTGAATCTCCGGTTGGTTTCCGGGAACCCAGATCGAAGAAACGCTGGAGAATGAGAATTGAGAAGAAGACAGACAAAGAAAAGCTGCGACGAATCCAATACCAAGAACAGTAGTGAGATACAATACAAGCATCAGTCTCCTAGAAGATTGGTGGTAGTTGTGATGTAGATGATGATGATCAGGTTTATTCGCCATTCGTGTTTATGAAAACACCCGTCAAAGAGACATCTCAGTTCCATTTGAAAGAAATACAGAGAATTTTTCTCACGTCGGTGGAGAATCTGATTACCGGCAAAAGATGTGCGCCGGTGGTTTTCTCGAACGAGGAACTCAACTCCGCTCATTGTTTCCAATTATCTTTTTTCTTTTCTTTTTTCTTCTTCTAATTGGTTCCCTCTGAGCGAACCAGAAGGTTTGTTTGTTTATATGGGCTAAGCCCAAGATATAAGCCCATGAAGGAGAATTGCTTGGACTACATTAGTCACGTGTTGACTCGAGTCATGTCGGCGATACTTTTCACTCTCGAGTAACGACGATATCAGCTCCGGGAAACGGGAGTGTAAAAAGAAAGTCCACTAAACTCAGCTGAAATCTTGGTATGATCTTTCTTCTCTCTAACCTCATCATCGATTTTCCACAGTGACAATCAATCTTAACTTTGTTGTGTTGATAGCAATTTCTCATGCTGATTTTTGGTAGATCTGAATGAGTGAAATCGGAGTAAGCTAGATTTTGCTAAATCGTTCCTTCTTCTTCCATTTCGTTGAATTGGTTGCATGAAATGTTGATTGTTTCAAGATGAATCGTTACATGTCCTGAATCTATAAGTTCTTCGTGCAGATCCAATCACTGAAGCAAGTTCGATGAAGATTCAAGCTAGAGTGAGACTGTAGCTTTATCTTCTTTCTCTCAGCGCTCTCACCGTCAAAGAGCTGCTAAGATGGGATCTGTTTCCCTGAAGATCGGCGATGGAACCGCCAGATTCCGACGATCAACCATTTGCTCCTCCGCCGTCAACCTCCTCATGCTTTTCTCCGTCGTCACCACCAACCTCTTCGCCTTATACGCCTTCTCGTCCCATTCCCAAGCCGACTCGCCACTTCACCATTCCAACAATATCTCACTCGTTTCTCAACATCTATCTCTCATCCTCCGAGAGATCGATTCGTCTCAACGCAAGCTCGCTCAGATGGAGAAACAGATCCTTGGCTACGAATCCATCGATCTCTCCCGACCAAACATTGGCCCTGAGCTCAAACTGTTCCTCCAGCGTCATCAGCTTCCTCTGGGTAAAGATTCGCGTACAGGGATCACTGAAATGGTATCATCCGTTGGTCACTCCTGTGAAAAATCTGCGGATTTGCTCTCTCAGTACATGTCATACAAAGTATTCGATAGATGTCCTGATGATTGGAGCCTTGGCCAAAAGCTGATTCTCCGTGCTTGCGAGCCGTTGCCGAGAAGACGATGCTTGGCGAAAACGGTGCCTAAGCAAGATCTGAAACAGTCTCCTAATTCACTGTGGGGAACTGTTAGTAACAAGAGTGTTAACTGGAGTGGCCTTGGTTGCAAGAGTTTCGATTGCTTGAAAGGTAAGAAACTTAGCCGAGAATGCGTTGGTTGCTTCGATCTGAGTAGCGAGAAAGATAAGTTTGTGAAGGTTAAGGGGAAGAACGATTTCTTGATTGATGATGTGTTGAGTCTAGGAAGTGGGAAAATCCGGATAGGGTTCGATATTAGCGGTGGATCTGGGACTTTTGCAGCTAGAATGGCTGAGAAGAACGTGACTGTGATCACTAACACGTTGAACAATGGTGCTCCATTTAGTGAATTCATAGCTGCGAGAGGGATTTTTCCCTTGTTCTTGAGTTTAGACCATAGATTCCCTTTCCATGACAATGTGTTCGATCTCATCCATGCTTCTAGCGGATTAGATGTTGAAGGTAAACCCGAGAAGCTAGAGTTCTTGATGTTCGATCTTGATCGGGTTTTGAAACCCGGTGGATTGTTCTGGTTGGATAACTTCTATTGTGCTAGCGACGAAAAGAAGAAAGATCTTACTCGTCTGATCGAGAGGTTTGGGTATAAGAAGCTAAAATGGGTTATTGGAGAGAAGAGTGATGCACAAGTGTATCTCTCAGCTGTTCTGCAAAAGCCGGTGAGAGCTTGATCGTAAGGCAAAAGGAAAGATTGTAATGGTAAGAGTGTTACTCTTACAATAGTTACATTGATCATAGGGATATAAATATTGGAGTTCCTTAGGTGATATTTGTTTCAAAGGAGAATAAGCAATGTCGATTATTTATTTACCGGGGGGATTGGAGGAATCATTTGTAAAAGTTTTTCAGTACACTGTTTTGTAATTTTGTCGATTATAATTACTTTTATGCGATCATATCTTTACAAATTATGGTACTAAGCTTTTGTTGGTATGCTGCTAAAACCAAAAGAGGAAGAACACCAAAACAAAGCATGGAAATTGAGTACAAAGATAATTCTTTTTATTGAGACAAACAGGAAAGATAAACCAGACCGGTATGGGAAACAAATCAAAATGTATAATCTCAAAATCATGTTTGATTACGAGGTAGAATATTTTTTCGTTATTATCCTCATAAACACTCTAGTGATAATCCAAGGAAAAAGAAGAAAGATGATGAGTGAGGTCTTTCCACCTTCCGGCGAGAACGGGTCCCATCAAAGATTTTTATGACACATAAAAATGGAGATACGTTATTACCCAGAGAAAGGCTCTTCTCTTTTTTAAGATCCATTGTTGAAAAAACGACTGTGTAGCCACTGCAAAAGCTTACTATGCGGCGCTTTAGTTCACCACGTCGAGAACCAGCTTGCGAGACTTGAGGACCGACCATTTCAGTCGCCTGTAGTATGCTGCTTGGAGCAGAGCGAGAGAGAGTAGGAATATCCATTTGAATCCCATCTGCAAATAGTTAAACCAACATTAATTGCCACGTCAAATGTGAACATACAAGACCTTCTTCCCAGTTTTAGCTGGTTCTTTAAATCCGTCAAGAAGCTGAGTTTAACAACTAGATGTTACTGTCTTAGAAGCAGACCAAGAACTATTAGCGCAGTTCGATCATAAACTAAATCTAGTAACTCGGACAGAAACTGTCAGATTGACCAAAATGCAATATGCACGAGAGAAAAGTGGAAAAAGTAAAACCTACCAATTTCCTCTCTTCCATTTCTGGTTCAGCTGCCCAAGACAAGAATGACACAACATCTTTACCCATCTGCGACGTGATTGACAAAAAGTAAAGTTAATACCATGACAATGAGCAAGGCTGTCCATTAAGCCCAAAGACTCGTGTTTCTACTATTTTAAATGGAGGAAACCTAACCTGTGCCTCTGTGGCAGGGACACCATCTTCATACTCTACAGCTTCGTCATTAAGCATTTTCGGCATAGCAATTGCTCCACCAGGGAAATAAGGATTGTAATGTAATCCCTCTCTTATCTGTATAATTATCAAGGGTTCTTTCACAACCAGCAATATGGAATTGAAGAAGTACAGTGTAAGAAAATGAGATAGACAATACCGAAATGCCAGCAGGAGGATCACGGTAACCCGTCAGAAGAGCAAAGACGTAATTTTGACCGTTGTGACGTGCCTAGCAGGCAGAACATTGAAACCATTAAGATCACTGAACACAAATTTGCTATAGATATTCCGTTTAAGTAAAACAGCAGCAGACCTTAGTGATAAGACTTAGATCAGGAGGATAAGCTCCACCATTAGCAAACCTTGCAGCTGATTCATTGGGATATGGTTGAGGCAACCGGTCACTGAGTTTACCAGGACGAGTGAACATCTCACCCTCATCATTAGGTCCATCAACTACCTCGATTTCAGCTGCCATCGCCTTTGCTTCTTCTTCTGTGTAGGCGACACCCACCAAATCTCGGTATGATATCAGAGACATCGAATGGCAAGATGCACATACTTGCTGATAAACTTGATGCCCACGACGGATCCTGCTCATACAACATCAAACCTTCATAAGCCTTTTAGTTCAACTTTCAGAGTCTAACACTCTAACTATATAGGTTACCAGAAAAACCTTATAGAAGCACTTCAACTTATAGAAGCAGAAAAATCTATGACAAAGAGCACTATGTAAATAAACACTTACGAAGCATGGTCATATGAGCTGAGAATGCCATCATGAGGCCAAGGGTAGTCTGGACACTCCAATCCATGTTCGGCCTCATCAGCAGATGCTACTGTAGAAAAACTCAACAGTCCTGTAACACCAGCACCCAAGAGGGCAAGTGCTCTTACACCAGACGACCCAGCGTCCTCATGAGCTTTCTTCGAAGAAAACCACGATAGGACCGGAGTTGCCTGCAAGATACCACAAAACAAGTACTAAGAAAAAAGTTTGCGGCAAACCTAATCAGTTATGCCGACAAACGATTGCTGCAAATCAGCATTCTTCTTATGTTACAAATTGAAGCAGAAGCTAAACACAAATCAAACAACCCTATCATGGTTTTAAAGAAATAAAAAAAAAAAAAATTACAGGAAGACAAATCTTTGTCTCCTGTCTCAGGTTCCAGAAGATGACAAGATGCACTAAGAATTCAAGAGCTGATTATGTATCTCTAATTATCCAATGCGAATCCCCCAAAACACGAAACCTTACACAGAGGATCTCAAATAACAAAGGATTATCTCTTAAAACAGATCCCAAGCTAAAATCGTACACAAAGAGCGAAGAAATCCCAAACACAAATCAAAATAGAATAACAGAAACGAAAATTAAGACTAAAGGAATCTCACAACTGATTGGGAGTGAAGCTTCCTCCTTAGAATTTGCTGGATAACTCCTCCTCCAACCATTTGATTAACGCTCGTACCAAATCAACTCGCTGAAGAATAAAGAAATTGAATGAAAACAGAGTATTTAGGCAGAAATAATGCGATTGCATAACACATGTACGAATAAAAAAAGCGAACAAGCCCTAGAAATCAGAGTCTACACACAGATCCGACGAAAATATGTTTATATATATATATAAGCTATCAATCAAATGTCAACGAAGAAATCGAGAGATTTGAATAAGAAAAACGCCAACAAAGAAAATCTCACCTGAAAATGAAGCAACGAGAACGGGGACGGAGACGATCGAGGAACGAAGAAGTGAAAGAGAGACGAGAGAAAATGAGAGTTCCACGATGACACAGCGGCTGCTAAACACACGACAGTTTTACGTTTTGGGCCTATGGGCCAACATCAAACTGTCTGAGCCCAATTATTTCAACATTATACAAAACTGAATATGTGAGGATTTATCGAAAAAAATTAGGATTTTGGGTTCATAAATAATATTTTAGGATTGAAAATGAAAGCACGATCAATTAAAACAACTTTTTCCGAAGATGAATTAGGTTCATGTTGATGTTTTTCACAACTCTTTTATAACATGAAGTAGATCTCATGTTCGGTTAGTTCAAAATTCGCTGCAGTAAACGAACTAACACTTCGTGCTAATTCTTACACAAATAAGTTTGTAACCGACTTTTTAAAAATGTTTTGTGGTTCGCATTATGACAAATTTTCTTCGTAGAGTAATATCTTAGTCAAACGGTCTTGAACTAGCTAGTTTAAAAAGGGTATGAACCTTCATTGATCAAAAATGTTAAATTGTATATAGATGAGTGATTTTGGCTATATCAACAGTTTGATGAAAAAAATACACATGTCTATATTTTTTATTTATGAAATACTTCTTAATCTTCGTTTTCGGTTTCCATTTTGATTTGTGTTTGAGATTTCTTCACTCTTTGTGTACGATTTGTGAATTTATATCTAATTTTAGATTTATGATAAAAATATTGCATAGAAGGAATTTTGGCAATTCAAGGTTGTTTATATTACGTGAATTTTATTGAGTAAACAAAGGCCGAAAGACACAGCGGAAATCTTATTATTATTTGAAGTCTACGAGCTAGTTACAACCCCCTAAGAATTAAATATTTGATCTCGATTAGTTTAGTATACTGTATATATGTATAGTATTTCAATTTTGACGTTTTTAATGTTCAAATGATGAATATTTCCATTATTTTTGTTATTTCCCATAGTCTTTCCAACTGTTATGTCTGCAAATATCGTTCTCATTACCAATTCCTATTCGTTTACTCGCATAAGTAGGCATGCATATATAAGTATGAATAATATATTTTCTCAAAAAAAAGTATGATTAATATATACAAAAAGTATATGTGTGTATAAGTTTTAAAATGTGTGATGAGTCATGACATAACAGCTTTTGCAACAGAGAAATGGAAGACACATAATGCAATTTGATTGGTCGGAGATTACGAGGACCAATAAGAGTCCTCAAATAAGGTAAAACAGCATATTTAATTTTAGATAGGACCCACGCATTAAGATAATACAAATCTCATATATGTATATATCTTTAAAAAAAAGAAGAGAATATACCAAAATTATTGGAGGCCTTGGGTAACAACTGACCATATATACCATTAAATATATGATATGAGCCTATCCGTATGCATCTATGTGGGTAAAGATATATATAGAGTAAAACAGATTCACCATTTCACATTGCTTCGATTCAACCAATGGCAACGTGTGTCTCTGCGTTTATAGTGATCTGTCAAAATTAAATACTGTTATATATGTGTTGGACACTTGGATTTGGACCATATATCTTTGCTAAGAAATTTTCAAAAACAAAAGTTAAGCGACCCAAATTTAACTATACTCCTATAGTGATCTAATAGTATACGGGGCCATTGGTTTATAAACTGGATCAAACCGTTATTTTCGTATGACATGCATATACAATGTAAAAATTGCTTGTGTTTCTTGTTTAAATGGGAATCGTTAACATTTAAAAACGTGTTTCTATTCACTTGCATTTTATATTTTTGTTAGTTTAAGCCATAGCAGTTTTATATATGGTACAAACGTAATGTATATGAATGATTAGATGTAGTTATCATTATAAAATAATATAAAAACATTTGTTATCAATGTTTTTAGCTAGATTAAAAGCATACACATAAACGCAAAGTTCTTGCACATGTATGTATATATATGTATATAGGTGTAGTCTTATAGTCATATAGAAAGTTGACGTGTATACATACACGTATGTGTTTGTGTGTGTAGCGTTACTCATCGTACGATATGTCGATATATGTTTTTATTTTTCTGATAAAGAACTTCGATATGTATGATTGATTAACATGATCTTCTCTTACTATAAAAATTAATTATAAATTGCACATAATTTGTATTTGAAGGAAATTTAGCAAGAATTTGTCTGAGACCTAGGACTTGTAGTTGTTCTGAATCGTTATCAGAATATAAATAAATACAAATTTTTTTTATTGTTACTCTTATCTAAAATCCAGAAAGAAAAAAAAAAATACCTAAATTAAAGAAACAAAAGGAGACATAAATATGTCGCGAAAGATGACAGAGGAGATGCACATACAGAAACCAACCAATGATTTTACTGTTATTTACGCTAACCCTAAAGACACGTGGCGAATTACAATTCCTCCTCATTTGTTCCGAATGATAATCTTTTCGGCTCACCGGAGAGAGACACTCAGAACCATAGAGAGAGAAAGAGTGAGAGTGTTTGAGAAGAGAGAGAAAGATAATGGATCAAGATGAGTGGCTGCAGGGAACGCTAAGATACGCCGGTAAAGCGCAAGATAAGGTTTCCGTTGATACTCTCATGCTCCGGTACCGTCCGATCGCTCCAAAACCGACGACTGGTAATCCATGCGCTGCAGGAGATAACAACAACAACAGTATGAGCAAACGAACCAAACGAAAGTACGTTAAGGTTTCCAAGAATAATAAAAGCACGTGTCGAGGAAAGAGCAGATCTGACCTTTCTGATGATCGGGAACAATCTAGAGCCGTGACGCTGCAACTTCTGCCTGAAAAAGCCGATCTTTCCGGCGAATACACGCCGTTAGATCAGGATAGTCTCGATCCGACGGTGAAAACGATAATCGGAGAGAAAACACGAGAAACCAACGCGTGGGGTACGTTTAACGGCGGCGCAACGGTGGAGGTGGAGACGTGGGTCACGGTGGAGTCCGTAACAGGGGTCTGTGACGGTAGTTCGAGTTCCCATGCGGTGGAGTGTACGGACGCTGAGATGGTGGACAATCTAGGCAAGGACACGTGTCCAGCTTTCGTATCGGACGGCTCGAACCGTGTGGTGTGGGTTAACGAGGCTTACCGGAGGAATGTTTCCGGTGAAGATTCGTCGTCGTCGTTGCCGGATGTTGTGGTTTGGTTGGTGGCGGAGGAGTCGACGGTGGCGATGTATTGTAACTACCGAGCTTTCACGTGTAGGGTGAGGATGCAGTACACGTGGCAAGAAACAAAGTATACCAAAACGGTGCCGTGTGATGTGTGGAAAATGGAGTTTGGTGGCTTTGCATGGAGGCTAGATACAACAGCTGCTCTGACTCTCTGGCTTTGATGCTGATTGCTGCCTGAAACAAAAGGGTAAGAACTATAAGTCTATAAGGTGATTTAAGACTGTGACGACTAATCACAAACTTATAATCACTTTAACAACTTTGTTTACGCTTTACTTATAAGATTATATTTAAGATATGGTTGAAAAAAGCAACAGCTGATGATAATGTGGAGAAGTGTGGAAGATGGAAACACTTAAATATATAGAACATGCCGTAATAATGTCAAATATATATATTGGCAAATTAAATAAAAAGTTGCCATTGTATGGTTTCGTACCAATCTTGGCTTCTATTTTTATTTTTGATCTGATCGATAGATTTACTGAGGACATGTATTTAAGATACACCAGTGATTTTAGAGTTACCATAGCTAGATTTTAGTCGAATCTGCTATTAGAATTGCATTTTTATAAAAGATTAAAAGCATATAGTAAATTAATTTGATCGTAAGCTAAAGAATATGTTATAATCTAGTTCTGGTACATATACGAATATAGATTGTTTGAGAGACAAAAACACATGACCTATATGGGGACCCTATGTATATTGAGTATCATACTTGGTATTTAACTACTTCACAAAGCTTTTGCATCCCCCACATTCTACACATACAAAAACACGTTACGTACACTTGTATATATAACTTTATATATATACGTAAGGCTCTATTTCATTTGAGATTTACCGTTTACGTACAACATGCTGTATATATCATGTCCTTTTGTAACGTGCACCTGTCTTCTCGCTATTGGAATACTCATATATATACATTTATCTATTGTCATAACTGTGTATATTATTCACGGCTTTGCTTTCAACCTTTATCTATATATTTTCTGAATGACTTGTAATTATCATGATCACCTTATTGATCAACCTTCTTGCAGCTACTTAATGTGCATTCAATTCATACATCCATCGGTTAAATATATCCATCAAAGGTATATGTATCCACAATTACTGTACCTAGATTCAATTTCTTTTGCTCTAAATTTAAAATCTATAGTTTAAGCTTCATTTACGTGTACTTCGCTATAGTTGATGATTTTCATATTTCATTTTCATATTCCAAATGTGAGAGGTATGATGATTATATGAAAGTGGTCTAATCGCTCAAAAAATATATATCTATATATGCACTGTATACTTCCGAAAAAAGAAAAAAATAGCAAGGGCGCATATGTGCAGATTTACATGTTAAACCTACTTGAACGGTATTGTATAAAGGACTAATGGTTGATTGGTTATAAGCTTGTTCCTGCAAGTGGAGAATCCTCATTGGTTGACAAAAAGGGTGATAACATAAAAAAGAAAAAGCCAAAAGTTCTCATGAGGAGGGAGAATAAATAAAGTTGTAACATTCACACAGAGATCAATCATACACTTGGCAATATATCAGAGAAAGACAGGAACCAATAAGCGTCTCCATATTTCTCCATTCGGTTTCCGACAAAGTTGATGTCATCATTAATTATCTAAGATCCGTTGATTGGTTAGATCGGTCGTTCACGTGTCACAATGAGCTTTAAATCGGGCCGTTAGTTTGTGTCAAGTCTTTTATGCTAGCGTGTATCCAAATGATCCTCAAGAGCCATATAATTTTAGTAAACGATAGAACGAATGAGAGCCTTTCACGTGTATCTTGAAGCCACTCCAATCTTAAATTGCCTCGCCCATTATGTAGTTTTCGCACTAGTTACATATTTTACTGATTTTAACCGGAAACTTTTACATAATATTTGTGATTAACCGAGAGTTTTAGCAACTTCTTTTGGGTATGTTCAAGTTTGTTCAAATTTTGTTTTTATAAAATAAAAAAAAATCAATTTTTAAAAGATGAATTCCTGATGGATTTTTTTTTAAAACACAAGACATAAGTTGGTGTAAATTTTGTCCACAATATAATATTTTCAAAAAGTTGAATTCTATAGTATTATATATTTTTGTTTCACATAAAATGTCATTTTGTCAAATAAAATAATAAATAAAAAACACTTTTTAATAGTCGAAAAATTAAATTTTTTATGCATTACCATAAAATAATTATACATACATAATAATTTAACCAACTTTTTTTTTTTCACTATCCATTTAGTACAATCACATTTGGCCCATCGTATACTAATTTATATAATATTGAGTCGCTAGTTATTTTATATCACCAATCCAAAACAAGATGTTAATATAGAAATATCTATTAGTCAATTGTCTAACTTTTTGCATATATCCAGAAAGTACATATACAGTGGTCTGACTCTTGATTCTTTTGGTAAACAAAGAATTAGAAGCTTATAAGTTATATCCAACCTGCTTAATTAGAAGGTTCCATTAACAGTTTTAACGACTTCGTAGCTAAATTCGTTTGCTCTTCTTGAACTTTCAACTAAACGATACACTTGGATGGGAGGACAAAAATAATTAATCCAAAGTATACACAATCATGTAGGAAAGATAAAACCAAGCTAAAACGAATGATGATAGCATCTCCCGAGAGTAGAGACGAATCAGAGGTGATATCTGACATAATAATATTTTACTTATATAATAAAGTATTGATTGACTAACTTGTCCTACTGTTTGTGTTGTTGAAGTAGGGTTCTATTGGTCGATGTCGGTAGTGGTATAATAGATGGAGACATCTCATTGGTCCAGCACTTCGTTAGGCCAAAAATCTCGACGTTCCCATCACCATAGTTCATAGATACGCTAATCTATAGCATCTATGGATTATGGTCTATGGGGTATAAACACACAATATACATATATTTAATTGTACTGATGTCACTAATCGAACCCATATAGCAAAAACAAAAACTAAAAATCTCCACCTTTACTTCTGAAATCAAATAGCTATATTATATACTAAGTTGGGCTTATTTGTAACAAAAGAAAACAGGCTTAGCCCATCCACTTGCTTTGTTCTTAGTCCAAACGAGTCCATTACTCGCATGTCTTGAATCATAGTAAGAAACTTTTAAGGGAACTTCATTCGCATCTCGTGTGAAATTGTGAATATCTTTGGAGCTAATTCTATTTTCAACTTTGATAGTTTCGGATTTCTCATGTTATCAAATTAAGGCATCTACTAAACTTTATACCAAGAAAAAAACTCTAACGTTCTAAAAGCAAACTCCAAATATAATCTACACATGTGCAATTGTACTTCACAGACAACACAAATCCTCAGAATCTCTTCGAACAACCAAAAACGGCACACAAATCAAAAGAATATCTGAGGAAATGAGACATACATGTCGTTTACTTTATCAACAACAAACTCCACGTCGTTTTTGTTATTCGAAAGATAAACTCCTCTCCGTTTTTCTTTCAGCTAGTGAACTCACCTGTGGCTTCTAGAGAGTAGAGACCAGTCAAATAAACGCTAGTGGTTGTAAAGAGCAAAGTCAACGGTCACTGCCCAAAAACGTCACGAGTCGTGACGCTAATTGTCTACAGTTAAATTACTATTGCCACGTAGGAAACGTAAAGGAAACTCACGTTAAATACTCGTTAACTCCGCGCAGACAAGATCATCGTGACCGTTGGATATGGATCTGGCGGCTTTCTCCTCAATCTATATGGTCCGTCCGATCAAAAATGTTAGAGGCAGGCTTTTGTCGGTGTAGAAGCTTTTAAAGCCTTTGTTTTAAAAATAAAAATAAAAATATTTCTCGCACTAAACATTTTATTGGTTTCTCTCTCTGTTAGTCTCCGACTTCGTTTTGTCTTCAGCTTTCTCACGCGAAAGCTCTGATATCCATTTCAAAGATTTTGCCTTCGATCTGATCACGAGAGATTCAGTGTTTGTTTTGCGTAGTCAATTCCAGATTCCAGAGTTTGTTGCTCAGTCTTCTACTTTGTGGCCCGTGTTTTGTATGGTTCACGGATCTTTGGAGATTCCGAAATTGGGGGCGATTTCTATTCTAGGGTTTCGGTAAATTTTACCGTTTCTGGGATAAATTCTTCCGTTAGATTGATTCATTCCTTTCGAGCTCGCATCTCAGGTTGTCTGATATTTCAAGTTTCGTAGTATCTGATTTGAAGCTCATTTCGTTGGAGGAGGTTGAAATTCGGGTCGCGAAGAGCTGTGCCGATTCAGCTATAGGAGATGCATATGGTAAAAATTTCACCTTTTTTTGGTTGTGGGATTTTCTCCCAATTCGAATGATTGGTTGAATAAAGGGTGTTTCATTTGAATTGGCATCAGGCTAGGGCTCGAATTTTGGACTCCAAAAAAATAGATAAAATGAAACTGGATTGCCAAGTTTTTGTTTTTAATAGAATTGTGAGTATGTTTGTTTTGGACATTCTTATTTCACATAGTTTAGATCTGGCTGTTTGTGTCATAACAAGTTTCTTTCCCCTGTGGAATTTTTGCGAGAATGCTACAAATATTTGATCTTCGTGTCTGTTGGAATGGAAATAGGACCTGTCTCTGTGAGTTTTGATGGGGGAAGTACTAGTTTCTGTTTATTTAAGTGATTGAATAGATATATGTGGTGCAGGTCTATTGCAAATGGTGAATTGTGAATTTTAGAAGCGAGTGAAATTATATTTGTGGAAATTATTGCCAAAAGAATGGTTGAGAGTGCTGCGTTCCCAGGAGGATATTATCCGAATACTTTTGAAGCGCCCGATGAATCAGAGGGCTCTGGAAGCTCCGCGCAGATTGATACCGAGGTTACCGCATCTGAGAATTCAAGCACTCCCGCACGAAAGTGTATTAGGTTGAATTATAATGATGAAGATCCTTATGGTGTCCAGAGACAAGTCATTTCCTTGTATAACATGTCACAGTCTGAGAGGAAGGATTTGATTTATCGTCTCAAACTGGAGCTGGAGCAGACAAAGATTGTTCTTAAGAATGCTGAGTTGCAGAGAATGAACCCAGCTTTTGTGTCGTCTACTAGTGATAGGGTGGGTTTTAGCACTGCTCAGAAACTATCATCTCGACTCAGCAATTTGAAGACGCCATCTGATTTTGCAACGGGGCCAGGAAAGAAAGTTCGGCATCAGACTGGGACTTCTCGTGGATGGAACCGTGGCTCCTCGGGGAAGTTTGAATCTACGAAAGAGTCTATGGCTAGCGCTCCTAACATGACACTGATGAAGCAATGTGACACGCTGCTGAAAAAACTGTGGTCCCATCCGCATGCTTGGGTTTTTCAGGCGCCTGTTGATGTAGTGAAACTAAACATACCTGACTATCTCACTATTATCAAACATCCCATGGACTTAGGGACGGTAAAGAAGAACTTAGCGTCTGGTGTATACTCAAGCCCACATGAGTTTGCTGCCGATGTGAGGCTTACATTTACCAATGCAATGACATATAACCCACCAGGACATGATGTTCACATTATGGGGGATATTCTTAGCAAATTGTTTGAAGCGCGGTGGAAAACGATTGAAAAGAAATTACCAGCGTGTAGCATGCGAACGTTGCCTGCAATTACATTGGAACCCATTGATGAAAGGAAAGCTGCTATTTCTGTCCCTCCGGCAAAGAAGAGGAAGATGGCTTCACCCCTTAGAGAGGGTGTTCTTGAACCCGTGAAGCCACTTATGACAGCAGAGGAGAGGCATAGATTGGGGAGACAACTCGAGTCACTACTGGACGAACTTCCTGCACAGATCATTGACTTTTTGAAGAAACACAGTTCAAATGAAGGAGAAATTGCAGAAGACGAAATCGAGATAGACATTGATGTTCTCAGTGATGAAGTACTGCTCACTCTTCAAAAGCTTCTAGATGAATATATCCAAGATAAAGAAGCGAAGCAGTCGAATGTTGAACCATGCGAAATAGAGGTAATCGTCATCTCATATGCTAGGCTAAATATTCACAGGCAGTTTTACTGAAAAGCAACGTATTTCGTTTGTTGCAGCTTCTTAATGGATCCGGGCCGAGCAGTTCGTCCCTGCAACGAGGTAAAACTCAGATTCTGTTTGCAAATTATATTCTAGATTTATACTGATCAGTTGTCTCTGTGGTCACCAATATTCTTATCTTTGCCTGATTCTATGTCCTTTTCCTAGGAAATGAATTGGCTGATGAGTATGTTGGTGGAAACGAACCTCCTATCGCAGGGAGCTCCAGTGGTTAGTTGCAATCCATATATATCTCTCAGCTCTTTCGTAACATTTTCTAGTTCTAGGTTCTCTATGGATTTCATTATATATCACTGACTCATGTTAATATCAGAACCCTTATAAATTTTGTCCCCTTCTATGTTGATATCATGATATTTCTATCGTTTTTAGCCTTTTTAGTCATATGATTATTTTGGTTAGCCAAGTATCATTCCTGTCTATCAACTTTCATATTTTATTGGATCTCATTGATTCGATGGTGGTTAGGAAGCTCGTCAAAGTTTCATTGGCTGATGCATTAATTATAATCAATGATTGAAACTTTGTCAAATTTGATTCTGGCAATTTCATTGAAGAACAGTAGGATAAAAATCTACAGCTTACTTAGCAAATCTCTGTAGCAGCTGTTGTTTTTTATATTATGTGTTACTGAATAGTGTGTTGCTTTTCAGATTCTGAGTCTGGTAGCTCCGAAGATCAATCCGATGACCCTAAACCCATGATGCAAGAGAATTCTTCCAAGGTATAATCTGTAATGTCAGCTTTTCAAGGCATGTAATACGTTACGAATCTAAACCACGCAGATGATGACTTTCCAGATGCCTGAAACTGCAAATTCTGAGGCGCAGAGAAATGAAGATACGAGACCTGATGATCTTTTTGATGGAAGTCGTGAGTACTTAAAATCTTTTGAATTCATAAGCTTTGAGGGTTTATTGCTCATTTTCTACCCTGATTTGCTCTGTTGGAACAACTATAGTCTGCCACAGTAAATGTAATAGATGTTGGTGATCGATGCAAAATTACTGTCATAGGAATTTTTTTATGGTACATATTTACAGTTTGTACCTCTGGTGTATTTACTACAGAATCTACTGGTGCCCCGGAGCAGATGGATATTTGTGCTCAGCAAAAGCGTAGTTATGATGAATCAGATGGTCAAAATGATGGTGAGATGCAGAGAAAAAAGAGTTTCTCTATTTGAGTCATGAAGTGAGTATCTCACAGTTTATCGACTTCATGCTTCAGGAAATATATTAAAAACTCAGGCTTCATCTGAGAAGCGGTATAGAGCTGCGCTGTTGAAGAACCGATTTGCAGATATCATTCTAAAAGCACGCGAGAAAACACTTCCACAGGTCTATACTTATTCTCAATACGGTCTAAATCTTCATTTGACTTAATTTGTGACTGGGTTACACTTCTGTCCAAACCTCCCTATGAACACTGTTTGGCTTGAATAGTGGCATTGGCTGATTAACCAATAGGCCAGGAAGAATAGAAGTAGCTTTTCGGGTTTTATATTTTGGTAGCAGAATATATGGATCCAGTCTAAACAATCACAGAAAAGCTTGGAGATATAGATTTGGAAATATGATTACTTTTTCTAAACTAATAAAATCAAAGAGCATAGGAACATACCTAGGTACCATTGTTTTTGTTCACACACAATAGCAACGTCCACATTTGCGTTAAGTTGATTCCTGAAATAAACGCGGACATCACCTACTCTACACTATCTTTGAAGCATTCCTTTTGATCATGGGAACTAATACGTTTATATTTCATCTCGCATGAGAGCAGATCAGTAATAAGGGAGATCCAGAAAGGCTGCGTAAGGAAAGAGAAGAACTCGAACTGCAGAAGAAGAAAGGTAGGTTGTTTATATACCAACAACCCAATTTGTTATTATTTTTTTTCCCTGTATCTCCGGATCTTTCTAACAAGAACATGTTTGTAGTTTTTTAACTGAAAACCATTTGTTTTTGCTGCCAGAGAGAGCGCGGCTACAAGCTGAGGCAGAGGCTGCTGAAGATGCTCGTCGTCAGGCTGAAGCAGAGGCTGCTGCAGAAGCTGCTGCTGAGTCTAAGCGGAAAAGAGAACTCGAAAGAGAAGCTGCACGCCAAGCTTTATTGAAGGTAAATAGCAGACACATGACTTGCATTACAGTACCACAGTACCACGAACTCTCAAATCACCTGATAGGGAGAAACATGTGTATAATGGAGAACGTTCTCTGATAAATTTAAATATTCCACCATAGCAACTTATGTGTTGTTATGTTTCTTATCTTTGACTTCCTTGCAGATGGAGAAAACTGTAGAGATCAACGAGAACTCACGGTTCCTCGAGGACCTAGAGATGCTGAGTTCGAGTGCACCTGAGCAATTACCAAGCTCGGCCGATGAAATCAGCCCCGAGAGACCTTTAGACGCACTTGGAAGCTTCAACCTCAGAGGAAGTAACCCTCTGGAGCAACTCGGACTGTACATGAAACAAGACGATGATGAAGAAGAACCTGAGGCTCCTGCTGTTCCAAGCCTAGCCACCGACGTGGAAGAAGGTGAAATCGATTGAAGTAAAGTGTATATAGATAATATGTACATGCATAAAACAATAGCCAGGGCAGGTACACTTAGTGTATGATTATATATTTAAAAAAAAAAAAAAAAGAGTCCAGACCATTGTTTGTGTAAGAATCTATCTTCACATTTGTTCTTGATGAATGGTTCTCTATGCTGAATCTACTACCATAATGATTCTCTATACTGCATTATGACTATCTTGATCCAAATTTTATTTGATTTTAAGGTGATTTCGTCTGTGAATGTTATTCACAAAGTTAGGTCGACCTTAAACACAATCCATCATTGGTGAATTCCCATTTCTCAAAATTGATTTTCTAATCTCCTAAAAAGCTATCCCCAAAAATGATACATAGCCAAAAGTTTTACATATATGTATTAAGTTGGCGGTTAAGACTAGAGAGTTTCTTGTGTTTGAAGAATTCAAGAAAACGGTCTACTGAATTGAATTGGTCGATACTACAGTTCTTTTTTTTAGTTGTTTTATATTCCAACATTTTTTTTGGTCAAAATTAAAAAAGGAAACGTGAATGACACCATTCATGAAGCTTATAGATTGAAAACGCCGTCGCTTTAGGTGTTTCCTCACCAACCCTTAACCTCGTTTCTCTAAACAAATCTCAACCATCTCTATCGTCGTCGTCGTCCTCCTCTCTATGTATGTCTCATCATCCATCTCTCTCTATATATATTGGACATGACTCTTGGCCCTTTCCGTGTATAAGTCAGCGATGGAGGGAATTACGAATTTCAAAGATCTACCATTGTTCTTCTCAATCTTCGTCTTCGTCTATCTTCACGGTTACTTGTTCATTTTCCGGCGATGGACCCCAGAGTCTCGTCCTTTAGCCTCCAGCTGCTTGATTTCCCTCCTTCACGGCGTCTCCGCCGTTTTCCTCGCCACGCGCTCCCTCATCTCCGATCCTAACCGCGGTTTCTCCTCCCGCAACACCCAATCACAAAACGCCGTTCTCGATTTCAGCTCCGCTTATTTCCTCACCGATCTTCTCCACCTCGCCGTTTTCCCCTCTCCCGCCGGCGGAGACGCCCTCTTCGCCGCCCATCACGCCGCCGTGCTCTTCGTTTTCCTCACTTGCCGCTACCTCGTCGCTCACGGCGCCTGCGCGCTCCTCGCGCTCCTCATCGTCGCCGAGGCAACCAGCGCGTGTCAGAACACGTGGACGCTCGCGGAAGCGCGTGGCCGAGACGCTCCTTTTGCGGTGAGCCTGCACCGTTTCGTGACGCTGCCGTTTTACGCGTCCTACAGCGTTTGCAGGTGCGTTCTCGCGCCGCTGCTTATCGTTAAGATGACGTGGTTTTACGTCACTGGAGGCGCTGATGACGTCATACCCAGATGGGTTTGGGTGTCGTGGACCGTCGTTATTGTCGTTGCCGTTACCGTCAGTATTCTTTGGATATGGAATCTATGGGTTCTGTTTTTTGAGGAAAGATATGCCAAAATTGCAAAAAAAAAGATTAAATAAAAAAATATTAGTTTGATTTTTCCATATCTCAGATTTGCTACCTAATTTTAGCGTAAAGTAATCTCCGAATCAAAGCATATCCATGGATTTGGAGCTACGTCCATATGATCAGCACTAATACACTATCTATCATTGGGTTTAAGCATAATTGGTTTTTGGCATCTTGTAAAATGTACACTTTAAAAGAATTGGAGACGAATTTACGAAAACAAATTATATAAGTTAAAAAAAAAATTGATCCCGTCACTGAAATTCATATTTCAAATATTGGATAAGGTTTATAATATTTTTTAGGATTATGGAGCTGGTGAAAGGTATTTAAGGTTGACCCGTTTAAATGCAGCGGTTGCAGTTGCGAACGCAAGAGTTTACGAAAGCGAGCGATGTGGTTTTGAGCGTTATTAAGTGGTTTGCACGATTGGTAAATTTTTTAAAACATATTTATTTGCGTGACATTTTTGACTGGCGAACCAACAGATGTTTTAACGGCTAAATATAAAATTATCAAAATAAACATCATATATTAAAAAAAACATAAAAACTATATTATTATGCTTAATATCAAAATCACTAATTCAAAATGATGTAAAATTTCTTCAATTGATATAATTGATTTTTTGCACAACTCCAACTTAAATTAACTCCAATTTAAATTAACTCTAATTTAAAATAACTCCAAATTGCTTATTAATATTCTTTAAAATACATTCTTTTTGGAGTGGACTTAAAAATCTAGATTCTTTATCTTTAATTTGTTTTTTCACAATGATCCGTTAAAGTAACACACATGTCATCTCGTTTGACCATGTAATTTATTATAGCAAACTAATTTTGTAATTAATAAAATACATATATATTATTTTATACTTCAAAAGTGGAAACAGAACGATCATGGTGTGACTCCATAATTGTCACCTACATGCAATAGGCATATATTGTAACAAAAAAGTCAAGGAAACAAACTAACAATAGAAAATATAACGTTGTGTTTATTTTTATTTTTATTTTTATATCCAACCGCTATCGCCAGCAAACGCAAACGCTGGCGGGAAACAGCTTTTGGATTTTAGTGATATAAAACGATACAAAATGGTTTATAGAAATTAGATTGTTATAAAACATTATTAACCGTTACCAACCGTAAACACTGTGTTTGCGGGTGATAACGGATAAACCAATCAATACCTAAGAATGTTTGTCATAATCCATGTTAAAAAAGTGTTAGATATTACTCGGACGCTAGAGATTAGTTTTTATATTTATTTTAATTATTTTAACTATTTTTAATATTTATTCATTTTTAAAAATTAATTTTGTCATATTAGACATATATGAACTAAAGTTTGTATAAATACATGTAGACTTAGAAAACATATTGACGTGTTGAGGATCGAAATTTAACTCAAACCCATAAAAATCTATGACAATTTTTTCAAATTTAGTTTTTATGTTTTTTGTCCCACATCGACAAACTTGAATAATTGAGAAGGGAAAGCTGCACTAGAGTCTTCATCTTCATTGCAATTAACAAGTCTTCATCTTCATTGCAAATCCAATCCATCATAATAGTGGGCTCTATCGAACTCAGGGTGCGATCCAATCCAATTGGGCCTGAAATTCGCCCCAATTGTTTTTAAGAAGTCTCTGATTTTTTACTTAAATCGCCGATTTTTACAAGTAATCGATTTTAGGCGGTATAAAATCGGTTATCCGCCTAAGTTGACCGCATAGCTCAAAATCGCGGTGGCTGGCCACCGATCAGTGTCTAGTCGGTCGAAATACTAAGTGAAATCACAGGTATAAACCGAAATCCTAAGTAAAATCACAGGTATAAACTTTACCAAAAACGTTGACCAAAAAAAACGAAAAAACTTTAGGGAAAGATTTTTTGTAATGAAAACACAATTTGAAATCTCTTAAATATGGTTAATATGGTTATAGAGGCCAGGCCCAACTTTAAATTATTTTTAGGAAGAAGAGTCCACATTTAGGCCGAAGACTGGCGTCGCTGCTTCTCTCTAGATTCTTCTTTTCTCGTTCTTAGTCTCAAAAATCGTCCCTAGTTTTTCCCCTTTTCACGCTCAGAATCAGCCTGTTTCCAATTTCAGTTCTTTTCGTTTCGTTGGTATCAGAGAGACTTTCAATTTCCTGCGCTTGCAAATAGGTTCGTCGTTATTTTCATGGCGCTTTTTATTCTTCTTCTGGTTCTGACACATCGAGATTGGTCATTGATCGTATCTGTAGCTTTGATAAGCCGATTTCTATATTTGTTGATTATGAATTTCAAGCTTTTTTTTTGTTCGCTTTTGACGATGAAATTAGTGGTATTATTACCATGACTTCCATTTAGGTCTGGGTCGTTTGATTCGTGTTTCCTTATGTATGATGATTCTGTTCTTTATGTTCAATATCTGGTAATGTGTGTGGTAAGGTTACTAATTGTAGTATCCTAGAAATATTTTAGATCTTTATTATGTTTGTTACCTTCCTAGTCGATTTGAAATGATGAAAGTTGAGAACTTTGTGTTTTTTTTTGTTGATTTTTTTAGAGTTCATATACTGTTAGTGTTCATGGAAGATCAAGCCACTAATCAATGCTCAAGTAGCAACAATGTGTCTGAGGAAACGTCAGAATCAACTGTTGAGCTTAACGTCAAGACGCTAGACTCACAGACGTATTCTTTTCAAGTGAACAAGAATGTAAGAAGTCCATCTTCTTTATATGTTATGATCATGTTTGTCAGTGTCAAACCTGTGTATTTTCTTAAGCTTGTTATGCTTCTGTCTTATTTATATATATTTGGGCTTGACTTGTTTCAGGAAACAGTTTCATTATTCAAGGAGAAGATAGCTAGTAAGATAGGGGTGCCGGTTGCTCAGCAGAGGCTAATTTTCCGGGGACGGGTTTTGAAAGATGACCATCCTCTCTCGGAGTATCGTATCCTACTGCTATCTACGTTATTAACTTGTAGAAATTTTGTTACAGGAAGCTGTTGCATTATGCCTACAAATGCATATTTTCAAAACCTGTCTGACTCTATGATAATAACGTATGCCTTGGAGACTTTTATAGGGATTAGATAGAAAGGCTGCCCATTTATTGTTAAATATTGGAAGTATTAACTAAAACCTTTTGCATTGCACCGTCGTTCATTCAGTTGAATTTGTATAGTTAAAGACAGTTCTAAGATAATGTGCCCATGAAATGCCCTGTAATTTCAGCTGATTTCTACTGCGAATCCTACACTGCTGAGGAAGCCATAATCATGAAAAAATATATATACCCCTTTGCAAACCTTAGCTTTAGTTTTCTGTCTGTCCTTTCCATCTGTCACTTGTTTACTTTAGTATAGTTAATAACTTGACATCTTCTTAGATTTAGAAAATGGGGATACTTTACACTTGGTAGTGAGGCAGCCAGCAGAATCTGTGCCATCATCTGGTACACCTTCAGAAGGGTCAACTGCAAATGATGGTAATTATATTCAAACTACCTCTTTTGGTATGTGTTCTGAAAGAGCTGTTAACACAACCAATTTCTGGTGCCTTGAAAATGAACTTCAACTTATTCTTTAATTCAATAGGAAATGGTACAAATGGAGGACCATCTCGAAATCGGGGACACATCTCCCACAACGTAGTTCTTGGGACTTTTAATGTTGCAGATCATACAGAAGGCATCGTTCCAGATATCAGCCGGGTAATCCCTTACCATTTGTAATATTAGGTGTCTTTTGGGGAGTGTATTGTTTATCCTATTGGATAGTTTGATTGGGCTTTGGATCAATGACAGAATAAATTTGGTGAAAGACGTATCTTACCTGTTTTTACTTTTGTGCTACTTAGGTCATTGGAGCAGTTCTAAATTCTTTTGGAATAGGCGGGCAGCAGCCTATAAATAACAATACTAATGGCACGCAGTCATCTATGCCCGTAAGTTGCGTTCTCTTCACACTCTACTTCGAATTTAGTTTTAATTAGTGCCTAGTCTTCCATTTTGTTCTATTTGCTGCAGTTTTTCATTGTTCTTGCGGAAAACTTTCTGCGAAATTTATTTATTAATTATTGTTGAGAATCAAAGGTTGTTACCTTCGGATGTGTTGTGGTTCATTAGAAGTAATTCATATTGTCATCCACGGGTGCATATTTCTAAACTCTTTTGCTTTCAATTTTCTTTCCCCTAGTCAAATTTGTCTGGTCATGCTCCTCCTGGAAATACATCTGATGGAGCGCCTGCCACCGGGGGTCGAAGTCAAGCGGCAGGTCATTCACTACCTAGGCAAGCATTTCCGCGTGCAACATATCAAGCATCAATGCCTCATGTGGTTCAGATTCCGGTTACAGCAACTACAGCAATACCTATTCCTTCGTTTCAAATGGTAATTCTTAATCTCGTAGTAATTTGATCTCGAGTCTAGAGCTTCAATCTTGTTAATTTACTAATCTAACTTTCTAATTATGCAGCCTATCCCAGATTCGTTAGACACTCTTTTTGAGTTCATTAATCGGATGGAGCAAGCATTATCACAAAATGGTATTGATCTAAGTTTTATTATCATCGTGGTCAAAAATACATTAACAACTTAATTGGATGTTCCTCTAGGGCATCAACCAGAATCCTCTTCTGCCACATCAGGAGGCCAGCCAAGGGAAGAGTTGCCTAGAAATAGACGAGGTCCATCAACGCCTGAAGCTCTCTCTATTGTCCTGAGGAATGCACAGCGTTTACTGAGTGGTCCAGCTGTATCTAATTTATCGGTAAACACCTTCAAAATGCTTATTAATTGATTCCAATGTTTCTCAGTAGATTAACTTCTATTGAGTCTGACTTTCATTATCGGAGAATTGTCAGGTATAGACTTAGCCTGCCTTGTCATCTAATTATGCGTTGTTTGTGATTTGCAACAACATTGTTGTAGCATATCGCAGGTCGTCTGGAACAGGATGGATCCTCTACAGATCCTGCTCTCAGGGCACAAATCCAGACAGAGGCAGTGCAAGTAGGTCTTGCTATGCAACATTTAGGGGCCCTCCTACTGGAGCTCGGGCGCACGATACTCACACTGAGAATGGCACAGTCTCCGGTTTGTTTTGGGCCATTTTCTTTTGCGATTGTTCCTATTTTCCTTAACTTGGAGCTCACAAGCAGTGTGATTTACAGGAATTGTCCTATGTGAATGCTGGGCCTGCTGTTTATATATCTCCATCAGGACCGAATCCTATTATGGTTCAGGTTACCTTCTTGTCTCATCTATTTTCTGATCTAATAACTATACTTGGTTAATCTTCTACTGTTATTTTTGCAGCCTTTTCCTCATCAAACCAGCTCTCTCTTTACTGGTATGGCTGCCCCATCAAATCTAGCAACCGGTTCTGTTGGTTTAGGAACTGCCCCAAGGCACATTAACATTCACATACATGCTGGTGGGTGATGTTCACTTATATTCCATTAGACCTAGCTCTGCAATTCTTCTCTAACAAGTTTTGTGCTTAATTACCAGGCACATCGCCTTCACCTGTGATGTCGTCAGTAGGAAACCAGCAAAGCAATGGAGAAGGAGGGCAACAAGGTAATGACAGTAACACAAGTTCAGTTCGGGTACTCCCAGTGAGAAACATCATTGCTGCTGCTGTTCCATCACGCTCTACTGGTGAGAATGTTTCTGCTGGGGTTCAACCTGGTTCGGATGGTTCTGTTTCAGCTGCTGAAATTAATGCAAGGATTAGAGAGATGGTAAACAATATGCAAGGAAGAAATCAGGTTCCATCCGGTAGGTTTCCTGCTAACTAAATTTTTACATTGTGGATGAAATGTTGTTATTCAAGCTCTTCGTCACGCTTCAATTAGGTACGGAATCTCCCGAGCTAAATACGTCTTCGGGCTATGGTGTTTCTAGTGCTACGCCTGTCCAGCCGACCAACATTGCAGCTACTCACACACCTGAGGAGTCAAGTGGATCACTGCCTGACTTACCATTTGAAAGGCGTAACTGGATTGTATGTCTTCTCAGCAATCTGAGAATTCTTTCCTTTTTTTTCAGTATTCTCTTCCTGTCACTAATCAACGGTTTTTAACACAGGATCAAAGTTATAGAGAACATTATGAAGATTTAGGGCAGCCGGCGAGTGCAAATGATATCCCTTGTATTGCAGGGCAATCTCCAGCTCCGGTTGGAGAATCCACAAGCAACGAAGAAGATTCTGCCGGTGATGCCAAATCAACCAAGAAGGCTATTCCGGAAGTATCTACTGCTACACCACTTGGATTGGGGCTTGGGGGTTTGGACCGTAAGGTAACAAATGAGTTGAAAACAAGTGGCAAGTTGCTGTATTTTTTTTTTCACTGCATAGCATATCAACAAGATATTTTGATAATCTGTGACATTGTGTTCCAAATGCTTATTTTTCTTAATTTTTGTTTGTTAAAGAAACGAAGCAAGCAGCCCAAGGCATTAGGTAAGAATGATGAACGTGGGACTTCTGCTTCGGTTGAAGATGTGCAACAGAACATTGGGACCAGTAGCCAGCAGCTTTTGCAATCTCTATTTTCTGGTAGTTCTCACTCAGTTGAGACTGGTCTTGGACGTGAGCAAGGTTCTGATGATCGGGTAGATGTCTCAAGTGCAATGTCTCAGGTCTTGGAGAGCCCTGTATTGGATGGATTGCTAGCAGGGGTATCCCGACAAGCTGGTGTTGAATCACCAAATATGCTGAGAAATATGCTGCAGCAGTTTACCCAGAACCCACAGATTATGAATACAGTCCAACAAATTGCCCAACAGGTGGATGGGCAAGAGATAGAGAATATGATTTCAGGCGGAGCTCAGGGCAGAGGTGGTGGCATTGATTTCTCTAGAATGGTCCAGCAAATGATGCCTCTAGTCTCACGTGCCTTTAGCCAAGGAGGGCCATCATTAGAACCCGCAACACAACAGTCTGATGATCATCAACCTTTTCAGGTAATACCTCTTTGTGTGTTCAATCCGGTTTTTCCTTTAGTTTGGGTCTCATTTTCTTGTGTGTTTTAGTAGTAATCATAGAGAACTGGATCTTTGTATGGATTGACTTGGTATGGGTTGGGTTTAAAGGTTTTGTTTGGGGTTTGATTTATAGAAAGTCGAGTTTAGGTTCGATTTAGGTTGAATTTTGTTTTCTCAGTTATAGAAAAAGTAACACCATTATGACCCTAACACAGAATCTACTTTGGATTTCTGAATTGGGTTTTTCAGTTTCATTTGGATTGAATGAGTTTGGTTCATCCGGATTGAACAAAGAACCTCAATAAACAGCAATTGTCTCTTGGTCTATCTCGTGTAATGAATGTATTTTGTTTCTGCCCACTTAGGAAAACGTTCAACCCATGGTGCAAATGATTGAGCACTCTGACCCACCAGAAGATGTCTTCTGTGCAATGGTTGAAAATGCTGCGATGAGTCAAGAAGACCTTGCGAACGAGCTCTGCGGCGATGAAGTTCTTGCTCATGTAAGTATCAAAGAGACTAGTTTGCTTGTTATACTTTATTTTGAAATAAAAATTCCCTTTATCAGACTTGTCATTGTGGATTGCAGGAATATGCGGAATTGCTAAGGCGAGATATCGAAGGCCGGCTACGACTACAAGATGATCAAGGTTCATAAGATACATTGCAAAAATTGGTTTCATAAGTTTCAGATGTTAAATTTTGTGTTTGAATATTCTTTGTTTACTTGCTAAGATCACCCACCCCCCACTATGTAACAAGAATTAAGGTTTGGGATGGTGTGCTCTGCTGAAGATGAACAGTAATTTATCTGGTCTCTGAAGGGTTTATTCAGTTTGATACTTCAATCATATGGCAACATTTGTTTCTTAGTTTACACAGTATGTCATGTTTAAGTGATGAGTGTTAGAGACGACTAATTAAGCTGCAGTCTTAATATTACCCCCCGTAATGTATAATGTTAGCGCACAACAACATGAATGAAATGTCTAGTGTACGTTGATGCTTCGGTTTAGGACCGGTTTTGAATTGAACCTTCGAAGAGGTATGTCGTCTAAGTAGACATGTTTTTATAAATCAAGAATTTTCAACAATGTCGAAAACTAACAACCATGCATCTACGCTCCAGATTAATCAGCATCATGGCCAATTAATTGGTTAAGTGACTAATCGGTCTAGACACAATTTTTGAAAAGACAATGATCAAATATTCGATCTACACGTTAATTCCATAGCAGAGAAACGACGATTCAAAATCTTTAAATCCTCAAATATCAAACATGGTAAAAAAATGATATATATGTAGTTTTGACTTGCAAAAACACTTTCAGTTTTAAAGGCTATATAGGTTTTAGAGACCATCACTGCTTTTACATATATTTTTTTAAGATGATCCAACTCTTCTTTGTGTTGTAATTTACGAGTAAAACTTGTAGTCCTTGGCTTGAATAATTATCGTCCTTAGCCCTCCGATCGGCGATAGCACCATCAAGCAAACGCCAAATACAATGCATATCTGAAAAAAAAACGCCGATAAAATTTTACAAAGAACAACAGTACATTTTAGAAACGCAACCGCTAGCTGCAAAAAAAAAGCTAAACACAATTTCAAACCAAAAGAAAGAAAACGCTTTTTCGTGTTGCTAGTACTTACCCAATTGGCCCACCAAGACAAGCTGTATCTCCTTGGTTTGTATATGGCAAGCCATATTACGCAAGGAAGCTTTTTGCAAAAGAAAGGAAACACAAATAAAAACATTTCTTAATTAGTCTAATTTCTTAAAATACAATAATATATAAGAAAACAAAAGAAAAAAGCATTTTAAGTAATGGCAGACTTACGAAGTATGTTGTTGGAGCAAACGCAAATCCGCCAAAAAACGCCAATAGACCGCCGAAAAACGGAAACGTCATACCGACGAACATTGTCGCAGCTGCAGAATCATAAATAAAAAACCTCATTAATTTATATAACTTGCGAATCAAGAAATTATACACTCATACACTTACCAACGTAGAAATTGCGGACAAAGAACCGGAGGATCCACCTCGGTCTGAAATTCATCTTCTTAACCAACAATGTCTCCATCATATCGAAAACCGGCATCGCATATATCTGAAGAATGGAATTTTATATCCTTAATTAACCTTGAATTTTTTTTTTCTCTCTGTACCAAAATAATTATAAAAAACGGTTTAAATTACCTGGTAGCTACCAATGACATGGATCACAACAAAAATGTTTGCGGTTGCGATTAACCAAGCCGGTTTCTCGAGTGTTTCAAGAATGTTGTCGTCAACGGAGTTTCCGAACATCCAATAACCGATAAGTGCGACGGGAAAATAACAAAGCGCGACGACAATGTAAGCAACGACGACTCCTTTCCACATGGGACCTTTAGAGGGCTTTTCAGGCGTCGAAGGGATCGTGGCTTGGATCTCTAGGACAACGTTATGGCCTGCGTAAGCAAACGCTACTTCCCCTAACGCACTAAAGAAGTTGAACACTGTTCCTGCTGTTGATTTCGCTTTGTAACCGTATTCAACGTTTTCTTTAACGCCTTTAGCGACTGAAGCTGACCACGCAATTGTGGAGTAGCTACATAGACCAAAAATTGGATCCGGTTATTAGTAATTGATGATATCGGTTTGATTAACCGTATAACAAATGTCGAACCGGCACTGTACTGATCAATACGATATACATACTAAAACCAAAGCAAACCGGTATGTCCATCTCTATATTAATGCATTGGATTTTACCGGCTATCAAGTTAACCAGTTAATAACCAAATCGAACCGGTTTTTTTAATTACCTGAGAGACATAACGGCGGCAGCGAGAGAGACGCCGGAGATGGAGTTGAAGTTAGGGAGATGAGAGAGGACAAAGTGTACGGAAGCGAAGATCATGATGAAATAAGTGAGTTTAATAGATTTACAGTTGTCGCAGACGAGCTCATGAAATTTCTTGAGAGATTTGCCTCCGGTGACCATGTAAACGATGCAAACGCCGACTTCCACAATCAGCTGTTGCGGCACGACTATGTATAGTCCGAGTTTTTCTCCAAACGCGTGTTGTCCGAGCTCGTGGTAGCGGTCGAAACGTTTTCCTGGAACCATCTCGTGCATCTCCACCATTTGCCATAATGTGTATAGCGTTATGACCCATGACAAAATTAGTATTGCCACACCCGGTCCCCTGTTAACCGGTAAAATTGTGTTAAAAACTCGGTTTAATTATATATTTTTATATTCTTACATTTGATTCGAGGCTCCTCTTAGATTTTTTTTTTCTTTGTCATTAATTGAGATAATCTCAACAAATACTCACATAGTTATAGTACTATAGTTTTCTTTGGGATACTCTCTCAACACATATATAGTATAGTGTTCATTGTTTTCAACTCATAGTACGTATTAGTCTTTCAAAACACTAAAATGCAACACATAGTATAGTCTTCATCATTACTTGGAAAATGTAACTAGTGTATGAGTGGGCATTTTCGTTTGAATATTGTTTGTTTCGATATCGGCTGGAATATAGTTTGATGCAAATAAAATTATAGACAACAAAAGTAATTTCGGTTTAGTGAGGTTGACTCAATTTCGATTTGGTTCAATCGGTTCGGTTTGGTTTAAATATCCATCTATATTAATTAAATCTTGCATTTGATTCGAGTTGACCTTTTTGTGAGCTTAGCAATTGGAGCTTAGCTTCAGATTAAATGCATCAATCAAGGTGAATTACGAAAGAAAAATATTGTTAGTTTGGATTTGAAGTCGAAAAGAAGAGAAAGTGATATACCAGCCAAGCTGAGCCATGGCGTAAGGGAGGCTAAGAACACCAGCTCCGACCATGGCCGTGACATTGTGAAACGCAGAGTACCACCACTTTGCGTTCCTCGATGACGTTATCGGAAGCCAATCGTCGATTTCTTTTTCTCTCGCTCTTCTCTCATCAATCTGTTATTAATTTGATCATATCAATATAAGTCGTTGAAGTTCCCAAAACTTTAGAAAAAGTCGTGAGGCGCAAGTACTAGTCAATAAGCCAAACTTTTGTTTAACTTGTAGTAAAAGTAAATGCAGCCCAACCAATCACCCAATTAATTGTAAAAACACAAAAGTTAAAAACTTAATTCACAAATGATCATCTGAATAAAAAGAAAGCAGAACAACTCTCATTTTAGTTTTTTTTGCCAAGGGATGATACTCGTTCTTTATTGTCCTTAGAAATACAGCAAGTGGTAATTTTTTGTTCTAATATTTCAATGGATAAATTTGATAGAATTCCCATATAAATCACAAAAATAGAGACAGAAAACGAGAGAAACTAACATCTTTATTGTATGAATCATCTTCATCAAGAAGTTGAGTTCCCATGGTGACACAGAAAGAGTAAGAGGAAGAGATCTAGAGAGAGACAGAAAAAAAAAAAAAGATCTTAAAAGGTTTCAGAAAGCTGAGACAACCGTAATTCATATACACAAATATATATAGGGAATATCTGAATGTGAGTATAGGGTGGGAGAGAGAGATATATTCTGACTTTAAAAATTGTGGAGAAAACGTGAAATCAAGGAGTAGTATTACATCAAATTTTTTTAAAGTCTAATTTGTATTTTCCCTGCGTTTGTACAGGTCAATAGATAATATTATTGGAATGTGTTTGTACACACTACGATTCTTAGGAACTGTCTCAGCTGTCGTTAAAATATACATATAGGAAAAAAATGAAAGATCATAGACAAAAGCAACTTACATAATTGTACTTTAATCAGATTAATAAATATCACAGATAGAGACGATAACGTGACTAGCTCTATTATATGACTATATAGACTATACATGTAACACCTAACGCGAAAAAATGCGTTTTCTAATATTCCATTATTTGGAGCATTGACCAACCGGAAACTGATTCTAGAAAATGGGAAACTGTTTCTCATAAACATTTTCTTGGAATCTTTTATTTTTTTGGTTAATTCTTTTCGGGGAATCTTGGATTCAGACTCAGCTATTTTCCAGTGCTTCTGTTATTTTGTTGGTTAGATTCTTTATTTTCAGAAAAAAAAACAAATCACACGAATTCGTCTTTATGTGCATCTCTCCAGTCACAGCGTTATAAAAGACAGAGAAAAACTTTATGGCGGCTAAACCTAAGTTTGGTTGTAGATAGTTTTAATATTTATTTGATAAACTTGTGTAAACTATATTGTTTTGTAAGATCCCTTCTTCTTTAATAAAGATAAACTAGTTATTTGATGTATGGCCGGTCGTATCCTCTAAATCAGTATCCACCGATTCAAATTATCATTATTTTGGATATCAATTTTATTTGTAGTTATATATAGATATAATAAACCAAGAAGGGTTCTATAACTATGTTATCCGCTGATTGATTTAATAAGAAAACCATATCTAAAAGCGTATATCAATATCCATTGTTTTTGTTTGCATGATCTCTCAACAAGCAATTAGTATTTTGGGGATGAGAAATTTCATTGAACTGTATAAATGGCAGGAACGAAGGAAGATTTTTTAGGAAATGACTTGTCAACAGTCAGAAGTGCGAATGAAATGTATAATTCAAAATAGCATTTTCATAAATTGATTGTGTACATATAGTTTAATATTAAGTTGGGAAACAAAATGTTAGAGATACATGAAACAAGTTTATTAGTCAAAAATAAATGGTAAATAGGTTTAACATTTTCAAAATAAATGGTAAATAGGTTTAACATTTTCAAAAATAAATGGTAAATAGTATTCTAAAATTGTTTCCTCACACTTTCTTAGATTATATGTGTTTGATCTTTCTTTTCTAAGAAAGCTGTGAGGAAACAACTTTAGAATCCTGCATCCATATGTTTGTGACGCAAAACTTTTTTTTGATTTTCTAAAGGAAAAAATAAGATTATGTCTAAATAGAAAAACGGAAAATAAGTTTTATTTTCCCTAAGTTTGCTTGTTATTAAACTGAATAAAAATACCCTAATCAGCAAAATAGATACAAGGCAGCTCAGAAATACATAATTGATAATTCCGATCGAGTCAACTATTAGGTGTGTGTATATTATTGATCGTCATATAATTATTGTTTTATTTGATGATACTGATATGAAAGAAAAAATCAAATACAAAGTATTTTATGTTTTTCCCTTATACAAGACAAAAAATTGGTGTAATCAAATTTGGTCTTTTGCCTGCTTTGCGGAGCTTAATTTGGATGACATTGATAAGTACAAACCTGGCTCAAGTCAAAATGTTGAAAGAACGATAATAAACCTTAAATTAAGGGATTAATATTTTAAAAACAATAGTTATTCAAAAATTTATAATCTATTCATTGTTTGGTCATTTTCAAACTTGTGCACTTGACATTTTCATAACGTGCTTAGGTCACCGTTTGTCGTGTGTATTTTTTTAGTGTTGGTTTTAATTTGATCGAATGACACTGCTTCCAAATATCATTGTTCACCAATCTCTTATCACCTATTTTTCTCGGTGCCATGTATCTGTTGAAATTTCGTATTTCAAAATGTTTGCAACTGTTAGGAAACTTACATTAAAAAGTATTAAAAATCCTCAATTTCAATTTGAAAAAAAAAAAATCATATTTGTTGACGAGCATATGACTAACAATGTCCTAGTCCACTCCACTCATATCCCAAAAGCATATTGTACAAACGAAAACTGTATTAGTAATTTATTATCACAGTGGTTGTCATTCTTACAATTTGTTTCTTTACAAACCTAGCCATATTATTTATAAATTCAACTAAACTATCCAATCACTACATATCATCGTTTGAAAATTAATAAAAAATAAGAATGAAATATTACTGTGTAGAATAGATAAATTTGTTACTTTGATCATTGGAGTTGGTGGTTTCTTCTATATATTTATTTTGCTTCGTCCCAAATATATTTCTGGGATTATATTGGGCCTCCATACGTATATCGATGGGCTTTTAAAATTGGTCGGTCGTATATTTTATTGGCCCTATTAAATAAAAATCCCTCGCTTCCTAAAATCATCGCATAAACCCTAATAAACCCCTTTCACTCTCTCTTCTTTCACGATTCTTCTCGTTCGAAGCTTTTTGAAGGACAAAAATGGGAAGCCAACAAGCAGCGGTTTCGTTCCTGACAAATTTGGCGAAGGCGGCGTTCGGTTTGGGAACGGCGGCGACGGCTCTGAGCACGTCGCTCTACACGGTTGATGGTGGCGAGAGAGCGGTGCTGTTCGATCGTTTCAGGGGAGTGTTGGATCAGACCGTCGGTGAAGGGACTCACTTCCTGATCCCTTTTCTCCAGAAGCCTCACATCTTCGACATCCGCACGAAGCCTCACACTTTCTCCTCCGTCTCTGGTACCAAGGATCTTCAGATGGTCAATCTCACCCTCCGTGTTCTCTCTCGCCCCGAGGTAATTTCTTCTTCACTTGCCTTCTGTTGTCGATTTAGCATTCAATTCTCGAGACCCTGTTTGATTTCGTCGATATCACTTGCGGATAATTTAGTTTTTACCCCTTTTTCCTCGATGATTTCATTTGTATACAAGATCTAGGGTTTGGGATAATCTGCTTTATATCTGTTCGTTTACTCAGATCATTCTATAATCTAATCTATGCCCGCTTCATTCATTTGGAAATTTGAGGAATTTAACTTGTTAATTTGGTTATTCATTTGCGGAGGTTTCGCGTCTCCCGACCATTTTCCAAACTTTGGGTCTAGAATACGACGAGAAGGTTCTTCCCTCGATTGGAAATGAGGTTTTGAAGGCTGTGGTTGCTCAATTCAATGCTGATCAGCTCCTCACTGAGCGTCCTCAAGTGTCAGCACTTGTCCGTGACTCTCTGATCAAGCGTGCCAGGGACTTTAACATCGAGCTCGACGATGTGGCCATCACTCATTTGTCATACGGTATGGAGTTCTCGAGGGCAGTGGAGGCAAAGCAAGTTGCTCAGCAGGAAGCGGAAAGGTCAAAGTTTGTGGTGATGAAGGCTGATCAAGAGAGGAGAGCCGCGGTTATAAGAGCCGAAGGAGAGAGTGAAGCTGCTCAGTTGATTTCTGATGCAACAGCTAAAGCTGGAATGGGACTAATCGAGCTTAGGAGGATTGAGGCTTCAAGGGAGGTTGCAGCTACGCTGGCTAGGTCTCCAAACGTGGCTTACTTACCAGGTGGACAAAGCATGCTCTTTAACCTGAACGCTGGTCGTTGAGCAAGCATTTGGTATGCACCTGTTAAACTCTTTACTTCTTTGTATGCCGAAAGAAAATGGATTTGGACTGGAACCCCTACGATACTTAAGAGTCCTGCATTTGGTTTAATTGGTTTGGTCTTTTTAGAAATCTACATCGAACTAGAATCAGATTTGTTTGTGTAGCTGTATATACGTTTGGTATATAATTTACAGTAAACTTTACAATGTGTAATGAGTTTTAGTCTTATTCACTTAAGTTGAACTAAGTTTGGTTATGGTTAGGTATAAACTGTTTGGTTTGATAGCAAGGTCCAGTTTCGGTTTATGTCCACTTTTATATTCTAGGTTGACCCCAGGATTTGTCTGAGTACGTTGTTGGCCTTGTTGTATTTGCAGGTGGGGAGAGGAGCTTAAATGACAAAAAAAAACGATGGAGTTGTGAATTCAATTAATGCAATGGTCTTTTCTTTTGATGAACAATGTGAAAAGAGAAATGTTAGGTTATTTCTGTTCTGAATCTGAGGTAAAAGTTTGTTTTATAACATTGTTTCTTCTCCCTCCAATGGATTTGGTTGAATTGCTTTTGCGGTAATAAACTCAACAATTTTACTTTATTGCCCATTTATCTTATCTTTATTGCTCGTAACTGTACAACATGATGTATTGAGGAAAAAAAAGGAATTAAACAGCATTAAACATCTTCGTGGTAATAAAAAGCATTTATGAAGTTTTTTTGTGTCAATGGTAATATTGCTGGTAAAGTTACTTTTGAGTGTGAACATTATGGGCTCCTATGTGAAGAGAATGTCCAAGCAGGAGTGGATTGATAATATTTTTTGAAATTAAAAGCAAATTATTCAAGTCATCCTCGCTCCAAAACAACTCTTGCCCAACCAAAACCATATGGTGGAGTTATCGTTACTGGATTTGACCAAAAAACAACTTTTTTTGGCTTCGCCCGGGTTCGAACCGGAGACCTTCAGTGTGTTAGACTGACGTGATAACCAACTACACCACGAAACCATCTTGTTAACAGATAGCCATTATTGCATAGAAACTTGCACCGAAGAAATTAAATCTAAAGTCAATTCTACGTTTAAAATTTTATTTGGGAAACAGAGATATTCGTTATAGTTTAGTTCCATATTCATCATCACCACCATGCCATTCCACACGCGGAACTTAATACCATAACGGCAGAATTAGCTAATGGTGGTATTATCAATGAGGCAAAATTGTGAATCTGTAAGATTGAATCCTCAAACAATCTCAACTCTCCGAATCTGAATAATACGTTTATTGAAATGATAAACCGAATACAATTTTGAATCTGCAAATATCTCTCGAGGTATCGGAAATCTCTCTCACAACCTGAGAATTCGGATCAACTCTCACTCGCGAATCCTCACCTCAAGTCTAACGACTCACACACACAAATTCAAAATCATAGTCTAAACAAGCTAGAACGACCAGTTCCTGACTTATACTTGAGCTGCTTCCTTCTGGACCAAAGAGAATCTTTTAATACATATTTATCTTCATAAGTCGATGCTTCTTCTTCTTCCTAAAGCACACTTGATCACTCTTATCAGAATCTTGAGAAAAGAAAAAAATAAAGTATATGTAAATGGTGTCTTTCTCTTATCCTGTAAAGTCTACAAAGCCCCATTTGAAGCATGCTGCTTCCATTTCAAGTAAAGCTCTTGTCTTTGCTTCTTTATCTCCCTCTCTATATGAGTCTGATCCTTTAAAGGAGTTGCAGAATCAAGTTTGGCTCAGATCTTTCAAAAAAGAGCACTTCTAAGTTCTGAGTCTTATTATGTTTTTTTTTTTTCCCTCACTGACTTTGGTAAGACTATTAGTTCTTCTTCTGCAAAGTCAAGTGTTTTCTTGGGTTCTGGCTTCAAAGAAACTGGTTAGACCTCTTCTTATAGCAGACAACACAGCTGAATGGAAAACAGAACGGCTTGTCTTCACAATCATTTAAGCAACCCCCACACTCGTGGCAACGTTCTATGCAGACTATGCAAGCTCTGCACGATGATTTAGGACATGGATGATCCTTCAATTCACAGGTTTCTGCGGCGCAATCAAATATCAGACCTGGTTTCTCACACCACGGGCATATCTCTATGTCAGTAACTCCATCATCCTCTAAAGAGAAATCTGATCTACATGATATATACAATCTCTGCCTCCTGGATTTTGGACCCGCTTTAGCATCTCCTCCAAGTAAGCAGTTTAGTTCTTTAAATTGCTCCTTTGTGAAATATAATGCCCCACCAGTGATAAGGCTTTCGAGTCCAAGTCGGTTTGAGGATTTTAAGTCCCTTAAAATGGACAACATTCCTGCTGTGCTTAGTCCAAGACAACCCGATACGCTCAGCTGCAAAACATATATCAAAAATATTCATCGTGTCAGAACCACGACTTTAATTAAGCTTACAAGACAACAACAACAACAAAAAAAAAGAAAGAGAAAACTTTTAAGAATCGAAAACAGAATCCAGTTTTAAAACCGAAGAACATGCAAATACAGATGCACAGAATGCAGAGATTCAAACACACAATTGCAGAAACAATAAGAACCATAACACGATTGGTTCCATTGTAGTAGGCTTTGTCAATTGTCCAAGTTAGTAGAAACATCTTTATAAAACATATCATGAAACTGATAAATGATAATCTTCAAGAGCAAAACTATCTGACATGACAATAATGTAATGAAAATCTCGCTTCATCTTATTCTCATTAAAAGACTAACCTTTGTGAGATGCGGATTGCTTGCAAGCACTTGCATCATGCCATTATCAGTGATACTGAAACAGCCTCCCAGATTCAAACATTGAAGTTTACCTTGAGCGCGGCGTGTTAACTTGAGAAGAGAATCATCAGTTACTCTACGTCTAAGAGGGGAATCAGTGAGGTCAATGGTTGTCCAGAAAAAAGGCTCTTTTCTAACAAAGTCACGTAAGGACCTACAAACTCCTTCAACGGCAAGAATATCTTTCATCTCTAGATAAGGAAGCACTAACTCAAAGGCGTCATGAGGTGGTTCACCACCATCATCAGGATCACTTCTCCCGATTCGCTGATGGAAACTCATAATTTGATTACGATACCAATCCACGCTCTCAAAGCCAACGCCAATTGGTTCATACAACACTAAATCTCTCTGATTCTCATGAAGCCGATCCGGTTTCACTTTCATACAAAATGGGTCCTCAGGGAATGTGACTTCACGCAATCCCTCAAAACCATTGAACTTGAGGTCACAGATTTGCTGTTGCTGCAAGAGTAAAGGATCAACACCGATTGGTTCATCATGAGATCCTGATACTAAATCAATCTGATTCTCATGAAACCAGTCTGAGATCGTGTTCAGAGTCGATCTAATGTTCATACAAAAGGGATCCTCAGGCAAACTAGTAAGCACATTATTTCCAGTGATCTCACCGAAACCCAGAAAATCATTGAACAAAGTAGAATTGCCATTACCAACCCAATTAACTGTCTCGTAAAGCATCTGATAGCCAGAAAACGACATTCTATTGAGGAGATCGTCTTCCTCAAATCCACCTAATTTTCCGAAACCCCATTCTAAATTTCTGTAATCGCAAGTTTTTTGCATACCCCAATTGGCATAAGAACCTACGAGCTCGTCGCAATTGATATCCATCTTCCTTCACGAACCGAAGAAAATCCTCGAAAAGCGAGAAACAAGTAAACTTCTAGTCTATTTCAGTGGTAAAAAAAAACTAAAGCTCAATAACGAATCTGATCCGAAAAAAAAAACGAACCAACCAAGGATTTAGAGAAGGAACAAATCTCTCAAGAGGAACGAAATCAGAAGACTAGAAGAGCAATGAATTTGACAAGAATCTAAATAGATCCAACAACAACAACCAAAAAAGACGGCGAGAAAATGAACGATAACGAACCATACGTGATAAATAATCTAACGAATGGGATCGCAAAATCAGCGGGAAAAGGAGAGAGAAAGGATTGAGCGGAACAAGAAGATCGAATCTGATTGTGCGGAGAGAGAGAGAGAGAGAGAGATGTTTCAAATTGGGAAAATCGGGAGAATGGTTTCCAATAAGGGCTTTCTCTATATTTGGCGCGTGTCTCTTAATATTCATACCAAAAAATAAAAGAATTTGGCGCGTGTCTAACTATAAACTTCTAAATAAATAAATAATAAATGACCTTCTTTTTATGTCCCCATAAATGATAAATATCCTTCCTTTCCCGATTATTACGTCTCTAGATATTTTCATTAAATCTTTAATTGTACCAACGACATTTTCCTAAACAAATCAATCACTAATAAATTAATATAGCTAGTCAATAAAATCAATTAATTTTCCATAAGTAATCTAGATTTTTTAACAATAACCTTCCTCTTTTTGTGGTAAAATCTTTTTTTGTTAATGGAAAATTAGTTAGCTATAGAGATATGGATTATTTAGAGATTTTACCAAAAAGAGGAAATTTATTGTTAAAAAATCTAGATTACTTATGGAAAATTAATTGATTTTATTGACTAGCTATATTAATTAATTAATAAATTATTTATTTAGAAAATTGTCATTGGTGCAATTAAAGATTTAATAAAATATATAGATTCTGAGAAAAATGAGTTGAACTTACTTTATCTATTTTGATGGATTCATCAATGTTTGTTTTAGTAAGCTAAGATGAGATCTGGATTTTTGAAAGCATTTGCAGAATTTCCGCTCATTATTTTTGATAGATGACGAAAATATAGCTCTAAAAAAATTTGTGTTTATTGTTTGTACGTTTATCTTTGTTTCAGAACTTCTTTATTTATAGGTTTATATTAATTTAATATGTCGGTAGTAATTTTGTTGGATTTTGTATGTCGGTCACTTTTTATTATTATTTTTAAATTAAAAATTAATTTGATTCGTAAAAATTTCTCAAAATTAAAAACATATCCAAGACTATAAACCAATTAATTATACAACTCAATTCTTAGTCAATGCTAACCAATTACTAAAAAGTAAAAACTGTTATCCTTATGGGTAAGAAACTCTTAAATTGATTCCTAAAAATTTCTTAAAATTTAAAATATATCCAAAAATATAAACCAATTAGTTATACAACTTAATTTTTGGTCAATGCTAACCAATTGATAGAAATTAAAAACTGTTATCCTTTTGGATAAGAAACTCTAAAAATATCTCATAAATATAATATTAATATTTTTAGTAGAATATAATTAGGTAATTAAAATTTAAACTATACAAAAGTTGAACCAATTATAAAATGACAAGTGTTACAAGAGTATCTCTATTTTGTTGAGGTTCTGGTCCTCAGACGAGATAAAATGACAAATGTTATCTTTCTTTATTTCACTTCTTTTTTCAAATTTTTATTTATTTTGTATATTTTTTTATCGATATTTATTTTTATATTATCTAGATACCATCTGAAAAACTTCCAAATGAGAGTGCTCTTAGTTGATATTCAGTCATAGCACAGACTTTGCCAATGCTATGAGTCTCGTCAATGTTCATTTATCATTCTTTTGGGTTAGGATCGACATAACCATCATTATAGCGTGCAAAATCAACATTTTATTATTTTACCCATCAGTTTTTATAGTTTTAGTTTCATATAGATTAGAGATTGTGTTACCAATTTCTGTATAAAATCAAACACTTATCATTACCAATTTCTGACCAAAAAGTTAGTTGGTGTAATTAAAATTCTAATTATTTTTGCATCAGTTTAACTAAGCAATTAAGTATATTTTATAGTTTGGAATCTTCCCTGAAATCGATCTGCAAATAATATTTATGTGGATTTAACTCTAACCAAAGGATTAGACAAGATCACAAAACTAAATTATTCTAGATATTGTATATATATGTATGTCCAAATTGTGGTACATAAAACATAAGAAAATATTAATCCGTCTCTATGAAAAATCTTGAGGTTCTATAAAAAGATACCTCTCAACTTAATTAGTTTTTCTACATAGGCGCCTTGCAATATGGTGAAGAAGCCAAAGATTATACAACCAAAAACATTTTGTGACCCAAAAAAAAAAAATTACAACCAAAAACACAAGAGGAAAATAATATCATAGTCAAGATCACTAGTATACATAATAAGATTCACTTACAAACTCATGAAGAGATTTTTATTCAGCAAGGAAAAGCTCTTATTGTGTGTGTACTCATCATCATCTCCATAATATCTCCAAATTCATAGCATTTTACAATGTAGGAGGGATCCAAATGTAGCCATGGGTCTGAATATAACCAGCTTTCTTTAGTAGCTCATCTGCTTCGATTGGGCCTCGGCTTCCTGCCTTGTATGGGATCGATTTCAATTCTCCCTTTTCGATCCTGTGAAGTAGCGGAGTGAAGATTTCCCAAGCTGCCTGTTTTGTTTGATCGATCACACAACATATGTGTTAAAAGATCTTCTCAAATGGGAAAAGTATCAAGATAACTGGGAAGAATCAGATTGTGGAAAAGTTTGAATTCAAGTAGTTTTGGTTCTTGAAATCATGTCTTAAAGCAATTGATTCTTGAGTAATTCTTATAGAACTTGTAACGGTTCAAGGGAGTTCTAGGTGGCTAAGGAGAAGTGTAAAGTACCTTCAATTCGTCTCTGCGGACAAAGTGTTGTTGGTCGCCTTTGATTCTGCAGAAAGATACATAATTTGGTTATTGAATAGGAAGAATACATATTTTGGTACTACCTAGATAAAATTTAGATTCATACGTGTCAAGAATTAGGCGCTCGTAAGCCTCTGGAATCGAGACACCTTGGTAACGTTGCTTGTACGATAGGTCTAGTTCACTCTGCACGGTTTGCATCTCCAGACCCGGTTGCTTCACCTGAGCAGCAAAGCCAAAAAAATTCAAACACACATTTGATCATTTGACAATTTGTTTTCATTTCCGGTCACACTAAGATATATAGTTACATCATGTAATCAAGTTAAGAACAAGTCTAAATCTCTCCTTCTATTAATAATATACTAAAACTGTGGTTGGTTCATCAATGCACTTACAGTTAGCTTCATGTACATGGCCTCTGAAGGTTGCAAGCGTATAACAAACTCGTTCCTCCCTTGCTTTTGACCTGTTGCATTGCAGGAGAGTTTAGACCAACATAATTTTTTGGTATCAGTACATACACTAGAGATCTGAGAAGGTTCGTTTGATTTGGTCTTGATACATACATTTGAATATATCACCAGGAACATCCTTGAACTGAATGCGAATATCTGCCTTCTTTGAACTCATTGCCTTTCCGGCCTTCAGTATAAACGGAACACCTGAAAGATAAATCAATCCAAAAGTCACTAACCACTACTAATAGAAAGGGATTTTGACAAAGAGGTGACCACCTGAGGAGAGGACTTAATCAATGGATGGACAGTATGAATTGAGCTAATGTCTGTTCCGTTGCAAGATGTTACATCATGTCTTTAGATTCGAAAGCCATATATATGGAGGAATAAATAATATGAATTGAACTAATGTCTAATCTTGATTCTTTTCTCCCTATTCATGCCGTCTCTTAGATGATCTTCCAAGCTTGACCAAGAAAATGAAAAGATAAAGAGTAAAAGGGGACACAGTACCTTCCCATCTTTCATTGTCTATGCGAAGAACAGTAGTTGCAAAGGTTGGAGTGTTTGAGTCATTTGGAACAGTTGGATCATCTTTATACCCTTCGTATTGTCCAAGAACCACCTCTTCATCTTTTATAGGAATCACCGATTGAAGAACCTGAAGTTTTAATTAAAACATCAGTCGATTGGTAGTAATAGGCTGAAAGACAAATGAAGATCCAATATGATGAAAAGTAATCTCCTCCACAAGTTTGGTAATGAAAACGGCTAAAAACGACTGATCATGAAAATAGTGATCACCTTCACTTTCTCATCCCGGATGTGCTCGGGTTTAAGAGAGATTGGTTTCTCCATCGCGACAAGGCAAAGAACCTGCGCTACACTAAACTTAGTTAATATATGAAAGTATCTGTAGTTACAGAGAAACTCCAAGGAAAACAGTCAAATAGAGGTGGCCTTCAAGTGCAAACACTTGCCTGGAGCAAATGGTTTTGAATAATATCACGAATGATTCTGAAATGGAATAAATATCCAGTTTATCAGAATGCAATAATATCGCTGCCTCAAGTACATCATATTCAAAGGACACACTGAGAAGATATTAGAGAAACGATTACCCATATTCATCAAAATATCCCCCGCGGCCTTCGGTTCCAAAATCTTCCCTGAATACGATCTACAAAGAAAAAATAAAGTTAGAGATTTCTGTGAAATTAACTCTACAAAAAGGTTTAGAAAAATGTCTAAAGTGATCAAGCTCACACCTGCACGTTGGCGATATTGTCACGATTCCATAGTGGCAAAAAGAAGCGATTGGCAAACCGAAGGACCAACTGCAGTAATGACACATGTGTTAGATGATCTTTGTCTGTCTAAATTTTTTTCAAATAAAGTGTTCACTAGAAGTAAATAGGTGTTACCATGTTTTGGACTAGTTCCTTTCCCAGATAGTGATCAATACGATAAATCTGCGGTTCATCAAACAGCTTTCCAATCTGGGAACTCAGTTGCTCTCCAGATTCCAGGTCTTTTCCAAATGGCTTCTCAACAACGATCCGAGTCCATCCACCAAGATCAGCTGGAAGTTTATGAGACCATATAAATAGAGGAATTGCATAATGACTTAACTTATGCATTACTATGAAACCTAACTCGATGATTGAAAAGGCTAGTCTTTTGGTTAATTTAACGGTAACTCACATTTGTTAGTGCACCATGACTTGATCATCTTGCATACAGGTGGGTATACAGACGGTGGGAGTGCAAGATAAAACAATCTCCTGGAAGATCCTTCAGAACTCTTTTTCGAGATTTCGTGCTCCGAAATTGCCTTATCTAATCTTTTGAACCCCTCCTCAGAATCATAAGGGCCACTCACATACTTAATCTATAAAATTTGGAACCAGCAATTTTATATATCTTCAGTAACCAAAAAAAAAAAAAAAGGAATGCAATCGTAACAATCAATATGCTCTATATAACATATGGACTAACCAGCTGTAGAAACTTTGACAAAGCTTCTACCTTGTCGTATGCTTTCCTCTCATCAATGAGATATCTACATAATATAAGCTTTCATCGACTCAGAGATGTTCTATACATCAAAAAGACAAGTCATATGCAACAAAACGAAAAGGTGGATCTTCTAACCCACGAATCTTATCTCTCAGCTCCTTATCAGAAATCTTAGACCTCGCATATCCAAATATGTGGACTTCATTCTGATCAAGAAACCCCTGTTCATGTAACTAAAAACCATCAACAAAAACAGTTGAATTTAACACTAAAATCAAAGTGTGAGTATGTGAGTTAAGAACCTGGTGATAGAGATGGAAAAGTGCAGGAAAAGTCTTCTTCTTGGCAAGATCACCAGAGGCACCGAGCACGATGATCGAGAGGCTCCCAGTTTCAGAAACAGGAACGTCGTCTTTTACAAACGAATCATTCCTCAAACTAGACCTCTTCTCAACGTGCCATTGGCAAGAAGCCATCTTTCACAAGCCTTAACCTTCAGAAGCAAAACGTAATTTCAGATTTTGGTAAGTGGAATCGGAATCATCGTTCACTGCTATCAAATTACGAACCAAACAATTATGAAAGATAAGATTCAGAAATCTCTTTAACGTTACAGCCGCGAAAAACCCAAAAATCAATAAATGAAGAGCGGTGATAAGTAATTGAATGGATCGTGTTTCGTTGAGAGCCGCACAGAATCAAACGGATCACATAGCCCGAATAATAAAGTGAGAAAACGAGAAGAGATCTCAACCTAATATACGTTTAGCTGCCGGCGAGAGAAGACGAAGGCAAATCAAAATTCAGGTGTTTGGAGAATTGTTGTGTGTAATGGTAGAGAGACAGTATAGCTCGAACGCTCTGTAGATAATTAGAAAACTGAGATTACTAATAATAAATTACGTAAAAACCAGTGAGGGAATCATTCTATAATTAATTAAATGAAAAGGGTAATGATTTTGAGAATCGAGTGTGGTAGTGGTTAAGCATCAGCATCCCATGATCCATGCTGAAATATCTTGTGGGAAAGAAAAGTCAAACAGGATATTTTGAGCACATAACTGATATTTCCGTTTTAAGCAAGTCATAGCCCATTACACAGCTCAAGATGGAAAGGAGAGGTGCCTCCAGTTTGTAATACCCATCATCCCACTTAGTTTTTTAGGAGCTTCACTTTTGCGAGGCCCATCTACATAGCAAAAGACGATTGGGCTATTCTGACATGGGACTGTATCATGCTTATGATTAGCCATTGTCGATTTCATTAAATCTAGTTTCTACTACTTTTTAGCACGAGACAGGAAAAAGAAGAAGAAATGCTATATCAATTGTGTAGATGGAACAATAAAATTCATATAGGCCAAGACATTACTGTGAGACTGACACACTTTAAGTCTGGAACCGTCGCATTTTAAAGGCTACATGCTTTTTCTCCTGTGGGTAACGATGTTCAATCACATTTTAAACCACTTCGGTTTTGTGCTCTTTTTCTCCGTGGGTTTAGGCTCTTGGTCAACCGGTACAAGACCAGCGTCAGCCGTGACTGGTTCTGAAGATGGCTCTACCGATTCCTCTGCTTTGGTCATGACCTCTACATCTTTCAGTGATAACATCTCTTCATTCAGATAAGGAGTTGTACTAGCACCATCATCTGCAAAGACCAGTAGGGTTTTTAATTCGGAGCTCAGTTCTCCTCCCAACAAACTCTTTCTGAGTAGTACATAAAGCTCATTTTTCCGGGAATTCAAGATTATACTTCAACATAGAATCTATCTGACAAACCCGACTTAACTAGCCTTCTAAGATTATTGTTCTCTATGTACTCAAATGATCTTAAAGCTATTTTCTTTCCTAAGTTTGCAAGAGTTCGGGACAGTTCCACAGGGGTAGTATTCGGTCACTAAAATAGATCTCACTATAATCCAATACATATTGCAATGCAATACAAGTTTCCCAGAGAAAGGGGAAGTCTATAGTAATGTGTGAAGGTAGTTGCACAAACTAACCTTTTGGTTGATCGTTTGCAAAGTAGACAATCGCTCCAGGAACAAATCCAGCAGAGTAGAAGTCTTGTGAGAAATCTTTTATCTGCTTCTTGGGAGGAGTTGTGTCTACAAAATATAGTATGCTGTCAGGTTTCTTGTCTTGAGAGACATAAATTTTGAAATCTAGAGTAGCGGCTACATACACACGTAGAAAGGAATATCTGGATGGGCAACTACTCTTTTGAGAAGATCAATCAAGCATTGGATCTTTTCTGAGGGATGAAATGTTGCCTCCAATGTGTGATTATCGGGGAAACGAACCCGGATTACAGCCTTTATAGTATCAACTCAGAAATGGTCAGTGGAATCATAAAACTACTTAACAAGCATGAAAAAAGACAAAAAAAAGTTGTAGAAAGTAATAAGAACCTTAGTCAGCTTTGCTCGACGAGCAGCTTCTTCTGCTTCTCGGAGTTTTCTTGTCTTCAAGGATTTATCTTTTGTAGATATAATTTACAAGTTAGAATAAATAAACAACAAATATGGTGACTTCTTTACGGCAATGACAGGAGTTTTGTATAACAAAAACAGTTGGATTCAATCATCAATTTCCCAAATCGATATTCAAACTCCCATGGAAAATGCAAGATTGTATACTAAACCATACAAATTCGTCTAATTTCTTAGAAAATCTTACCTTCTTTCTTAGTAGCCAAAAGACGGTAATAATCTGCAGCTGTGAGCTCGTAGTATTCATCAGATTCCTCTTCTGTCGAATTCCATAAACAACAAGAAAAGTTTAAAAGAAAAGGCTTCTTCAAATTCACAGACATCAAGAGAAAGGCAAAATACAATATTAGCCAGCATCAGAAATCACTACACTTTCTTTCTCCGCGAACTTACCAGCACCAGATGCTTGACTTGGCTTCTGAGAAATGCTCGAAGTCTCGAAAACACGAATCTCTCGCCCATACTTTTCTCGCATATCAGCAACTTTAGCCTGATTTCATAAAACTGATCAAATTAGCATCGAATTCGACACAAGAAAAGGCAAAACCCTAGCGTAAAATTCGCGTGAGCTCCAAAGGGAGAAGAAGAAGCCGATAACTCAAGTTCGAGCAAAATCGAAATGGAAGGAGAAATCAGATGGTAATGAATGAGGGCGAAGAAGGAAGTCACACCTGAGCTGAAGAAGCTTCCATGGAATCGGTGATCGAGAGTCGTCTCCGCTTCAAGGTTAGTAGAGATGGGTCGTCTACAAACATCAGACCGGTTCAAGTTATATTCTTTACTTGATCGCTGCAAAATGCACAAATCACCCTCTATAGGACGACGATCTTTAGGGTCTTTTAAGTAAAAACCACAATTTGTTTTTTTAATTAATTACCATATCCAATTATCCATTATCCAAGTTCCAAGCTATCAGAGCGTTCTTTTAGGAATTTTCAATTTAAACCCCTTATATTTTGTTTGTTACAGATAATCCCACTATCTCTTTCTTAGTGACGTATTAAACTAATTAAATAAATACTTAAGGTTCTTGGGCAAATTGACAGCATACTGTATAGTGAGTACAGTGAAAACGATTAAAATGGTAAATTAGTAAATTCCTTACAATAATGCTTTTTGGCCGAGCCAGCAAAATGACTTGGAAAATGCATAAGTACTAATACATTTTGGCAGTTTGGTTTGATCATTAGATATAAGCTATTAATTTTGGAATCGAGTATTCAAAGCTAAAGATTTAAAGACTCATTTCTTCTTCTTCTTCATCTTCTTCTTCGCTTCATCCTTGACAGTCAGAACATCGACGCGGCTCAACTGAAGTTGAAACGCCGGAACAATCTTGCTTCCGCAGCTACAATAACTTCCCGACCAATCAAAGCTTCCAAGTCTAGCATTACAATTAGGACACATCAACTTCCCTTGCGACACACCATCTTCAACTACATTCATCCAACTCATCGGCTCTACAAATACAGAAGTACACTGTTCGCCACCATGATTCTTGTTCTGAACACACCTCCGTTCATGTTTGCAAAAATGGCAGCCAACTCTAGATCAGCCTCACCTGGAGTATGATCCATCACTTGATCTTGAAACAACACAACTCTCCTGCATCTCTTGCACTGGTACGTAAATGTATTACCACCACTACTACTCTTCTCCGGATCTGCCCTCAGCTTTAACCTGTCGAATTTCTTATCTTGGCTATATAGAAAACCTAAAGCTTTAAGACGGAACCGCTTGTAAATAGGGCTTGAACGGTCGACTTTGAAGTTCATCCTCTCAAACAGATCCAACTGTTTTAAAAACCCTTGATTGGGACTCACGTTAGAGCTTTGCCTCAGTGAAGCCAAAGCATCTTCTACAGACAGCTTCTCGGTTCTCATCAGATACGCAATGACTATAGAAGCACTCCGAGATTGTCCCGCGAAGCAATGAACCAAAACACCTTTCTCTGATCTACGACCAGCATCGATAAAATCCAAGCAAACATGGAAAAGATCAAGCAGATTCTCCCAGTGCTCATCATGAGCAAACACAGCCATTCTTGTTATCTTGAGATCTTTACCAGTGTGCTCGAGCGAGTATAGGAGATTGCCTGATGCCAACGAGCTCTCGGTCTTGTACTACACTTGTTTGATTTCTTTCGACTCTAATCTCACGTTTTGCCATTCCTCAAAGTAGATATCGAAGGGCTGTGTAAAACTTTTAGAACATGTGAAATTTCAGAGCTACCATTCTTGAGAATTTCAGCTGCTGCGCAGAAATCTCCAAGGAATAGATTCTCCCTAATTAGGTCAAGCTTCGACATTGATTCTCCAAGAAAAAACCCTCGAAATTCTTCTCTTCTTCTTTTCTTGTTGCTCAATCTTTCGTCAAAACCCTTAGTAATCTTAATCTGTTTTATTTTATTATTCTGGTTTTCCGTTTTTGAATATGAACTTTGAAAAGTTGGGCCCATAGTCCAAATGCGACCCACTAGCTATGGTTAAACCCGACTCGTAATCAATTATCCGAACCCGGACCCGGTTAGCGCAGGATCTCCGTTTTATTCGCCCTCCTCGATTTGTGGGAAGAACCTGACCTCCGTCGCACCGTGCTTCGATCCCATCTTAACCGGCGGTTCAATTTTTCACCTGACGTCTCGTGGTTTCCCTCGCCATCTTCTTGACCGGTTAGTTCTCACTCATCAATGACTCTGCATCTCTGAAATCTGAATCACGGGTTCTCAGCAAAAAAAAAAAAAGTTCCATTACTCATCGATATTACCAATTTAAGCTCATAGCTTCGCATTAATGGCGAGATCCAACTATAAATGCTCCCTATGTTGCTTGATGGCTCCATTTGTTATTTATTACTCTTCTTCCCTTCTGCTGTATTACTGTTACTATTTTTAGCTTCCATTTCTTTGTCATTGCATTTGATTCATACGCTAATTTTAGTTTTGTTTATTTTTTCTGTTTCCTGATTCGTATTGTTTTAGCTTTTTCTTCGTAGTAATTTGATTCATGTTACCTTACATAGAAATTTGTAACTGATTTGAGATCTAAGCTAATAATGTTTCTCGTTTCAGCAGCATATAGTGGAAATTTTTTTGGTTGTTAACTATTTTGGGATATACTCACAGTTGGATAACTTTACTGTTTATGGCTTCTTCACTTGTTTGAATCAATTGCATACTCGTTTTAGTAGCTATATGTTTCGTTTTGGTTCTCTGTTTTTCTTATGAGTGATATTGAATTATAATTATAATTTTAACTGCTTTATTAAAATCTTAATATGGCTGTGTGGTTTTTGGAAGGGCAGGGTTTTGGTATGCTGTTAAGCAGATATATAAGCTTGAAATGTGGGGTATGAGATTTGCTATGAGCGGTCAAGGCGTTAGACCAAAGTTGAGGATAGTTGGCGTTGTGATTTTAGCTGCATGGATTGGGTTTGCGGCTTTGTTTGGTCTTCTAAAACCTATAAAGAATGGTTGTACTATGACTTACATGTATCCCACTTACATTCCTATCTCTGTGACGGACGATGCAACTACTGGAAGATATGGACTCTATCTTTACCATGAAGGTTGGAGGAAGATTGATTTTAAGGAACACCTCAATAAACTTAGCGGAGTTCCAGTTCTTTTCATTCCAGGCAACGCCGGTAGCTACAAGCAGGCAAGGATCATTGTTTCCTTTCTTGTGTTTCTCAAACTAGAAACAACCCATTTATAGTAGTAGATTTATTATAGCTTATATGCTAACATAAAAGCATTAGGTATTAAAAAAAGGTGTTAAACCAATTCTTTAACTAGCAGTTTTTTCATGTGGTTGCAAAGTCAAATGTTTCCTGAACTCGAGAATAATGTGAAATACCTTGGGAACTTTCCTCCAGGTTTTATATACCAGGCTCCTTATAGGCCTTGTTTCTTGTTGTTCATACAGGTCAGGTCTGTGGCAGCAGAATCTGATAGAGCATATCAGGGGGGCCCATTTGAGCGCACATTCTACCAGGAAGCTTCTCTGTTTCGCGGGGAAGGAGCAGATACAGAGTCTGTAGAATATGATTTGCCTAGTCAGTACAGTAACAGACTAGATTGGTTTGCTGTGGATCTTGAAGGTGAACATTCTGCAATGGATGGTCGCATACTTGAGGAGCACACTGAATATGTCGTATATGCCATTCATAGGGTAGGAACTTTGATAATTTTTGCTTCATTCTATTCATGTCATTCTAGACTAAAAATACAGAAACCATGTTCTATTAAAGTGTTAATTGCTGTGTGTAAAGATGCTCTCACCTGTGGGACCTTCTTTTCCCAAGTTTCCTCGAGAAAATTTCTCTAAGATAACTGAACATACTGCTTTGAGTCTTGTTCCACGTGATTCTTATCCACTTTTTTTCTCCAGATTCTAGATCAATATAAGGAATCTCATGATACCAGAGAAAGAGAAGGTGCTGCTGCCTCCAGTAATTTACCACGTAATGTGATATTAGTTGGCCATTCTATGGGTGGTTTTGTTGCCAGAGCTGCTGCAGTCCATCCTCGTTTGCGGAAACTAGCTGTGCAAACCATTCTAACACTCTCAAGTCCGCACCAGTATGTTCCTCCATGCTTAACAAGTTTTACTCGCCAAAAGACCTGCTTTGAGTTTTTATGTATCTAATTTCATCCAGATCACCTCCTCTGGCATTGCAGCCATCCTTAGGGCATTACTTTGCACGAGTGAACCGAGAATGGAAAAAAGGGTATGAAGTACAAACATCCCCTGGGGGGAGTTACGTATCTGACCCATTACTCTCCGGAGTTGTTGTTGTATCAATTGCTGGTGGCTACAATGATTATCAGGTCTAAAATACAACCACAAGTATTTAAAATTTTGCCTGTTGTTTGCTCAATTCTTTATGCCTTGGTCTTCTCATTGATTGTATTTTAGTTTTGATTCTCCAAGTAAAATATTTCATGCAAAGCGAGCAAGTCGCCTATTTACAGGAATTGGAATGATATTTGAATGTCTTATTGAGGCTTAATATTTTCCGTTCGGTCTCAGGTGCGATCGAAGTTAGAGTCACTTGATGGCATTGTCCCTTCAAGTCATGGCTTTATGATAAGTAGTACAAGCATGAAAAATGTGTGGCTGTCAATGGAACATCAAGCTATTCTATGGTGTAACCAATTGGTTGTTCAAGTAGGTACAAAATACCCCTAATTTCTAATCTGGAAAATGCCATGTTCAATGAATTTGAAGATTCGCATGCCATGCAGGTTTCACATACGCTTCTTAGTTTGGTCGACTCAACAACTAGTCAGCCATTTTCTGATACACAAAAGAGATTGTGGGTTTTGACCAGAATGCTTCAAAGTGCATTATCACAAAGTTTCAATGGAATGATACCCATGAAACTCTCTCATGAAGTACCCATGCTGGCCTCAAAGGGTAATAATACCATCTCTACCCTGAACATATGTATATCTTGTTTTCTTAGAATAGAAGTTCTGAAACAAAGGATCTAAAATCCATACGCTTGTCTGATATTGGGGGCTATAACCTCTATCGTTATACGTTGTCAAGTACTACAAATATGCAATCGATCAAACAGATTTTGAGGCAATAGTTTTTTATGACAACAATTAAATTAGGTGTCCATATTACTGGTGGGTACATGTATTCTCTTAACATTGTGCTGTCTATCTTTCTAGGCTCTGGATCACAAATGTCTACCTGTGCCCTGGATTGGAGAGATGATGCTCTTGATAGGGATCTGTACATACAAACAAGTACTGTTACAATTTTGGCAATGGACGGGAGAAGGCGCTGGTTGGACATAGAGTTACTGGTCTGTGTTGATAGGATTCATTAGGGATGCTACTTTAGACTTGTATATTACTTAAGATGTCAGTATCAATCTCCCATGACACATTTTCTGTACTATAGGGGTCAAATGGAAAGAACCACTTTATCTTTGTTACAAATCTGGCGCCTTGTTCTGGAGTAAGACTCCATCTATGGCCTGAGAAGGAGAAATCAAATTCAAATTTGCCGGTTTGTGAAAGGGTTCTAGAAGTTACATCAAAGATGGTTCTCATTCCGGCGGGCCCTGCACCAAAACAGGTGATATATACTGGATTCACGTTGTCAAAATAATATAGGGGATTAATTAGTAATTAATTCATTACGTCCCCGGTACGTGCGACAGCTACAAATAGAAATACCCCTGCTTCCTAGTTAACTACAACATTGCTGGATATGTTTCCTGTAACACACAGTCAATTTTTATTTCCTATCTGCAAGTCGTCTTCACATTTCAAGAGGAAAGAAGATCAGATAAGCATTTTCGTTAACTAGATTTTTCTTTGTGTGTATGTTTATTAGTCGGAACCTGGGAGCCAGACCGAGCAAGCTCCCCCATCTGCAGTGCTGAGGCTAGAGCCTGAAGACATGCATGGATTCAGATTCTTGACTATCTCAGTTGCGCCTCGCGAAGTATGTACTCATCTCAATACCTTTGCTTTCTTTCAAATGTCAGCAGTTTTCAGACTACTAAAAGCGTGTAACTGAAATGAGACCTTCTATTGGACAGGCAGTTTCCGGTAAACCTCCTGTGGCGGTTTCAATGGCAGTAGGGCAGTTCTTTAACCCTGAAGAAGGGGCCATGGAGGTCTCATCTCAATCAATGCTCTTATCCGCTTACTGGACAAAGGTTATCATTCTGAAAAGTGGCCACACTTCCTTTGTATCTCCAGTGTTTTGAAATTACGCTAGTGAAACCATTGCTTAACTGATTTCAGCTATGGACTACTTTTCTGCAGGACATATTTTTGAAGGAGTACCATCCTCTAGCTTACAATCTATCGTTTGCTATCAGCTTAGGTCTACTGCCTATAACATTGTCTCTGAAACCTGCTGGATGTGGAATTAAAACTTTTGGTCTACTAGATGGCGACACAGGAGACTTGGACAAGGATAGTATGAATTCGAAACTCTTCTCTTCAGTCCTACAGATCTTTCTTTTGATAGTTGCTTGCACATAAATTTAGCTGTTAATCTTCTGGTCAGCATCTGTGAAGGTTTTCAATTCTGTTGGAAATTAGTCTTCAGTTCGTAAAGAAAATGATTTTCATTCCCCTTTCTTATTATAAATCTGATCATTGTTGGCTCTTTCTTTTATTTTACTTATCACAAATTGTTCAATTTTCAGAGCTTTGCAAATTGCGTTGTTTCCCACCTGTTGCCCTTGCCTGGGATTCTGCTTCTGGACTTCACGTATTTCCAAATCTCTACAGTGAGACGATAGTTATTGATTCTTCACCAGCTCTTTGGAGTTCTCAGAGTTCTGAGAAAGCTACTGTTATGCTACTGGTCAGAAGCCTCTTACACAAAGCTAGTCTCTGTTATCCTCAGTGAAACAGAAAACTCAATGTTTAATCTCTTTTCTGGCCCTTCTGCAGGTTGACCCTCATTGCTCATACACCGCAAGCATTCATGTCTCCGCTCCTGCCATGTTCAGTAGATTTGTACTTCTATACGGTCCTCAGGTAGGCTTATCTCTAGTATTTGAGCATCAGATGTACGCATTCACAGTATACTAAACATGCATGCTATAATATTTGAGCATCAGATGTACGCATTCACAGTATACTAAACATGCATGCTATAATACTGTGCTGCATAAAACTATCACAGCGCACGTGCGTGTGTGTGTTTGTGTGTGCCGCGCACTTGTGTGTGTATTCTTGAGTTTATCTTGCCGGAAGACTTCCTCTCTAAACTGGATAGCCTTTTGATTTTAGGTACGAGATAGCTCTCTGATTTATGAGTGACTGAACCTTTCTTCACGTATTATCTGATATTGCAGATAGTTGGCTTCGCATTTGTCGTTATATTGTTTACACTTATGCGGCAAGCTAATCAGTGGGACCACAAACTATCAGTGCCACCATTGCTCTCCGCTGTAGAAGACAACTTAGAAATGCCATCTCCATTCCTGCTTCTAGCTGCTTTTCCTCTTCTAATTTCCTTGTTCTTCTCCTTCCTAATGGCTCAACCGATTCCCCCTCTCACAAGCTTCACAGTGGTGTCGTTGATCTGTTATTTGTTGGCCAATGCCTTCATCAGTGTGTTAATTATTGTCTCCAAGTTTGTCTTCCAAGCGTCTGCCCTCATCCACACCACTGTAAAATCAAGGTAACTGCTTGGCTTTTGGTTTAATTTAAAACTACTCAACTCTGTCCAGAAATAACTGAATAAGTGTCAATGGGTAGCAGGTGCCAAGCTTTGGGAAGAAACTATTCTCTTGCTTTTCTTCATTGGTTTTCTATACTTGCTTCCAGTTTCGTCTGTTTAAAGGTTTGCTTTTAGCATCTTCCCTTGGCTTAGTTTTACAAATCAGAATGAGTTAGTGAGATTCTGTTTCTTGAAGCAGGCAATCCGAATTCTGAAGCTCAACACAACAGTTGTTATGACACTAATCGCGGTTTCCTTGGTGTCCTTTGTTCATCCGGCTTTGGGTCTTTTTGTACTCCTCGCCTCTCATGCCCTTAGCTGCCATAACTCAATGTGCTGGTAAGCAAGATTTCTATGCAATTTTTTTATGTGAGATAGGAAGATGCCTCGATATTAATGATTATACTTGTAAAAACCCAGTTTTTGATCCAGAAAAATAGAAAGAAAAACATGAATCAGAAATCAGTAAGATGCAATCGTAGCTAATGGTCATTTTTTGTTTTTTGTTTCATGGAAGTATCATGATGGCATCAAGGAGGAAGGAACCAGTCGATCAGAAAAATGAAGCCGAGCGAAAAACTCGGCATACCTCAACCAGACAAGAGCACTTATCAGTAGACTTGTCTGAAAAGTCATTTGTTGAGACACAAGCAGATATCTTCAACCATAGGCACGGCTTACTAATTATACATCTCCTTGCAGCTCTGATGTTCGTACCCTCTCTTGCCGCTTGGTTCCAGGTACTCTTTTCATGTTCACAATAGAGCTTTCTTATATTCAATACCGATGACTCTAATTCGACAAGTAAAAAATGGTTTATATCGCGCTTTTTAACGTGTGCCAATACCTAGAGGCTGGACTGATGTTATAATAGCATCTTTCTTATAGCGGATTGGAACGGGACAAAGCTTCCCTTGGTTTGCTGACTCGGCTCTCTGCATCGGCGTGATCTTCCACGGAATACTGAACTCAAGACCAGAGTCTAGCATCCTACGCTCTTTCCCATCTCTCTTGGGACACCAACTCCGTCCTCATCATATGTATCTCCTTGCCGGCTACTACTGCTTCTTCTCTGGACTAGAATTGGCTCCATACAAAGTATTCTACGCCATAGCTGCTTTAGGCTACATCTCTTTGACACTTAAGATCTCACAGGTGAACAACAACGATCTCCGTTTCCGTACCAAAAGCAGAATACACAGAAACTGAGCTTTTTCTGCAGTTGAAGGATAGAACAACATTCAGCTAAAGGATCTTGACCGCTCCGTAAGCAGAAACTTGCGATCCTGCCCTGCACGCTGGAACGAATGACCGAGATTTATTTTGAATCGGTCAGGTGGGTTTGATTAGGGATTTTTAGGAACGTTAATTAGAATTGGTTTCATTGTTTTTGCAAGTGTTTATTTGTCTTGTATTGTATGTTACAAAGAGCACGATTGGTCGGACCAGACTACTATGATGATTTTGTATGATTTGGAAGTTAATGAATTTTATTGAATATCGTCGAATTGACAACAAATGAGTTGATAGTAAATCTCTTTTCCATTAAGAAAATTAGAGAATCATCAGTTTACTCACCAAGAATAATAATTTTAAGTTGTTATAACACGCACAGAAGTGATCAAACAAGTTAAAAAACAGAACCAAAAAACGAATTAGTCACAAAAATGCCATGAAAAAACCAAAACAACAAGTTGCGAAACTCAGTAGATGAAACCAGCCACCAGTGCCACGGCGGCGACGGCCAAGCCAGTGAGCATATCGGTGGCAACGACGACGGCAGAGCTTGGTGAACTTGTGTTGTCGTTGTCGTATTGAGCCGTGACCATCGCAATCATCAATGCCAACAACAGACAAGCTAAACTCATCTGAACGAACACATTCTTGGTCATTTTGTTCGACGTTTTTTTTAAAAACGCTGCGTTTTCAATTAAGGTCGATGGATGAGAGAAGAAGATTCGGATGTGTTATTCGCTGTAGAAAATTAGATTGTTGAAAAGTGGTTTGTTTATATAGATAGAATTATCAAATATTACTGTGAGTCTGTGCCGGCTTGATCAAGAAAGCAGTTCTTGATTATGTTTGATTAGTTCTGACATTAGTTTAAAAAGGAAAAAATTTAGCTGTCATATTTCTTTTAGAAATGAAAGAAGCTAATACATCGTCAATTTGGTAGTACATTATCTTAGTTGCAAGATTTTTGATCCAGCAACGCCAAAACAAAGTCAAAAAATATTAATTAGATTTGGAAGTTTTGAATGCGGCATATAGTTCATGGTGGGCAATGAAGGGAAGTCAATTGGCTAACTCTATCAAATTTTATCCAAATATATATACACATTTTAATAAAGAACAAAAATATAGTACGTAATGAGAAGAAGAAAAATGACATACTGTATATAACAAAACATAACAATTTCTAACCAAAATAGATTATTTTTTACGATCTTATTAATTTGAAAACTTTCTCAAAAGAAGTCACAACCGATACTAAGGTTTATGATGCCTCTCCCTTACCAGAAATCTCATTGTCGGATGAGGCTATTTCAGGTATTGAATCATATCTTTTTGTGTAGGAATGATCGAGGAATTGAAGTGTATGGAAGGTGTGGTTCTGAGGCCAAATCTCTAGACATTAATGGATGCGCCAATTCAATTAAACCAATTTTTTTTTTTTGCTAAATGGTAAATATTGATTAAAATTGAAAAATTTAGGTGTTACAAATTGCGAAACAAAATGTTCGACCTAACAGATTGATCCCATGGCAAAAAACGAGAAAAAACATGGAAGCAAAATACAATCAGTATTAAAACGAGAAAAAATATGGAAGCAAAATACAATTGATCTAAGAGGCCAAGGTGGTCATAAGTGATCTCTTGTGATTTTTCCTGTATTTTCTGCCTTCTTCGTATTTTATGTATTTTGTGGTTCTGTGATAATTTCTCCAACTAGACTAAGTTTTGTTTTAAGGAAAATGCGCAATTTTAACCTTCGTATTTTGTTTATTGTGTTTAACTGCCACAAGAAATGTATGATCCAAAGGTCATAGTTTGTAATGATTACTTTGCAATTCAAAATAGAATACTCTTTATCCAAGTGGATATGATAATTGTTGTGAAATTATGTAAACTTGTCTCTTACTTTTTTCATTATGACAACATTCAGGTTCGACGTGTATTTTGGACCATTTCTCGATATACATGTATCATTTTTACTATTAGACCATGCTAATGTTTGCGTTCTCATCAATCCACAAATCAATTAGATTCTCGATATGTTATTCCGATGTGCAGTTTGTGAACGTCTAACATATTGGTGAATAATTTGGTACGATGTTATATAAAACAATCAACATTTTTTCGTAGGGATCAAATGTTTATCCGGATAATATAAACAGATTGATCAAATCGAATACGTTCGATCTGAGATCAAACTAACTCTTTCCAATTCAATTAAAATTATTTTACATGATATAAAACTGAAATCTAACATAATTTAATTACAAACAAGAAGGCTCGAACATGATTTTTTGTAATCATTGTCTTTCACGGTTCCCTTTTATATACTATGACGTGTGGAAGGCTCGAACATATTACATAAATGGTTTTTTCGGTTTTTTTTTCTTAATAACGAAATACTCTAAGGTTTGAGTCTTCAGATCATTAGTTGGGACTTGGGCAATTATATGATATAGAATTGAGAATTTGGATTCAGAAGCCAATAAATAAAACTTTGTATTGGATTATGATGTTGTATAATGGTGGGCATTGAATGGGAGAAAATATCATCTAGTTAACCTTCTTGCAAATCTATCTTTACTGATACTCACATTCATATTTAAAAAACAAAACAAAACTTGTGTTGCAATTATGACGACATTCGATGAACTTATGAACAGGTAAGACATGTAATATTATATTTATTTGTCAAAAACTATCCAAACAAAAAATAATCATATGTCAAGGAAAAAAAGTGTTTTGAGAAAAGAACGACGTGGAACCAAATTATATGGTTGAGACAGATTTTAAAATTCAAACTTCTCTATCATAAGTTTGACTTTATCAGTTTGTATATAATAGCAACTAAAAGAAAGAAAGAAAAACTTGAGCTCTACTTTCAGTTTCCCTCCAACGGCATTTCGGTTTATTATATATTTAAGTTGAATTTTCTTAGAACTATGACTAAATCAAACCGAAAGACAATTCACTTAGGTTAGAATTCATTTCAGTTTTCCTAGAGTTCAGCTTGATAATTATTAATGACTTTTATATTTTACGTGTGTTAAAATAGTTAAAGTTAAATAATCATCATTACTAGATGAACTATATACAAAATTGAGAAGCAAATTTTTTTATTTTTTAAGAGAGAAGCAAGAAGATTCTTTGTAATGGATATCGTTATAAACATACGATTCAAAACAAAATTTTCATTTTCAAGAAATAAGAATCCAATTACATTAACTAAGAAGGTAGACTTATTAATAAAGATGGAACAGATGGGAAACTTTATTAAGGAACATGTTTACGGGTGAAAGTCTCTTCTCCTTTTTTATTCATATATGGTTCAATTTAATTATTAACTTGAGTTGTTTTTGTAGTAAAGAAAAATAAGCTTATCAATGGACGATGAACTTGAGTTGATTTTGATAATACTTTAAGGCTAGTGCTAGCTCTTGTTCCAGCATAATTTGCACATTCGTTTATTTCTTCTCAACTAATAGAGTGTATCTTTCAAGTTTCAACCACTAAACCACCATTGGTTATGAACAAGAAGTTGTAACTTTGTAAAAACTCTTTTTTTTTTTCATTTCATTTTGTTCACGTTCCAAAATCATCGTTTAGTTTTTATAACGGACGTAATCAATCACGTTACACGTCACAAGACATCTGTTTACAATTTTAACACACACAAACACAAATGAAAAATTGAACAAATTAAGAGAGACAAAATGTGGCAACAAAAAAAGAAATAAAAAGAGCAACAAAACTCACACAAGTCATGAAAACCCGAAATAAAGAGTTATGTTATTAACTCAGAAGATGAAACCAGCGACCAGAGCCACGGTGGCTGCGACCAAACCGGTGAACATATCGGCAGCAACAATGACGGCGGAGCTTGGCTTCATCATGGAAGGTCCAGGAGCCGGTGCGTGATCGTGGCCGTCGCCTTCGTGGTGGTCGTGATCGTCGTGCTTTTCCTGAGCCGAGACCATCGCAAACATAGCCAACAAAAGACAAGCCACAGTGATCTGAACAAGAACCTTCTTCATCATGTTTGTTGGACGCTGTTGTTTTTGAAACAAGCTGCGTAATTTAGTTAGGTTGATGAATGTGAGGGAAAGACTCGGATGTGTTTTTTGTTATGAAAATGAAATTGTTGAAAGTTGGTTTATATAGAGAAGTTAGACACCTCAAGGTGTAAACAAGCTTCTATAAAGAATATTTTGTTTGTCCTTTTTTCCAGCTTGCAATTATTTATAGTATTTGATTGTTGACTTTCACGATTGCTAAATAATTTGACATGTGGGAGAGGCTTGAACCTAAATTTTATTTTGTTTTTGTAAATCTTGAATTGTTCTTAGGATTGGTCAGTCAATAGATGATTAATTGGAAATGTATTTGGTGGAGAACTGAGAATTTGGATTTTAAAGACAAAATAATTTGATTGAATGCCGATTATAAGAAGTGTTAATACAGATATCGAATAATGGTGTAATGAAAGGAGGGGAAAATGGATTGACTCCTCTAATCAAAATATCAAAAGAAAAAAAAATCTTTTAGGGAGTTTTTTTGAATATTTTGTTACATTATACGAAATAGCCCTAGTAAAAACGCCCCCAAACTTAACCTTATAAAATTTGCCATGCCATTATGACGACATTCGATTGACATGACGTATGCCTGTAATTATATATATATATATATATATATATATATATTTGTCGAAATAGTTTAAGTTAGTTTAAGTTAGTTTAAGATTGTTTTAAGAACTTATGGGTGCTTTAGGAAAAAGGACGTGGAGCCAAATTATTTTGTATAATGGTCGAAGCAAATAAATAAAAGAAAATTTGCAGCTTCCTTCCGTTAACTACGCCCTCGTTATTAAGGTCTCCAAAAAAAGAAAGAAATCTGCTCAAATTGAATCTCCCTCTATTTGGTCTAGTCGAATTGAAAACGCTTAAACTTTTTCATTTTTATATGAATGATATCAAATTTCCAAATGTTTCGATTCTAAAAATAAGACATAAAATTGATAGAAAAAAAAATCAAAAAGTCAATCGGTAGTCCATGAAGATTAGTTTATAAAAAATTATTTTTGGTGATGAGAATATCATCTCTATCATCACCAAAAAAAGTATTCTGCCGATCGATTTTAATCTCTCTGTTTTTGTATAAAATATACTTATATTAATTGTAAACCATGGTTACGATCCAAAGAAGACGTAAACTTGTTGCCAAAATGTCTAAACTAAATACATAATTGAAATACAGAATATGATAAAGATAGGATATGTTAGGATATTAGGTTAATTGTAGATAATAACTGTGACCTCCTTCAAGAGAGCTAGTTTTTCTGTCATAAAGGCAAAGAACAAAGCTCGTAATGCCTTCGATTAGTTTTCTACATTTTGAAAATTCGATCTCATACAGGCACACAGCTGATGTTGTGTTTCCGAAATAAATCTCTATCGTAGGTTTAACTTTATCGGTTTGTCTCTAATAGCCTCTATAAAAAACGCTATCTTTATTTTCAGTTTCCTTCCAGCGGCATTTCGTTTATGATGGAATTCAGTTTAATTCTCTTAGAACTCTGACTAAATCAAATCTAAAGACATCTCACTTAGGTTAGAGTTCATTTCAGTATTCCTAGCTAAGTGTTTTCAGCTTGGTAGTGACTTATATTTTACGTGTGTTAAATCAGTTAGAATTAAAACAATAATTATTACTAGATGAACTAGTTAAATTGGAAAATAAGATGTTTCTTTGTAATGAATATAAGATTTAAAACATCTTGCTCCCCCCCCCCATAATTTGAGCATTTGTTTATCTTTTTTCAACTAATAGAGTGAATTTCTTAATCATTAAACTACCATGAATTGGTTACAAACAAACATGGTGAAAACTCTCTTTTTCATTTTTCACGTTCCAAAATCAGCGTTTAGTTTTTAATAACGAACGTAAACAAACACGTCACCTTAACATGTTCGACCCAAAAAAAAAAAAACAAACACGTCACATGACATTTGTTTACAATTTGAATACACATACACACACAAATGAAAAATTGAACAAACTAAGAGAGATACAAAATGTGGCAACAATAAAAGAAGAAAAAAAGACCAACAGCTCACACATGTCACACTAGTCATGAAAACCCGAAATAAAGAGTTATGTTATTTAACTCAGTAGATGAAACCAGCGACTAGAGCCACAGTGGCTGCGATCAAACCGGTGAACATATCGGCGGCAAAAATGACGGCGGAGCTTGGTTTCATAGTGGAAGGTTCAGGTGTCGATGCGTGATCGTGGCCGTCGCCTTCGTGGTGGTCGTGATCATCATGCTCCTCCTGAGCCGAGACCATCGCAATCATTGCCAACAGAAGACAAGCTACAGTGATCTGAACAAGAATCTTCTTCATCATGTTTGTCGGATGTGTTTTCTGAAGAAGTTCAAAAAAAAGCTGTGTAATTTAGTAAGGTATGAGGAATGTGAGAGAAAGACTCGGGTGTGAATGAAAATGAGATTGCTGAAGTTGGTTTATATAGAGAAGTCATAGAATTTAGAAACCTTATGGTTATATGTCCTTTTGTCCAGCTTGCTCAAGGCAACAATTCTTTATAGTTTTGATTGTTGACTTTCACAATTGCTATCTAATAATGACATGTCGAAGGCTTGAACATGAATTTATTTTATTTATTTTTTCAGCGCTTGAACATGAATTATACTTGCTATTTTGTTCTTGTAAATCTCGAACTGTTCTGAGGATCCATTTGTCAGTCAATAGATAATTAATTGGGAAATTATTTGGTGGAGAAATTTGGATTAAAAGACCCAAAAAGTCCATTTAATACCGATTACGAAGTATATTGATTTCGAGAAATTATCATTTCCTATAATTAACTATTTTGGGAAAATAAAATAAACTATTTTGGGGAAATGTTGTTGAATATTTTTGTTACATCATATGAATGGCCCTAATACACATGCCCCCAAAATCTTATAAAATTTGCATTGCCATTATGACGACATTCGATTGACATGATTATGGTGTATGTGTTAATAACTTAAGGGTGTTTTAGGAAAAAGGACGTGGGGTCAAATTATTTTGTATATGGTCGAAACAAAAAGAAAAAACAATGCAGATTCATCTCAGCTTCCTTCAAACATCTATGCCCTAGCTTAGGTCTTAAACCAAAAAAAAAAAAAAACAAAAATTGCTCAAATTGAATCTCCCTTTATTTGGTCAAATTGAATTGAAAATTTAGATTTCACACTTAAAGTTTTTCAATCTTTATATGAATGATATCAAATTGTTGAGATGTTTCGATTCTATAAACAAGACATAAAAGTTTTATCATTCATATGATGATGATTATCATCCTTGCCTGCGAACAGCCCTTGACGCCATAGCTCGCAGATTAGCTCTGGCCAGTGAAAGATTAGAAGCAGATGAAGAAGAAATTGGCCCCGCTGCCTCCGTAACGCCAAACGCAGACGCAAATTCCTGCCGCTGTAACCTCAACGCAAATGCAGCATCCCTATCTTGATCCAACCTCATACTTGCTACTCTCCTCCTTCTCTCGCTTCTCTCGCTTCTCTCTTCAGACACAAGTAATCTCGAAAGATCCTCTCTCTGCAACCTATCTTGATCCCTGTTTCTGCTTCTTAGCCTTTGATTAGAGTTTCTAGGACTCAGCGTTTCCTTGCCTATCAAGTTAGCAGATGCAGCAGCTCTCTGTGCTTCGACTTCTTTAGGAAACAAAAGCTGGATTGTGTTCCAAAGAACAGTATTGACCGTACAATATCTTCCATTTCTGCGTATATAAAATAGCTTTGTCATGTAAATTTCTAATCTTTCGATCTGAAAAAAACTCATCAAATTTGATTCTATTTACCCGACTAGTTGCCTGCATTTAGGGCATTTCCTTCCACACTTATCCGCCGCAGATCGCAAACACTTCTTGCAAAAGCTAGATAGACCCAAAATTGAACAACTCAATACCAATTCACCATTGATAATAGAAAAAGAGAGAGATAGTTTTGAGTTGTGCATGTGTTAATCTGACTACCTGTGTCCACAAGTTGTAGTACTTGGCTCAAAGCAAATCTCAAGACATATCTGCAGAATCAACAAAGCAAATTCCAAGTCTAAGAACCCAAATCAAGGAATTAGGGGCAAAAAAGAGTCTCAAGATTCAGATTCATACTGCACAAGACAATTCGTCTCGAAGCTTATCAATGCAAGGAAGCACAACAGAAGTTGCGTTCTTCTCCTCTGACAATATCTTCTCATCCTTTTCTACTCTCTTCTCTTCTTGTGTATCTGCTTTGGTCTCTCTGTTCTTCTTGTTCTTCTTCTCTGCAGATTTCTCTTCTACAACCACAACAGATGAGAATTCAATGAAACTATCTCTGTGTCTAATTTCATGGATCCTAATGTTTCCAACAAACCAAGTTTCGATTTTTCGATAATCCTTAAAAAAGCTAATAAATCAATAACGAAAGTACCTTCAGTCCTGATCACTTCTTCAAGATCAACAACAGGTAACGGAATAGGGCTTTGCTTAATCCGCTGCTTCCTGAAATTCCCAAGGAAAAAAAAGGATATTGAACGAATTTCATAAATCCCATTTCCCACAATTACAGAATAAAAAAACAGTGGATGTATTGATAATGCCCAAATCAGAAGAAGCCTAAAGAAAATCAAATTTTGGTTTACCTTCTTGAACCAGAAGAAGGTGGGGTTGTTTTAAAGAGCAAATTGGATCGTCTCCTTCGCTTTGAAGAACTTCTTTCAGGGGTATCATCTACCACGAAGCTAGCGATAATCAGGTCCTCCTCGTCCCAACCCGCCATTGCCGCCGCCGATTTGAATCTCGGGCTGATGAAAATGCTTGCGTTCTCACCGTACTTCTCACTCGCCATTGTTGCTTCGTTCGATCCATTTCCGAAGCGATAGGTACCTCTGGATGGTGTTTCACTCACCATTTTCTGGATCTAGGGTTCGATTTTTCCTGTTGATTCCTGAGAACGCTCCGGAAAGAGGACAGAGAAAGGGATAATATTTGTCTCAACGGTCGGATTTCTTTTTGAAAAATCTTGATTTCCTCGCAATTCCTACTTTTGGGCTTTTGGGCCTTTTGACTTCTTAGCAATATACATTTGGTTTTTTTTCTGTCTGTTTTTACGTATATATCTTCCATAGTTCTTTACTTGAGTTGTGTTTTGTTGAACTGCCATATTTACTTCACTAAATCAAAAATATCAATGAAATTTAACAAGAAACTATGTAATATTGTGTGACTAATGGGCTTTATTAAGCTGTTTTTCTTTTTTTAAACTTTCGAGCTATCCTATTATGGTCCGTCCTCTGCTCGTTCCCACAGTAAACGCTGCGTTTTAACATTCTTGAAATTCTCTAACACCTGATCTCTAAGCCCCGTATCTCTCACCTCGCAGAATCTGTCGGCCCAATCAGGTGGCTCAACGGGTCGGGTTCCCAAACCTGGTGCTCGATCTCTCGACCCGACATTCTCTTCGTTTTGCCAATCCGCCACGTATGTCGCGACTCTCCTGTAAAACTTCTCTTTAAAAACCTCCCAAACTTGATATTTGTAGTGGTTAATCACCATGGTCTCTTTATCCACGTCAACAAATGTGAATCCATCTTTGAGGTGAAAATGGTGGATCACGTTGATAAGCGTCGCGTTCATCGCTTCTGGCCGGAGTATGCTCTTGTGTCTCTCCGGCAATGCCACACGGCAAGTGTATCCCGCCGTGACTCCACCACGAGGTCGATTTTTCAGACCTGACGGCCCGAAACTATGGCACGGCGTTCGTATTTCACCGATCTCACCGGAAGCAGTGTAATTTCTGATGACGCTAGTTAGGCTTTGACCGGAAGGGATGTAGTAGAACTCGTCGACGTCGATAAACGCGATCCAATCGCAATCGCTCCGTGCTCGAATCGCACAATTGGAAAATCCGGCTTCTTGAGTCTTAATCCATGGCCAGAAATGTCTTGAAATGTTGTAACCTCGGCTTTCCAGATCCTTTATCTCGGCGATTATGTCGTCGTCGCTGTTGTTGTCGTAGATGAACCACCGTTGAACACCGATTCCAGCGTGATACATCACCCATTCTCTTAAAACCGCGGCTGCGTTTCGCGTCATAGTGCAAACGCACATCTCGAACGGTTTCCTTCGCGGCGAGTGAATGATCCGACCCGGTTGAGCGATCGATGGAAGCATTCCGGTCCCTCCTTTGATTCTAACCGAGACTTTAACCGGCCCATGGACCGATTTTGGGCCGTCTAACACAGCTAATGGTGTTCTGCACCGTACGATCTCTTGTGCCGCTGAGATTACGTCTGCTCTTATTAACCGATTGTGTTTCGCGAAATCCCAGCCGTACACACACTCGTATCTCGACACGTCAGCAACTCTTCCTGGCCGTAGATTCAGCCCCTTGACAAAAACCACCGTGGAGTTATCGTGGTCGATCACGGCGTCATAAACCAGCCAATCCCACCGGTGAGTGGGCCCAGCAGGGACGTGATCATCCGTCGTCCATCTCGAAACGGCAAGCGATATGGTGTAGCCACGTGGCGTTTCAGGACACCGTATGATCTGACCGCCGAATTCTTCGCTGTCGATGGCCGTCGGATGCTCCTTTCGTAGCTTCGACGAATCGCCTCCGGTGGAGAAAACGCAAACGAGATCGTCTTTTGTAAATAACCGAAGCGACTGAGGGTATTTAAGGAAAACCAGTGTCTGCTCAGGTAATTTCACCGCCTCACGAATCGAAACCGCCGGAGAAGACGTTACAGACTCGCCGAGAACCGCCTTGGCCGTTGAGAAGCTTAACGTCGAACGTACCACTGGACGAAACTTCCCTGCGAAATTTGATTTCAGTTTCTGGTAAACAATAAACCGTTCGAATTTGAAAATGAAATTTAAAAAAAAACTGTTCAAGTCATTGATTTACCTTTGAAGACGAACATGGTAGAGAAGAGAACGAAGGAGACGACAAACAGAACGACGAACCAGAAGAACCTCTTCCACGAAATAAAGACGTCGCCGCCGCAAACACCATCGAGTTTCCTACGATTTTTCATCTCCTACTTACGCCGCCGCAACCGCCGGCGATGATTGGAGAAGAAGCTCTGCTATAAGTTTTTTTCCGGTAAATGAAAATGTTGGGGCCCGCGAGGATATAGGATGATGATTAGCAGTAGGATAGAAATTTGTAATTCTGTAATGTCTGTTTTGTTTTGTTTTGTTCTTCGATTACGGCGAATAGAAAGGTAAATAAGGAATTTTGTTTTTTATCTTTCCTCAAGAATATCAAGGAAAACAAAAAAAAATAAATCAGGAACTAGGAGAACGAGAAAAAAAGACGGCTCACTAAAACTAGTAAACTACTGGTCTCCTGTCAAATTTAATTGCTTTTTAAAGAAAACGAATCAATTTACTTTCTTTGACGGTTTTTTATCTTTCTTTTACTTCACTTTTTGACATTTGAGTTTGAGAAAAATTTACGTATTAATTTCTCCGGTAATTAATAAAAAAAGAGTAATCATGTAATTTTCAAATAAAATAAATTAAGATTCGGATACCTTGCGTATTACATTTTCACGTCGCCGTCTTTACTTTTACAGCTTTTCTTTGATAGTGAGTTTCAGAAAATTTCACTTTAGTATCAACTTCTCCTCCCGTAACTAAAGTCTTTTTGTTCTTGCAAATATTGAAAAAAAAAATTAGATTCGGATACCTTGCGTGTTAGATTTTCACAGCTTCTATATATCTAATGACTTTTAATTATAGATAGTATTTACTCTTTTTTGTTTTGATTTTCCGAGTGAGGCATGATCCTCATTAGGTAGTACATCTTGCATTTGACTAAAATTGCACCAGTTTTTATGGAAAAAAATATGACCCAATTTTCAAATTTCAATAAAACAAAATTGACAACATATCTTCACAACAGAGACAATATCGGTTTGAACCGTAGACAACTCTTCAGCCGAAATTTAACTAAACCAACCAAAACTTACATAAAATCCAACTTCTGAGACAGCAATCGCAGCAACTGTTATATCCAAACACCAGATAATTTCGAAAGCCTTTTTGGGCCCACTGATTCACCGTAAGGTTCAACATAAATCTTTGTTTCAGTCAACATCCATGCTATAAGAATATTTGCCTTTACATTTTGAAACCAATTTTTTGTTTGATAAATCTACAAATACTAGATTAAAGAAAATGAATTTCAAAATCGTTCTTAAAAACATTTTGAAGTTATAAATAAACTTTTTTGGTGCGACATTATTTATAAACATTTATAATCTCTGTTTAAGGTGAATATGAAGAAATAGAGAAAGATTTGTGATCAGGTAGAAAGTTGCCGCAGATGCAATAATCAAAATGATGTTTACCCTATTCCTCAGAAAATAATGTTGTTGACGGCAAGTTTCAAGACTGGCATCTTTTGAATTCAGTCAAGCTGATAAAGTTTTAGCTAGACATGTGTTTTTTCGTAAGTAACTACTAATTGTTAGTCTTTGGTTTTTTATTTCAGTATTTAATATTTATGAACGTGTTTGAGTTAAAATAGCATAAAACTATAAATTAAGATTCAGAGATTTATGTCACCATTATGTTATACTCATACGTAATTCATCCATGTTATTTGAAGGCTTTTGTGATGATAAGAAAAGTCTGGTTGTGTTATAATTAAAACAGTTATTAGAATAGAACAACATGAATTTCATAGTCGTGCTTAGAAACACTTATAGGTATAAATAAATAAAAAAATTGTGCTAGCCTTGTGCAATAAAAAGTAGTTCGCCCGTTGTCTACCATTTTACTCAGATAGGCATGGCATTGTTGGCTCATCCTCTTCTTTCCTAAACAATTTTTAGGTTTTTGCTTGGATTTTGACGTTTTTTTATCTGATAAAAATATTTAACATTGGAGAAAAAATTAAAAATACCTAACTATTTAATATTTATTAGAAAAATACATGAATATTTAGTGTTGTTAAAAACTACTTGAACTAATTTTTTGATCCAATTAAAAACTCAAACTATTAAATTTTTTTAGTTTTCTTCCTGCGATTTAACAACTGTTAATGTTAACGGGTTAGCGCTTGTTGGCAACATCATTGATTTAACAATTATTAAAATTTTGTCGAATACTAAACGCTTGTTGGTGTCCATGATTCGTATTTCTTGGACGAGATAAAGAAGCGGTTGTGGAGGGTTGTGGAGAAAGAGGCATGGTCCACTTCTTTCATGGGTTTGGAAGAGAGATATCAGTAAATACACACCGATGGACGTCAGAGCTTAATTGCAATTTGCTTTAATGGAGGATGAATAGAGTTGTAAAATATATGCAAAAGAATTAACTCATATGATGTTCACGGCTGTGAAAATTAAAGAAAAACAGAGAAACATTGAGTAAAGCTAGAGAAGGATTGAGGAAGATGAAGAGAAAGAGCGTACTCTTTGACCCAGAAAAGTATGTCGTCAATAGCAATCATCGAAATTTTTGTTTCCTTTGAACTCATATCGGCTAATGAAAACCCAGTTTGGACCGTACTTTTTGTACGACTAATTACTCGTCTTGTACCTTTTGTAAACTTTATAACAACTATTTTTTATAAAATAATTAATTTTCAAAATTATTTAATTTAATTGAAAGTAAAAAAAAAAACTTGGCGTTCGCGCGGGTTAATCCTTAGTTTGGTAAGGATTTAAAATATTTGGGACTTTGAATATTTCAAGACGAAGGTGTAGACCAAAAAATAATGAAAAAAAGGTGATACAACGCTATTTTTAATTGGGCCGAATAAAGTACGTTTGGGCTTTGCATTCATAGTGAAATGATGATTGGAGCGAGAAGCATCTTCTCCGGCAATCGCCGGTGGGCGATTACGAGAGTCATTAGCCGGCGAATCCATGGCACAAGTGATATTACTGTTCCAAAACTGTCAGATTTCTCCATCTTATCTCCCAAAAAAGTAAAGTTCGATTCTGTTTTTACTCTTTAACTCTTATGTTTCAATTGAATCTCGGCGATTAGAAAAAAAAACTCGAGATTTGAATTCTGAGTTTCTCTATCTGAAGAGAGAAATTTTTTGTTTGATTGGTGATGTTAGTACGCATGGAATCGATCTTTTGGTTTAGGATCTGATTTATCGAATACCCTTTTGAAGGTTGAGGTAGAGTACGCAGACGGCACTAAGTTCAATTTCTCATCTGAGTTTCTGAGAGTCCATAGTCCAGCTGCTGATGGAAAAGTCAGATCAATCGGTGGTGAAAAGGTAATTGGTCAATTTCTTAGGCATCAAAGATTGTTCTAAACCACATGATTTTAGTTCACAAAATCTTGAAACGTGAGGATATAGGCTTTTGATATCTTGTCTTAGCACACACTTTTGATATAGCTCCTTGCAATAATTTGATAGCTGCCTATGAGGCTAAATTAGCATTGGATGCTGCTTTTAGTTTTTTTGGCTTATTGTTTTTGGACCAGCTAATTAATGGCCAGTAGCTTCTTGTTCTTTACTCTGACTTATACTTGGTTCCAAATGGATTTTGGTAAAAATCAAGTCTGGTTTGTGTGGCTCTTTTGGCTTTTGCATAAACATCCAGAGAAATAATTGACAGCTAGTCCGTTAATACTAGAACTTTCGACTGAGACTTTTATTGATGTATATGAGGCTATGGTTAACCAATACGTTGTGCTGTTGTCTCTCTACCTTATGGTTACTAGTTTGCTGCTCTAGTGACTGATCATTCGTAGATCCTTGACGGGTTTGGACAAAGATGATGTCTTTAAGTATGAATCTAACCACTGCAATGATATTTGATTCCCAGTGGATGCGGACATGGCTCAGCAATGAGTCATGATTTCGTTTCTTTGCATTATGGCTATTAGTTTTCACTTCTTATTGACTAGACTCTGTACGGATTTTCTTATTGAAAAATTCAATCTACCTAGTATCTTAGCAATGAGTCTTGTTATCGTTCTTTTGTCTTCTGGTTACTACTTGCTAGTCCATTGATTGTGTGGCTAATCAAACATAAATTCTGAACGGGTTCGGATTAAAGAAAATTTCATTCTGTAAGCTTTACTCTTAAGTCTTCAACACTATGGCATTGAGTCTTGCTGGTCTTATCTTTGGTGGCCTAAACAATTTGGCTTTGTCGATCAGGTGATATCTGGAAGGCGGTATGTAGGAATCATGTCTGCAGAACCGGTTGGAAACTACGGGGTAAGGTAGCTACAAATCCCGCAAGGTCATATTATAAGTTAGCCATCTTAAAGACACGGAAACTTTTGTTTTTATTTTTTCGCTTATAACTTATAAGTTGTTGGGGCTAAATCTTTTTGGATGGTTCAGGTTAGTGTTTGATGACTTGCATAGAACAGGGATATATCCATGGGATTATATCTACGAGCTTGGGAGCAATAAGTTTGGTCTCATGCGAAACTATATCAAGACTCTTCAAAAGCATCATCTCAGCCGTGAACCACCACCTCCTCCTCAGAGACGAAGATGATTCTGATCGAAGTCTTTGATAGAATCCTTCTTTTTGCAGAAACATGGAATCTTGTTTTGTTTCAGAGTTTGCTGTTTTTGATTGCCTTTATTCAGTTGTTTTCAAAACTAATATTTGTAAAGAAAATATTATCCCAGTTAGTATCATCAAATAGAATTTGTAATTTCTTGTGAGCCTTTGTAAAATTTGTGATCAAGATAGACATAGTTGCGAGGGAAAGGCGTTTTGTTTTCGCATCACATCACATCACATCACATGTTTCCAGGTGTTTGCACGTGCGAGACATTCGGACCGGGTTAAGCGTGAGTCGCGTGGCTATGCATTCGGCTCATTATTAAAATCCACTCTCATTAGACGTGATTATAAAACCACGAATATTCTGCAAAACGTCAAATACACTAAAAATAAAGAAAATAATAATCTTTCTATCTTGAAGTCTCTAGCATATATTTTTTTTCAGATATAAAAATATCTCAGTAATTTTTGTATATATCAGTAGTGTACATCAAACGCTATGTAATACAATTTTTTTTGCTTTCGATATCAAAGGTTTCAATGTCAAATCGTTTTCTTATGCCAAATAAATTTAATATTTTGAACTATCAGACATTTTCTACAAGTATATATTTCTTGCATAATTTATATTTTTCGTCAACGCATATATTCAATTTATAATGTGTATTTGTATACCATTTTGTTTAAAGATAAATTAGATCTTCAAAAGTAGTAAAAATTTCTAGGTGATAGGATAAGATCATGTGGATTTAATTCGCTACTTCTGCCCTTAGTTTGTCATATTACTATCCAAAAAGAAGAGATTTAGTATAGTGAGTGAAATTTGTTCATAATAGATACAAAAAAAAAAAAACTGACAACTACAAAAGGAAGAAGATTTAATTGTTGGTTGCTGGACGTTATCGCCATCAAACTGCAAAATAAACCGGACCTATTAATATTTTTATCTTCAGGAAGATTATATTTTCTTTTTAGCTTTTTAAATGTAGAAACTAGGAAGGAATAATGTTGCTTTCTATGATGGTTGAAGTGTTATGTATTGTACTAAAGTACTAACTACTAATACAGAGATTACTTGCAATTTAAAGCTGTGGTCTTTTGGTGTTACAAAATATTCCAAAACGGTTATACACACCAACGATGATACCTCTTGTTTCATCTACTTATTACAACCAACGATACAACGATAAAACAAAAACAAAAAAATACAATTTTAAATGTTTGTAGGCGAGGTACATCGAATTTTAAATTTAAATATTTCATAATCATAGCAACTATACTATAAAATTTCAATATTTCATAAATATTTATAGGCAGAGTACTAAGTTAAAACAACAAAAACATATGTAACTCACAATTTTTGTGTTAAAATAGTACTGTTTGATCAGCGAACTTTCCCTTTTCGATAAGATGTGAAATTACCACCAATATTTGTGAAGTCTTTAACCTCGACGAGATACAAAATTGTTGAAAATTACATCTTCTTGGAAACCATAATTTTAAATTGCTTTTTCCAAAGCATATTCATAGCGATTTCGAGAAAATTAAACAAACATGATACATATATTATTAGAAAACGAGGTTGATACAAATATCCTGTTGTTCCAAACTTTTACTAAACGTTTGCTATAAATTCTAATAAAAAGGTTATTCAAAACAGTATTTTTTCTGGTCAAAATGTATTTTAAGCAGGTAAAAAAGTAAGAGGATGTTATTAGAGAGTTGATTTATAAAGATTTTTAGAGTTTAAAATTTTATAGTTATTGGTTTGTGGATTTTTACATTTTTAATAGATTCCTCTGTTATTCATTTAGAGATTATAAAAATTAGTTGTTATTGATATGATGATTTTTATAATATAATCAAAATCTATTGTTATTCAAAAAGTCTGCATTTTAATGATTCTATGATTCTGTTATAATCTAGTGTTATTGGCATAATGATTCTTTATAATTTAATTCATAAATCATGATTCTCAAAATGTTACCTATATCCCTTGGATTCTTAAAATCTGTCATATTAAAAAATTATTAATAGATTGTTTAAATTCATAGAACTCTCTCTAAATTTTATAAATTCAACAAAACTCTTAAAAATTTGACAAATCTCATGATTTTTAAAATCAACTAAAATTTTCATAAATCTAACTTCCAATAACCCCCCTAAAAGTATTTGATAAGTTATATTTCAAACAATTTGGTACAATAGACTTTGTTATTCGATTCTTATGTTTATTGTAATAAGTTATCATTACGAGTCACACTATATAAGATAGGGTCATTCGCTCCTAATAATTTTTAAAAATTGGTGTAATTTATTAAAACTTGATATTAATATCCTTATTCCTAAAATCATATATACACTTATATATACATTTATACACTCATATATACACTTATATATACCAATAAAAAAAATTCTGATTCCATCACTGTATAACACCAATTAATTATTTTATGCAGGATCAACCTACGAGAAAAATAATTTATTTTTATTCTTAAGATCATCTAATAACCTAATTTAATAACTATATCATAACACACTTTTATGTTAAAATAATAATAATAATTAGCAGTATCTTGCAAATCAGTAAAGAAAAAAAATTGTCTTAAATATCTTAGGTAACATGTTGTAATTACATAAGTTCATATAAATATAGGTTACGTACATTTTTGTAACACAAGTAACGTTCCTTTTATTTCTTACAGGATATCTTGGATTTAACTATTCCTCACTTTCGCAGAAAAACAAATAATTATCCCTCTGATTTTCTTCTTGATCCTTTAATTAAATAAACCTTTCTAAAAATAGCTTAAAACGTTACATAATAAATATTAAAAGACTCGAAAATCGGTTGCGAAGACCGAGTTTACGGAATTTCTCGGGTTATTGTTTCCCTTCCCCAGAAGAAAAAAAAAATATTTGTCAACCAGAAAACATTTTTTCCCTTTCGCTTCAATTCTCAACCACTTCATTTCAACGACCACATCAGAAAAATCATTTCTTCAAGTTTTATAATTCTAATCCCGTTTTTATTCCTATCCTCAAAAAAATATTAAACTCTGAATTTGTTTCGGCACATTATTTTATGTTTGATTTTATCTTCTCCTTGTTCGTGGGACCCAGATCTAAACATATTCTTCAGATCTTCCCCACCTCATGTGTTTCAGCTTCAGAGAAAATCTGAGTTACTTTCAACGACATACAAGTTTTTCTCTTTCAAAATTTTGAATTCGATAGACGTTTGGTTGACGAGGAAAACTATATCCAGAGAAAAGATTTCTGGAGCTGAATAAAAGAGCTTCTAGATTTTTGTATTTTCCATTTTCTGGATTTTTTTTTCTGGCCGTAGAATTTAATCTGAAGCTGAAATGGGTGAATCTGCTGTTTTGGTTCATTCGTATTCGTTCGCAGCTCCTATTACCCGTAACGACTCTCATGAGGTTAGTTTTTTTATGATTCCTCTGATTTCATAAGCTCTCTTAATTTTGTGATTGTAACAAGAAATTTTCCGGGAGAAATTCATCGGAAACTGGGGTTTTTTGCTTATAAGTTTTGGTGAATCTCCCTCAAATAAAAATCTTACCTTTAAGATATCTCTCTTTGGTAAATATTCTCTGGTCGTCTGGATTTTCCCGGAAAATCGAACAGAAAGTTTTTGTTTTCATCAAACACAGATCGAGAACAAACTAGTTTCCAAGCTATAGTGTAAAAATTTGTTGGAATCTCTCAGAAGAAAACAAGAAATTTCATCTGAAAGTTTGTAAATTTTGGATATGAGCAGAGAGTGGTTTTGATTGTATACATAAGTGCTCGTGTTGTTTGGTTTTTTGCAGGATAATACGGTCCACGCGCTTAGCCAGTCAATCTCATTTGGGAAATTCATGACGGAGAATCTTGAATGGGGAAAATGGTCAAGCTTTTCACACAAGAAGTATGTAGAAGAAGCAGAGAAATACTCGCGTCCCGGATCTGTTGCGCAGAAGAAAGCCTTCTTTGAAGCTCACTACAAGAGAATAGCCGAAGCCAAGAAAGCAGCAACCGAAGAACAACCAACCGTTACTCCTGCTGAAGTTTTGCTTCACACTTTGGAAACTCAGCCTCCCCTGAATCTGCAACAAGACGAAGAGATCGAAAGGAAAAGTATTCAGATCGATGATGTTGGTCCAGATAACAAGCCCGTTGTTGTTGTGGATGATTCATTGCTTGTGAATGAATTGGAAGAAAAAGACAAGGAGAATGGGTTGATTGGTGATGATGATGATGATGACAAGGAGAAGAAGCAAGAGGAGGAGGAGTTGAAGGAGGATTGGTCTGTTGGTGAAAAGAAGAAAGAGAGGAGATCGATAGCCAAGAACAGACCGGTGTTTAGATTGTCTCTGGAGAAAACAATCCCTCCAAAGTCTGTAGATACAGCGACAGAGATTGCTTTATCAGAGAAAAGAAGGTTTGTTAATTTCATCCATTTAACACAAATCTTGTTTGCAAATATCAGTCTTTTTCTGATTGTTTTTGTGTATAACGTAAATGCAGCGAAAGACCAATAACTCTGCAGAGTTCAGAGGAGAATGAAGAGAAACTGGTTCACCGCCAGAGATTCAGTTTCTTGAAGTAAGTCAGGCTCTTTGTGTTTTCCTTCTTTATTGGATTTTTTTCTTTGTATTACTGGTTTTGATTATGTTGTTTCTTTGTCTTGTACCAACAGCTGTTTCATTGGTAATGCTAACACTCAAGATCAGAATCAGAGCAGGAAGAAGGTAAGATTTTGTTGTTGTCAATTGAAATCTCATGGGCACAACAAAAGAAAAGATGTTTCTCATTAATCGGTTGCGTGTTGCGCAGAGAAAGGCGGAGAAAAAGAAACAGAAGAAGCAGTTTCTGTGTCTTTGTTTGAAGCCAAAGACTGTAAGAGAATCATCATAAGTGAGCCAAACAAGCATAAAGAAAACAACTTTGAAGAAACTCTTTGGAAAACAGAAAACGCTACACAAGTCTGGAAATGGCAATTGGGAGAGAATAAATAGATCGATTTCGGGTTTTCGAAAACTCAGATCGTTCGAGCAAGCTTTTAGTGATTAAAAACACAACGCTTTCGTTACGTAGATGGCACCGATAATGCTCTTTTTTGTGAAAAGAGTCTGAGTGCATAGGGAAAAAAACTGGAAAAATAGCTTCTTCTTGTTATATACTTTGTTTCTGTTATGTAATGAAGAACAACTCCAGTTTCTTTACTTTAATCTCAATCTCTATCTTGAAATCGGCTCTTGTTGATAAAGGTACTATAAACTTTACATAAAAGATAGTATAAAAATAATCAAATTACATTCACTTTGCTAAAGAAAAGAAGAAGAAGATAAAGCTGATCCACGTGAGAGAGAGATCATAAATCCTTTCCTTTTTCAGACCAAACACCAACCATCCTCTTCATCGTCATCTAACACATGTTCCATCATCATCATCCCCACATCGTAAAAACTCATACTTTCATCATCATGGGACCCACAACCTTCTTTGTCGCTATTATGTCTATTCTCTCTCTTCATTGTTTCAACTTCAGCTTCTTCTCCTTTGTCTTCACAATGGTCGCCATCACCATTAAGATCCAGTATACCGGGGACATTCAAAACGGGTCCGGGTCCGGTCAATACCCGCCACGTCAGCAGTTTGTAGCTTGATGAAGCGATGTCGTTTGATCTCAGCCAATGCACCTGGCCGGACCACACTTTCCGGTGAGCTTTGGTTGGTTTGGATGGCAATTTGGTAAAGAATGCAGAGGTTGTGGATGAAGTTGATGAGTTGACCAGCCTTGGGTTAAGCGGCGGTGGAAGAATCCGGTAAGTCCTGACTATACCATGTTGCCGATGCCGACCCTCTCGTCTCATCTCAACCGTCAGATTTTACAGAAAGAAGAAAGAGCAAGGGTTTTGAATTGGAAGTTAGCTTGAAAGATGTATAATAAGCCAAGAGCCTTTAATGGAGGAAGAAGAAATATACACAAAAGCCTAAACGTAAACATCCAAAAGAGTAGTTTGTGGGTCAAGTTAGTGAGTTGTTGTTGTAGATAACGTGCAAATACCAAATAATTTGAGGCTTTCTTTATCTTGCAATTACAAAGGAAAAAAAAAAAAAACAGATCACAGAAATGACAAGGCAATAACAGAGTTATGGGTTAAAAATTTGAGGTTTTGACATTGATAGTTTATACTTGGACACAAGTCATTAAGACTTTTAAACCCAAAAAAAAAAAAAACTTAACTTATCACCCAAAATGACAACTTCAGTGCAGAGAAACGCATTTCATTAAAGATATATATGAGCCAAAGCCTACAATGAGTAGATTCAAGTATCCAAAATGTTGTTACTCACTTTCACAGATAATGATTTGGATCAAAGCAAGATATGTTAAATTGTTAATACAACTGCATGGATTGAGAAGGCAACATCATTTTGCTGCCACAGGTACAGGATCCGACGATTACCGGCTGCAGAGGTTCTATCTAATGATGTTAGACTAGCTAAAACTCTAAAATCAGTTCATAATATTATTCAATGGACAGGCTGCAAAAACTCGATGGTTGTCTCGTTTTAGGGTACTCGGGACATGAGTCTATAAATCCATAGATTGAAAATTTGAGATCTTCCTTTTCTTCTTCTTTTTTTTTGTTTGTTTATTCTTTTGGGATCTCAGTTATTTTCTGGTAAGAATACATTAGTTTCCTCTGTTTCACTTATCAAAGTAAAATTTTACATCCTGACTTTGTGTTTGAATCTTCTACATTCTCTTTGTCACATATACATACATGTACATAGTGGAACGCAAGGCTCAAATCCGGCAACATTGAACACAAACCGGAGGCTGTTTCTCTATGTTGCAGTCACAGCAAGCTGTTTCGCAATCGTTGTTGCAGCCTGCACAAAAACATCAAAATGCATGTAAAAGTACAAGTACAAGAGCAATCTCTGTAGTTCGCTCGACTTATCTTTGTTTCTAGAACTTGTATTCCACCAAAAGTACCTTCCACAGTAAAAAACAGAGACTTCTCATGTCCCTGAATACTCGTAAATAACTGAAACTGTTTGGTTGCCGGAGCAACATCAGTTGCTTTGCCAATAATGACCAAGTAGACAAAGAACAGAGCTAAGGTTGTCGGTGACATCTTTCTTGCTTGTACCAATACTTGCAGTTATACAGTTAAACTAATGCAGTTAATCACATGTAAGGAAGTTGAGCCACCAAATTAGTGATGCGATCTTTTCTATGGGATAAGCTAAGGATAATATATCACGTTGTGTTCATGTGTAAACAAGTCAGAGACACAAATACATGAAATGTTTTTAAAAGAGACAATGCAGTTGGAACACAAAAAGAGTAGATGACAAGTAGATGAGATGCTTTAAGTTTTCCCGAGTTTTATTACTTAACGAGAGATTTTTCAGCAAGATACAACCACAAAGCTCATCTACTTGGGAGGGCTTGCATAAGAGTTTTTTCCAGGCGCTAATATTTGGCAACAACAAATACAAGAATGAACTGAAAATCCGGGAGGTTTTGTGAAGATTATTAGCTTCAAACGTTAAGGGGTAATGAGTTTCCCGATGAGTACCGCATGCATACTTAAAAAAGCTGTTTAACGCTGAAGTTGCTTGATGTGTGCGATCTGTTTGCCTGGGTTCAAACCCTTTGGACATGCACGTGCACAGTTCAAGATCGTATGGCAACGGTAAAGCTTGAACTCGTCGTCAATAGCCTCAAGTCTTTCCTTAGTGTACTCATCGCGACTGTCGCTTATCCACCTGCATATGTGAACATCTCTCTTTGTTAGAAACAACCTTGAAAAATCAATACTTTATGATGAACATTGAACATGTGGCAGCAAAATAGACTTGAATGATCACAGTAAATGGAATCTATGCAGTATGCAGCTAACAACAAGATTTATGAATCTTCCGAACATGAGCTTCTGAAGGGGAACAAAGGAAAGGGCCTATCCCAAAAATAACCATCCATGCAAATTCTCAAAACATATTCCACAAGATTGATGGCTACTCTAGTCCTACAATTTGCAACCAATTCCCCTAAAACAGCCAACTTCTATATCCATTTTCAACAAGCAATTCTCCAAACAATCAGCTATACTATCAAATTTCATAACTTTACCTGTTGGCGTGTAGCAAAGCGGCAGGGCCAAGGTAAGATTCAGGATTCCACCAGTAACTGGGACAGGATGTGCTACAGCAAGCGCACAGAATACACTCGTACATCCCATCAAGCTTAGCCCTATCCTTCTTGCTCTGTAGAATCTCCTTCCCAGGCTCAGACGGCGGATTCTTCCTCTTCAACCACGGCTCAATACTTTTGTACTGGTTGTAAAAATTGGTCATATCCACCACCAGATCCTTAATCACGAACATATGAGGCAACGGCGTGATTGTTGTCTCCGACGCTCCGTCTTGGATCTTCGTCAAACAAGCGAGCCCGTTGCATCCGTCGATGTTCATCGCGCACGAACCACAGATCCCTTCTCGGCACGAGCGACGGAAAGTGAGCGACGGATCCATCTCGTTTTTGATCTTAATCAAAGCATCCAAAACCATCGGACCACAATCCTTGAGATCGATCTGGTAATCCTGAAGCTGAGGCTTCCCAGGATTATCAGGATTCCAACGGTAGATCTGAAACGTCTTCAATTTCGATCCTCCGCCGCCACCAGACGATGCCTTTGGTTCCGCTTCCGATCCCGAAGCCGTACATCGCGCCGGAATCAACCTCGCCGCCGTCGTTAACCTCGACGGTTTGGTTCCAACCAATCTTCCGATTAAACCGGACGCCATTTTCAGGGGAGAAACACACAACAGTGGAGACGGAGCGAAAATTAGACGATGAAAATGGGTTAAAGTTAATTCAATTTATATTTGAAGAACCCGAAATTAGCTAAAATTAACGATTTGGGGTATCTAAATATTTATATACACACAGGAGATTAGCTACGTGTGCATATTTGTAAATGTGAGGCTCAGCTTCATCTACGTCGAATAGCCGTAGATCATTTGAACAAGTAAAGCTTCGAGATATTGTGACCGTTCATTGTGGATACCGACTTAGGTCAATCGTGGCGAACACACCACTGGATATTTTCAAAGGCGTGTGCTCGTCTCGAGGAGGGCGCCGAATTATCTAACACGTGGATTTATTTCATTGGATTTCCTTCACCTAAAAGAAGAAAAAGAACTGCGTCGCGTTTTGAAAGAGAGGAGGAACACTTTATGCAGTTTTTCTTTAGTGTTAGGGAACTTTCACAAATTACAGTTTCTTAACCGAAAACATACACTGTTCTATTATAAATCAAAACAAATCCGTCTGAAAAATCTTTACAAGGAACAACATTTTTTCGAGCAAAGAGCTTTAAATTGCAAATATCCACACGTCACATGTTTAAACGATATCTACATTCTTTGAGACACCTTTATGCGATTCTTGATCGGATCCATTGATACTCCCTTTTCTTCTGAAAGATCTTTGACTCTGACTGAATATCCGGGAAAATATCCTAACCGGAGCAGGCGCTTCTGTTATAGATTCTTCGTCCTTAACCGAACCGTCATGGTTTTGGTCCAAATCCTCCGATAGTTTCTTCACTAAATCCACAAAATGTCGACGGAATGTTGGATACCTTGATACAGTTTTCGTTAGCCCTTGAATCCTAACAAACGCACAAACAGAAAGATAGTTTAATAAAAACCTCAAATTTGGAAAACCACAATCGAAAAGATCGAAACTTTTAGGCGGTTTTTAAAACCTGCGAGCAAAGGCATCAATTTCGGCTCTTTTACGCTCAGTGAGAGGAGGAGAAGCAGAATCAGCATACGAGTTCTTTAGCCTCTCTGAATCTCCATACAGCAAAACCAATCTTCCGAGATACTCTTCTTCTTCCTCAGACAAGTTTGTAGCTTTCATTTGCTCCTTGAGTATCAAAAACGGATGCAGAAACCAATCAAAGAAGGCGTCTTTAGGTCGGTTATTGGTAGTTAGTTCAGTTACACCGTCACCTACAAAGAAAATGCATTCAAATATAATGGTGTCCTAGGGTCGATTTTGTTGGTTTCTTGATTATTACTTCATAGTTAAAGTGAAAGTCAAGAAAACAAGAAGAAAAAAGATTGAAACTTTACTGAGTAACAAGCCGGACGAATTGGCTTTTACGGAGCGTAGAATCTCGTAAAGAAGTGCATAAGCTGGTAAGCCAACGCTGATCACTTGGCTGCGTTTACTAGATCTCGCCTCTTCGATGTCTTTTGAATTTATCAGCCCTTTACTCGCCAAAACTTCTCCAAACTTCCTACATTCCACAAAGAGACTATCCAAAAGCTGCAAGATTTCAACAGACATCAAAGTCAAAAAAAAAACGCCAAAAAGTTTTTATTTTTTCCTATTGGGTTCAAGTGGAAATAAGCAAGCTTGTGCTTACGTCGAGAGGCTTAATATCAACCATAGGGACTCTGACTGATCCTGCTCTGATTGAAGCCGTGTTCTTGACAGAGCCAAGTCTTGGTATAGGACCTGAAAAAGGCGTTGATTCGGCTTCTTTTCTTCGATACTTAGGCCTTGGAAAGCAAGATCCTTCAGGCATGTCAAGTATATCGGTACTATACTCGTCGTAAATGGACAAAGAGGCAACTACAAAGCAGAGTCCATAGTAGAACGATGATTCCTGATATGAGACTACTCCTGCATAAGCACCGAGGAAGATACTAGAGACGACTGATCCAAGAACCGCACCGGTGACAGCCAAAGGCCATAGCAAGATCGCTAGGCCTGCGATGGGGACACACATTGTCTCCAAGAATGGACCTTCTCGGCCAATTAAATCATGAAACAAACGGTGCCATCCTTTGAACAACATGTAAGGGCTTTTGCATATGGCAACGAGTGAGATCACTGGGAAATCAACAAGAACCCCGAGAGCTGAAGCTACCAAAGCTCCTGGTAACTGAAGTAGCCTGAGGAGAGATAAAACATTGTAAGGTGCAATGGGGAAGATCGTGATCATGAGTGAACTGTATAAATACATACCTTATTTCATGATATTTGCGATCCGGGCAACATATTTTAAGCTCACTCATAAGAGAGAAGTAGGAGTGAAAGCAAACATCTTTAAAATCGCGGACAACGGTGAAGCTGCGTTGGAGAGTGCTCCAAGTTCCATCATAAAAGCAATGGAAAAGCGGGTAAGGCTTGCCCTCGCCAACAGCATCAAAGGTAGCGAAAATTGGGGAGAGAAAACCATATAAAGCTCCTCCAAGAACACTCGCTAAAATACCAAGAATTGGCCAGAGAATGATCGCCGCAGGAAGACATAAGCATAGAAAGAGCTTGAAGATCGGTCCTATTTGTTTGGCACTGGAAAAGAATCAAAACAACGAGGTCTTTAACAAGGGATTGGAGAGGGACATACAAATTTCAGCAGAGGAGTTATTTACCTTACTAATGAATAGAAAGTCCAAACGATGTGGATTGGCAAAAGACATAGTATGACCGCAGAGTTGCCTATAGTCACAACGAGGCATACGAGTGGGCACAAAACGATACCTAAGCAGCAAATAAACAGTCTTTCGGATCAGAAACGGCGCACTGAACCAGTGAATGATAAGAAGGTCATTATGCATTAAGTGTTGAATTTGATTGAAAAGAAAGAATAGAGGAGCCCATAGTTGCTATTTGCTAACAACAGATGAAAACAGAACTCCTTCAATCATACACTATCTTAAACAGAATCAAAATGCTTGACTTTAAACTTTCAGAAACTTAATTAGCTATATAGTATCCAGCATGATTATGAAGAACAATCAAGTAAACCAACTAAAGTCAACATCCATGTAAAGAAGTCAAATCCTCTGGTGAGTTATGTTCTTAACAGAAGAAACCCTCATGAAATCTGTCTGAGCAAATTGAAAATTGGGCTTAAAGAATTAGAAATCCATCGAAAGTTCCGACTTTTAGTGACACCTGATAAAAGAATCAAGAGATAAAGTGCGAAACATAAAAGCAATGTTAACATTAAACTCTCAGATTCATACCTTTGATGACACCCAGAAACAGCAAACCAATGAAATAAGGAAGGAATATTATGAACTGCAACAAAGAAGCACGAAATCCCTCTGGAGGCTCCATCTGATATGAGTTGAATCTTTCGACTAATCCACGAATTTTAACACAAACCCATCTCAAGAATCAGTCAACACCCTCCTGAGATATATAAAAATTCAAAATTTTGGTGTCGAATTTGGAGTCCTGGAAGCACAGAAAAATGACTTAATTAAGCTAAAACGAAGTAAACAAGAGCTGGAGAGAAACTAAACGCACTAAAGTGAGTTTTTTTCTTCTTCTAAACAAAAAAGTTGAAGCTCTCTGTAACACAAATCGTAAAAATTACTTTAAACAAACAAAACGAAACCTCTCTCTTTGATACAGCTAAGTCTCACATGGGTTTCACAGATTTGAGTGTTGCAGTTAAGAAACTGTTTTCTCTTCTCGATAGACCCAAAAGTAGATAAAAGAAATTAAAAATTAAACACGAGAACCAAAAACTGACGAAAATCTTTTCTCCAGCAAAAAACTGACCTCTCTGTCCGAAAAGTCTTATGAAGAAGAAGCAAAGAAGGATAAATTTCTAGTTATCTGCTCTAATGATTTTTTTTGGTTGATGCTTGAGCTTAACGCATTAGCGAATAACTAAACTTACAGATAGAGGTCAAACGAAATAAGATCAAAGGAGACGCCATGAAAATGCCGAAATTTGCAGTTAATAAATACACTTTATCCCTTTATTATATACCATCAGATAAATGTGTATAGTTTTATCGGAAGTAAAGCAAAGAAAAGAACACTGTGGCGGGCCTGGCGGCGGCTACTTTTAGGTCCGGAATGAATATTTTTTTGGGTTTTCTTTCTACGAATATTAAATTTTCGACAATATTTGCAGAAAAATAGGTGACAAATTGTCACTAAACGAAGTTTTTTTTCAAGATGATAGCGCGATTTTTTTTATTAATTGTGATTGTGTGTCATAATGTGATTAAAAAATACAGTATGTTATTTTGTATGTTATCAGAAAAAAATAGAATGGAAATTAAAAAAGTGTCCGCACAACTATATGTAAGTATTTTGCAAAAAAAATATCATATCAAAATTTTGGTAAATGAAGTAAGGCCATTTATCAATTTAGATTAGGGATGATACAGCTGGCATTTTATTATTAATCTAAATGACAGTTTAATGATTGCACACTTGTTGATTATTTTTTTGGGACCATAATATGATTCTTTTTCCAAATATGATTCTTTTTGTCATTTTGTAGTTTTAGAATGCTTTAGACTGCATAATGGCAGAATTTTGTACTTACAGTTACAGCTAAGTCTCTTGGGTTCTCCAGCTAAATTCCGCTGCGAAATTTCTTATTTTGGCATCCACCATGCACGATTTTAATCTTTATATCGATGTTTAAAATAATTGCAAAATCATAAAAATTGTTTTTTCTTATTAAAAATGTATTGATGGTAAGTTAAGCCATGCTACATCAATCAAATCTCACGTTTACTGATTAATATGCGGTGAAAAATATCGTGTCCATAAAATCTAAGCACAACTTGTAAAATCATCTAACTCTGGATGTCACGTATCCGGCAAAATTTATTACATCTGTTTTCTTTAATATTTCCATGTTTTGTAAACAGTTTTCTAGTTGAACAATTAATTCAACCTTTCAATAAAAAATGAATTCGTTACAGCAATAAGAAAGTGCAACTTTGTCAAATTGACCTCAAAAAGAATTATTACTTTTAGCTTGCAAGTATGTCTTCTTATTGGGCTTACAGAAGCATTAGAACAGCGACTCTACAAAGTGAAGCTTTCTAATATGCATCTTATTATCAAGTCTTTAATTAGGGCCCATCTTGAAGGTTTAATACAAATGACAAAACAAAACTTAATCGCAGATGTCTGATAAGTGGTATGCCTAATGCCTTCTCCAACTCCCTTGATGAGTTTGAATTCCTCATATATAGATATCATAATTTTCATTTCCGTAAATTCTCAAATCTTAAAGACCAGATTGTTTTACCCCATTTGCTAAGGATTAGATTTGTCATGGTTTATGTAAATTTTGTTTTTTTTTTTTATTGGATTACTCGTTCGAGGAGTCCAAATTTATGTTTAAGTATGTGGTTGACATAAAACAAAAATCTGATTAGGAGTGTGAAGAAATATAAATCCAAGATCCTATATTTCTGTTAAGAATCATCATCACAACACCTATATGATGTCCTAAATAAATTGTTCGGTGAAAGTTTAAGGGAAACACGAAACGGTATCGTATTGGATGCCAAAATAGTTGACTTTAAGCAAATTACTTTTGACGAACATGGTCAATTAACGATTTTAGGTTTTACTTTTTACAAAGATAATAATTTCGTTTTAAACACACAGAAAGAAATGTTGCTGTGATATCGTTCTTTGAATGCAAATGTGAGGGGGAAAAACCTCTAAAACGGTATCGTTCGCACTCCGCAATGTCAAAAATATTGACTTTCTGCAAACACTTTTGACTACTACAACTTGTAAGAACCCCAATTAACGGTTTCACAACATTAACCGACAACCGTTTATCCTCACCTGAAATTACGATAACGTAGGTCCCATAGCAATTTAATAAAAAAAAAACTATTTTATATCTCTCACAATTTAAAAATAAATCACGCCTCCACTCCCGGAACTCTCTTCCTCTTTATATACTTTCAAACAACACATACACGAATCGAAAACCTCTCTCTTTTATAATATTCTTCTCTCATTTTGATTAGAACAATGACTTCATGTTCTAATAATCCCATTGTTTATACTTTTATACTTCTCCTATTGATCGGTAATACGATTGCATTTTCTTCGAGTTCGTTGCCGCATGTTCAAGATCCGAATCTAGTAGTCGACGAAGTTAATAGGTACGTTTAAATTAGTACTTCTTTAAATGAAAAATTAGCATATATGTTTAATTCAAATATAGCCGTGTTGCTTTGTATATTTTACATGTTTAGTGATACAATCGTTTATATATAAAATGTAGCTAGCAGCTAAATTACATAAACGTCTTTCATTCGATGTGAAGAAACGTCTCGCATTCTTTTTTCGTTCACTTTTAATTATGATGTACTCTGACTCACTCACATTTACAGATTTACATGTCCCAAAACAACAGGATTTTGGTACACCAAGCTCTAAAATTAAGAATACCCTTATCCCTTGAACCGAAAAACGAAACTTATTTTTGGTTCACATTATAGTTTCCTATCAAAGAACTTGTAATTATGATTTACTCTGGCTCACTCACATTTACAGATTTACAAGTCCCAAAACAACAGAAATTTGGTAAACCAAGCTCTAAAATTAAGAATACCCTTATCCCTTTAACCGAAAAACGAGACTTATTTTTTGTTCACAATATAGCTTCCTATCATAGAACATGTAAACTACTCACTATATTAATTTATTATTTTATTATATTAACTATTTTCTGATGATTGCATTTTTATTTGATTCATCTTAAATCAAGAAAACAATTTAGGAGAAATAAATATTTTCATATTAAGTTCTAACACTAGCTAGCTGGCCTTTTTTACAACGGGTTTTCCTAGCTAGCTAGTGCCTAGTGTTTCCCACAAACGACCATGATATGTTCACATGTAATTGGACCGATTTTAAAATTAACAGGAATACTTTTCCATTTTACGTATCTGCTTGTAGAAGTGTATTCAATGCGTCAAGGAGGAGCCTGGCCTACCTATCTTGTAGAACCGGAAATCCAATCGATGATTGTTGGCGATGCGACCCACATTGGGAGACAAACCGCCAAAGACTAGCTGATTGTGCAATCGGTTTTGGCAAAAATGCTATTGGAGGCCGTGATGGTCGAATTTACGTGGTTACAGATCCGGTCAACGACGATCCAGTAAACCCTAGACCAGGAACACTAAGACATGCAGTCACACAAGAAGAACCATTGTGGATCATTTTCAAGCGAGATATGGTCATTAGGCTCAAGAAAGAACTCATCATCACATCTTTCAAGACCATTGATGGTAGAGGCTCAAGTGTTCACATTAGCAATGGACCTTGCATTAAGATCCACTATGCAACTAACATCATCATCCATGGCATCAACATCCATGACTGCAAACCAGGTTCAGGTGAGCACAAATTTAGATTAATTTTTCAGTACATACATAGAAGCAAAACTTCTGTATAAAACATGTTCTCATTAATATATTTTATTTTGTGTGTTATAGGTGGCATGATTAGAGATGGTCCACGTCATACCGGATGGTGGGTACCGTCGGATGGAGATGCCGTGGCGATATTTGGAGGGACACACGTATGGATTGACCATTGTACGTTGTCAAACTGTGATGATGGTCTCATAGACGCCATACATGGTTCGACGGCTATCACCATATCGAACAACCACATGACGCACCATGACAAGGTCATGCTTTTAGGGCATAGCGATAGTTATACACAGGACAAGAACATGCAAGTCACCATTGCGTTTAACCATTTCGGAGAAGGGCTCGTTCAAAGGATGCCACGGTATGCAAAACGACCTTTTTACCCCTACCCGAGCGCACAAATATATAGTCACATTGATATAGGTATATAGAGGCTTTGCGTGCGAAGTGCGACGCACGCGCATAAAGAGCTTGCATGTGAAAGCTTGACACTATAAAGTATACAAAAGTCAACAAAAAGGGAATGAGACTTTTTAAACCACCACCGATCGATCACATCGCTATATATAAGATTTCTTTCTTTAAATCAATGATACATATATGAATCGAAATAAATGACCCCAAAAAAGCAAGTGTCGACCATTCGTTATATACAATATTGATTTTTATCTAATTTCAGATGATTTTTATCTAATTACAATATTGATTTTTATCTAATTTATATCCTACGGAGAAGTTATCATTGACGTTCTGAGGATTCGTGCATTGTATCTAGGGAGATGCGTGGATGAAAAGTTAATTAGGAGACCATTTATATACTTTTTGTTAAACCATATATAAAAGTGAAAGAAAATGTTAGTTAACATTTGATTGATTTAAAATTTCACTAATATTGAGGGTTTTTGTTATGATAAACAGGTGCAGGCATGGATATTTTCATGTGGTGAACAATGATTATACTCACTGGGAAATGTATGCAATCGGTGGAAGTGCATCTCCGACGATATACAGCCAAGGCAATAGATTTCTCGCTCCTAACACTCGATTTAATAAAGAGGTAGGTTACAATATTTTAATTTAATGCACATATATATAGCCTAATAACGCTTTGTAGTAATGTACTAGTGTTGTCATAATCGTGATTTAATTGCGACAATGTGCATGTGTGAGTCATATATAGATGACAATAAAATGAAATGTGACATTTGCATATATATATATTTATGTGTGTCTATTTATATGTTTAAACAATTAATAGGTTACAAAACATGAAGATGCACCCGAAAGTCAATGGAGAGATTGGAACTGGAGATCGGAAGGGGATCTGTTGTTGAACGGAGCTTATTTCCGGCAGTCCGGTGGTGGAGCTTCGTCAACTTATGCAAGAGCTTCGAGCCTGAGTGCGAGGCCATCGTCCCTTGTTGGTTCCATCACGACAACGGCAGGCACTCTTAGCTGTCGACGAGGTCGTCGCTGTTGATGATAATGAAATCATTAAGAGAGAAAAGGATCATTGTGTATGCAATGGTTCGTATGTTAAGTGTTCACGAATGGTAAGAGTGTTTTTTTCTTTCTCTTTTTAAAACTTTCAATGTACTGTTACAAGTGTAATGCGTCTGCTATGTCTCTAGACATTTGCAAGAGATGAATTTCAAATTTTATATCAATATATTTTTCAGGCTAGAAACCATTTCGTTATTTGTTTTTAATTCTAATTTCGATAAAACAAAAACTTTCGAATTTTTCTTTTTTTCTCATTTCTCACTTGGAAATCTCCCCCTATCAGAGATCATATTATATTAAATAATTTAGTCTCTTTTCCGTTGTCGGTGTTCGAAGCTTTTTTGACCAAATTTCGAAACGTATTAATAAAAATATTAACTATGTAATAAGTATGATGAATAGAATGTGGACTTGTTTTAGTGATTTGAGAAAAAAATTCCAATAATATAATAGATGATCATTGTATTATAGGGAACGGTAAAGCCTTGTCTAGAAAGATTTTGTTCAGCCAATGACGAAGAGGGAATGTCACTGATCTTTGTGAGTTGACATACAAATATAACACTAATGCCATAAAGTTGTCGGCCACACCCACACGTGAAACCAAACTCGAAAGAGCACGCTGTTTACGTCCAATTTTCTAGGACAGTAAACATTTTTGTGAGTGTGATATATAGGTATAGATTTTATTAAACTAGCATAGTAGTTGGTTATTAATCTAGTAGACGGAAAGAATTAAGAACAAGTGGTACAATACAAGCGGTCTGAAAGATAGATAGATTGCAATATGGCCATTTTCTCGTAGTTTTTATATGATTGTCTCTACTTTTGCTTTACCGTTCTTTTATCTCAATTGAATTGAAATCACCATTCTTTACCATTTATATATATGGATACAAAACTCTCACCGTTTTATTTTACTAATTAAGCTTGTTGTCCTACTAACAATGAATTTATACCTTTTTTTTCGTCATGATCTTGATAATTGATACAATGATTCATATATAGATTACAATGATACTTCATATATATAATGATATTTGATATATATTCTTTGGAAGGTTCTGTTCTAAAAACAATGTTTCAAATGTCATTATGTGCATGAAATAAGTATAGTACATTTACCATATGTACTTGATTACTTTCCTTTGTTTTTTCAAAAGTGTTACTAAAATAGTCATAACTATGAATACCATAGATAACTTTGACTTCAATATGTAGGAAACTCAAAAATCTAGAAAATAAAGGATTTTTTTTTTTTGTCGAGATATAACCTTCTGAATGCCTAAAAGAATTAGAGGCAAATATGTATAGATTACAAATCTAGCGTATATCACACACTCGATCGTATTATAACATCAGCAAAAAACACAACATACAAACAAATTCGACGTTACACAAAACACAGATGCATCTCATATTGCACACTCTATAAGGTGGTTAATCCAATGGCATCATTCATATTCTCGGCTTCAAAATAAAAATAAGCTGGCTCCTCCCGCCACAACAACAGCCAAAACGGTTGAAGAAGATCTAGAGGCAGAGCCAGACGGCGACGTTTTGGCATTCATATCCGCTTCGGGTTGTGCAAGCGGATCACCTTGTCCTCCGGTAGGGCTAATGGGCACGTAATCACCCACCACCTCGACACCGTCCGGTGCAAGTTCTTTAGGGATTTCGTAATCCGGATAATCTTGAGACGGACCAAGACTATCTATCAAGCTCTTTGTAGTGTTGTCTGCTGTTGATGATTTCCTGTCCACTACAGGTTGAGGTTTGTCGTTATCTTCTGCTAAAGTTCCATCAACGACGGTTAAAATTACGACAAGGAAGACGAGGAAGAAATGGCTCGCCATGGTAATCAATATATGTATGTGTTGATATTGATCCCCTAGGCTCTTTTGTTGAATGAAACTTTGTTTCGGGTTATATTTGTGTAATTGTTTGTATATATTTACGATGATTCTCCGTGAGTTTAACCGAGCAAATCGATGAAACCTTCAAGGAGAATTAAAGTGAAAGAGGAGTTGGAGATTGAGAATTTAAAGTTGTGAATTAGATGGACGTATTTGGTTAAGTGTTTATTAGGTGAGTTGCTATTTACGGTACGTTTTTTTCCTGTTTTTTTTTTTACCCATATTTGAGTATGTTCCTTTTTTCTCTCTCTATATAACAAAATATGGTTATTTTATTTTTAGAATATTGTTAGGGTATTTGTAACTTGTTAATTGTTTCTTTCAGATGCATGTATATTATAAGTGAAAACAACACAAAAAAACCATATACATTAAACGTCCTTGAGCATCTCCATCGGTTAGTTTGTCAAAATGAGGTTCTGAAGATTAAAATATTAATATTAGTGAGTATATTTAATCATTTAGTTTATTTTTTTTTTATTAAAAGATAAACCAGTAGAAAGTATACAAGTGTTATTTGGGTATCTGGGTGAGTATCTAAAACTTCTTAAATGAAAAACGGTTTTGACTTTTTCTTTCCTCTTTTCATTATTTTTATTTTTTTAATGTTGAGATACTGGGTTGAGAACCCACCGATGGAGATGATGTTAGAGCAACCTCAATGGTGATATCCACTTGTGGTTCATCACCAATATTTTATTCATTTAATTTTGAAGAATTAAAACTTTAGAACTCCATCAATTTTTATTTTCCAATGGTGATCCTCACTTAGAGTTCATAGGCAATAAAATCAAACCCAAAAAACTTGATAACAGATTTCATAAACCCCTAAATCAGATGAAGTGATTTACGAAAGAGTAAACCATTTAAGATTATTGTTATACAGATTCACACTATAACCCTAATTTGAATAAACAATCGAATCCCAAAATTTTTCTCCAAATCTGAAAAAATTCTAATTTCGCTAACACAAACCCAGAAATTAACAACAGCGAACACATCGATAGGAAAATCACTTCGCTTAACGAAGCAGATGGAGATGGCGGTCTCGATTTCGTATTTGATGTCTCAGAATTCGCAGTCGGAATATCGCATGAAGAGAAGAAGTGGTTGACTAAAATTTTTAAGAAGTGAAATTGTTTCGGGAAAGAGAGAGACTCTTGCAGGAAAAAAAAATCTCTTCCAATCAGAAAACGTCACGTTTCTGATGAACCCCATAAAAATGGGTTCTAAAAATCCTTATGTAAGAGGCGGATCATCAATAAATTAGGCTTTTTTATTTTTTTTTAAATCGTTTGAACCCCATACATGAACTCTTCTTAATACACCATTGGAGGTGCTCTTATGGTTATTCTAATATTGTTTTTAATATAAATCTACACAACATTCACAAGCTGTAGTTTATATTTTACCTTTTTGTGTTTAAGTATAGTACCTATCCCACTTAGGTTTGAATTGAATTTCGATGATTTTTATGAAAATTGCTTTATTATGGATCATCCGCATTGTTGTCCGTTAGAAGATGTACGTACTATCCAGTGATTAACTATGGATTTATATTACAGATAGACCGTTTTAACCATAAGAATTAAATGGTTATTGATATAACGACTAAAAGATTACATGATCAAGACAATAGATTAACACAAAGTAAAACATTTATTACAACACCAAATCCTAACCTCCATACAATGCACGAATTTACCGTGTTGAAAATCGAACCGGAGTATTAAAAAAAATTAGATATCAGACGTATAATAATAAAATCTTAAATGTAATATGAAATCCAAAATATAGTAACCTTCAATCATATGAAGAAGAACCATGCAACGGCGGCGAGAGCAGTCCCGGAGACAGAGATCTCGAGCAATGAGGCTCTTCCCGTCGGAGGTGAAGCTTCAGGACCGTCGCTGGCGTTTCCTTCGTCGGCGGCCGGCGAGGGAGTCGTGTCTGGAGTCGGAGCTGGCGGAGACGAGGCGGAGGGCGACTCGGATGAGCTGGTGGGACCTTCTGAGTCATCGCCGGAGCTTGAGTCGGGACTTGAAGCCGGAGTTTTGGCTGACGACGATTTCGGAGGCTTTGCGGTGGCGCCTCCACCTGATGATGGAGAAGGGCTTGGTGTGGCGGTGGTGTTTTTCTTGGTGGTGGTCGGAGCAGAAGCCATAGGCGGCGAGGTTGGGGCAGAGGCGGGTGATTTTGGGGATGCTGCGGCGGCGGGAGAAGGAGATGAGTTTTTGTCGCCGTGTGATTTCGGCGCGCCGGCTGGTGTTGGTGGATCGGCGGCGAATACGGTGGTTATGGCCAATGCGGCGACGGCGAGAGATAGGAGCTTAAGGGTCATCGTCATTTTTTTGTGTGAATGCGAGTCTTTTTTGTTGTAATTAATTATTTAATTACGTCTTGTTTTGTGTCTCTTAAGTGGTTTTATGGTGACGGTGAAAAAAAAAATTAAAGGGAAGAAAAGAGTGTTTTTGGGGAGATTAACGAGGAAGCAAGTTAAAATATATAGGAATTTTACAGATTTGACCGAAGTTTTTGGTTGACCGGGTCCATCGGAGCTTGTCATAAAATTTTATTGGTTTCATCTTTTGTTAGTAAAAGAGAGAACATGTGGTGATGGTAATTTTCAACTTTCAAGAGGCAATAGAGAACACGTGAGTATTGTAATATTTCTAGTTTCAATTTTTGATTCCTAGTGAGATTTGATTTCTTCTAGTCTAGTTAGTTTAGTTTCATCAGAATGGATCTACCTTCCGTTATGGAATGACGTTCAAATTAAGTCCAGACTCTATGAATTTAGAGAGGATCTTGACACGTCCATACGATAACATCAAAATGTTATATGAAAACAACTTAAATCGTCTACGGTAAGTGAAAGTTGGACTATTATTCAGTGGTGGTAGCTCAATAGTAGATGGTAAATAATAAAACAACTCCAAATCATTAAAAATAACTTAAAGCTGACAAATAAAATCTGATATCCGGTAAGTGATACTGTACTTAAAATTCGATATTTGTTGCTACTGAAAAAATCCAGATAAACAGTATTCAGAATGTATCAATGTCTTGAGAATAAATCAATCATACAATTGGAGGAAATAAAATAAATTAAATCATACTGTAAGTTTGAGTATTGACGACAAAAAAAAAAAAGTTTGAGTATTTTATTTTAAAAATGGGCTTATGAAAAAGGCCCATATAATTGTTTCAATTGGAAGGCCCAGGAAGAGTTTGCTTATATGTACGTGGGTCTATGTAAAGTATAATCGCTGACGTAAGCTATGTGGTGGCCCAGGACGCACGCACGTGTTCCATCTGAACATAGCTTGGAGTTTGGTCCTTTTTCGGCTCGAAGTAAATCCAGTTTTTTTTTTTTTTAGTCCTCACCTTTTATCAACCTTTTCGGCTTCCCCTTCGATAACGATCTCCGCCTGTTTCAGCGACTATAATCTCCGGCCGTTCGATTTTTCTCGGTGAGTTCTCGTCGACCGTCGTTTCAATTAATTCATGAATCCCAAAATGTTTAGCTTTCTTGTAGAAATTTTGGATTGAAAATTCTGTAACCGGAACTTGAGAGTTTCGTGAATACCATATTGACTAGTTCTGTCTCGATATGTTACTCTGAATTTTGATTATATGCTTTGCCTTATATTATATGTTCTGTTCACATTAATTCTGCAGTAGCTTTCAAAGGGTTCTTATCCCTTAGAGTTGGAATTATACATATTTTTTTTCCCCATTCTATCTTGGTTTTTATGTATTATTATCCAAGAACTCGATTCATTGCTCCATGGAGATCTTAACTTCTTAAATAAAACAAGCCTTTAATAAGGCTCATCAGCTTTGTCCAAAAAAAAGGCTTATCAGCATATTATAGTGTTTATGTTGCTCTGAATCTTGAATTGTCTGCTTTCCATTGATTTGAGCTCTGTGCGTACAGTGGAGTGTCTATCAAAGCTATGCCTAAAAGATTAGCAGAAGCGCCTCCTTCATCTGAAACCTTAAGAGTCAGACATGCAGACTCTTTTGGTAGCTACAGATCTCAAGTAGCTGAGTTCTTGTCTCAAGAAGAGAGGATCTCGCTTCATGATTTACAAGCCACTGTGAGGCATTCCAACACCGCAATAGGAGCTGGGATGTCAAATCTCAATAAAGAGAAATTGAATGTCTTGTTGAGGCAGTGCGTGAAGAACCTGACTCCAGAAATCGATGAGGTACATCAAAATTTCTACCTCTGAACATACGTTTATGCTAGTATGATGCATAAAGTATTCAATACGATGCAGTTTTTGCGAATCGCAGATGCAGCAACGTGTATGCCGCATGCACCTAATTTCACAGATGGCAAACAATTGTGCGTCTTCTTCTCCAAGCATTTTACAGTCTATTGTTGTTCCTGATGAATCCGGAGGGGCAACAGTATGTCTTTTACTTTTTTGTTTTGTTATCTGTTTTCTTCAAGTGTAATTGAATCTATCATTTCATTTATTTTCTAACTGGATGTTTTTTTTTGTATTTCTTCTTCCTCTCTCGTATTTGTTCCTTTAGGAAGATGATATACAGAATCTGGTATCTGACCTTGATCTTGTCAAGAGATTAATGTCCCAGGATTCACATGCTCTTCTTTCCGAGGTAATGAACTTTCTCTTTTAAATTTACAGAACATCTTTTTCACATTGTCATTTCTTGCTAACACAAAAACTAAAGATCTAATGTAGCTACATCCTGTGACTGATAGAAGCGCTAATATTTGTTTTGTTTTTTTTTTTTGGTTTGCTTCGAAAAGCTGGAGAATATGCAGCAGGAACTCGAAAACCTTCTTGACGATGTAGTGGCCACTTGCAGGTATAGTGTTGTCTAATAGCTCTTTGTTTTTGTGCTGTTTTATGATCAATGAAAGAAAGTGTCTTTCATGTATAATTGAGACATTCTTCTCTAGTGGTTACTTATTGACGACACTCTTGTAAAACAGACCTATGACTCATGGTGAAAAGCGAGATCTTCAGAAATCAATCAAAGAGCTACCTGAAGGAAATCTTCACCGCATCGCCGAAATAGTGGCAAATCATTGCATAAGATCTGGCAAAGAGTTCTTTGATGAGGTTATAGTCAACCTGGAACAGTCGGTAAGACACAATACATATAGTTGATAGAACCTGGTCCGGTAAGTTAAAGTGGAATATTAACAGCATTTCGAACTAACTGTGTTTCCAGCAGGACAACATAATGCTATGGAGATTGCATTTCTATGTAGGAGCAGTCAAGAATGCTCGGAAGCTCGGTCGCTAGCTTAGGCTGGACTGTTCAATACGGTCTGGATTATGGCCGGTTTAGTGTAGATTCTGGTTTTCTTTTTTCTTTTCCTTTTCATATCAGTCCAGTGCTATGCCGAGTTGGTCTTACATGGACGGGTTTTCAACCGGTTCTGATTTTGCAAGACTTTGATCAAATTATTGAAATGGCCGGTCTGCAGATTTTCTGGTCTCTAGTACAATCTCTATGAATGGTATACATGTTCTTCAATGTCTTCTACAATCTATACTAATTTTGGTTAATTAAATATTCTTAGAGCGTTTAGACTAAACAAAAAGTAAAAACAAAAATCTAAATGATTTGAACTAAAACCGAACCCAAAATTGGTTTAGAAACCCTTAAATTATCACATGTAAATGGATTTGATCTGAAGAAATTCTTATGGAGAGATGGAAAGATGGGCTCAGCAACAAGAAAGAAAGGGCCCATTCAAACTTAGAGTTGAATCTCTAGTAACCTTAGAAAGACCAAAATGTCCCTAGACGTTAAGGTGGCGTCTGTGTCTCTAAAGGTTTAATTGGGGAAGAAGAAATCTCTCCATCTTTCTGGTCTTGCTTCAGCTCTTTCTTCTCGTCTTCTATTTTTTTCTCCAATTCAAGCAAAATTCGTCAAGGTAAATTACTTTTCTCAAGTCGAGCCTTTTTTCTTTTTCTTCATCACTCTCACACTTTCTCGTCTTGAAACCTCTATTCTCGATTCCGGTAAAACTCCCACGCGATTTTCCAGTCTTCTATGTTCTCGATCCGAGGATTTTGATTTACTTACATTGGGTTTTACTCGTAAATATATTAAGGGTATATACTATGTCGATTCTTAATTTGTCTTTACGGTGTCGCTGATATTGAATGAACCAGCTAATGCCGACTTGCTTCTGACAATTTCGAAAAAAAAGAGTTCGTCGGAGTAATCGTTTGATGCTAAATTACTTTCTCGCTGTTATTGTAGGAGTGGTCAATTTGAAAAATGTCTCAATCAGCCGTAGATGTTCCCCCAAAGGGTGGATTCAGCTTCGATATGTGTAAGAGAAATGATATGCTTATACAAAAGGGTCTTAAAGCTCCCTCTTTCTTGAAGACTGGAACTACCATCGTCGGTTTGATTTTCCAGGTCTGTTTTGTTCTCCCACATTTTCTTGAATGCACAGGATTGTCCTACCCTTATTCTAACTAGTCATTGAATCTTTTTTGTTATTAAACTTTGCACGAATGAGCCGAGACTTACCGATACTGTGTTACTATGCATTGGTTTCTTCTTTTATTGTGGAAGCACCTAAATGTCCCTAGAATTTGATTAGTGAAGAAGTTGAGGCCTAAATCTGAGCCATTTCAGTATTGCAGTCATAGCGATTAGATTGCTCTACTTATCGTTTAGTAGTAGTACCTGCAAACATTTTTGGGTATAAGCAATTACTCGCAAGTATCTTCCTTTTCTCATTATAGATCAGTTTAAAAGTTTCATCTACAAGTACGTTTTGCCTAGTGCCAATGTAATGGTGCTTTTCTATTAGCCCTGCCTCTCCGTGTAATTTACTAAACCACAGCAATTAAACATGTGAAGATGTTTTTGTTCTTGTTCTCCATTGTTGGTTATATTGCTGTTTAGTCAATGATTGTGGTAGCTATAATAACGCTGACTTCTATATCCGGGTTTGAATAGGACGGTGTGATACTAGGCGCAGATACCCGAGCAACTGAGGGACCTATTGTTGCTGATAAGAACTGTGAGAAAATCCACTACATGGCACCAAACATATATTGTTGTGGCGCTGGAACCGCTGCTGACACTGAAGCAGTTACTGGTATTTCGTTTTTATCCTCGGTGTGACAGATATTTGTTTTCTGTGTGAAACAAACTAGAATGTAACATAATGCCCCGCTCCACAAAACTAAATGCTTCAGTTATCATTGGCTTATTTTTCACTGTCCAGATATGGTCAGCTCACAGCTGCGGTTGCATCGTTACCAGACTGGCCGAGACTCTCGGGTTATCACTGCTTTGACCCTTCTCAAAAAGCATCTCTTCAGGTAATTCTTTTTTATCTCGTCCAGAAACTCGTCATAAAGAAACACAGATTACCTAACTTCTCAAGTTTCGTTCAGCTATCAAGGTCATGTCTCAGCTGCTCTTGTGCTCGGTGGAGTTGATATCACTGGGCCTCATCTGCATACTGTAAGTTACAAACTCCCGACAGGTGCTATTTTCTGAGGAGATAAGTGTTTTGGTCTGTTTGTTGTTATTCATTGTCACATTTGAATTTTTGTCTTATACACAGATATATCCACACGGTTCAACTGACACTCTACCATTCGCTACAATGGGTTCTGGTTCTCTTGCTGCTATGTCTGTGTTTGAGGCTAAGTATAAAGAAGGTCTAACTGTAAGTACGCGAAAACATTCATCTTTCAATTTTAAGATGCATGTTTTTTTCTCGTCTGATTGATTTCTTGTTACAAAATCCTCTAGAGGGATGAAGGAATTAAGCTGGTTGCTGAAGCCATATGCTCGGGTATATTCAATGACCTGGGTAGTGGTAGCAACGTGGACATCTGCGTGATCACAAAGGTTTGTCTTCGCCGTGCTATGACCAGTGCCTTTAACTAATCTACAAAACTCCGATTGGCTACTCGTAATTTACCATCTCGTAGACATTACCTCTGTCTTTTTTCCGTTGCCTTAGAACTTGTCATTGATATGTTATTGGCTAACAGGGGAACAAGGAATATCTCAGGAATTACATGGAACCAAACCCAAGAACCTATGTCAGCAGCAAAGGCTATTCATTCACGAAGAAAACTGGTAAGCCACTCTCTCTCTTTACTTCATCAAACAGGACATGATAACGGCTCAGGGAAACCAAGAAATTTGTGTCTCTGAGCTTGTGGATACTGAAATGCACAAGTATATCTGAACTAGTAACGCTAGCCTCAGCCTTTGCCTACTCACTCATAACCTTCGATTGAGTCCAGTTTCAATCTTCTGCTTTCTATGAGTTGAGTCTCTTTTTTTTTCTCACTTCATTTTCTTGGCTTATTCGGAAACAGAGGTTCTTCTCACCAAAATCACCCCATTGATGGAGCGAGTTGAGATTACAGAAGTTGGTGGTGAAGCTATGGAGGAATGAAGGAATCTCAAATCTCTGCTCTTGCCGTTCATCTCCACCAAGCTGTCCCGGCCCTAACCTATGGCGAGTGGGGCAACTGGCCTGGGTCCAGTATTTAGTTTTTTTTTTTTTTAAATGTTTTAAAATTTGATAACAAAGGCTTATGATCTATTATCCTTTTTTTCAAAAAAAATAGCAAACCCTTGATCTAAACTTATCTTGCATTCTCAAATATAAACAGTTTTTTTTTTGTTGGTGCAATTCAAAGGGATCTAAAAACTTAAACTTCACAAATTTGGCACTGAATCTACAAAAAGTAGCATTCATTAAATGACAAAAGACTCATTTAATCTTGATTATCAAACTTAAATACTAAGATTAAAAAAATATAAGTTTAGGTATGTTTTTGAACGTTTGTATAGTTTAAGTACTAATTTGCACATTTTGTCATAGTTCGGGTATATATATAGGCCGTTTCCCCAGGAAAAAAGAGATACGTGCTGTTTCTTCAATTAATCCATTGATTTGAATACGTTATCAAAGAGCGATTTGTTTTTTTTTTCTTCTTAATTTTATGAGTAAGCTTTAGGTGATACGATCAAAGAAGAAGATATGGAGAAATTGTCTAATGGCTTCAGAGATCACTTGTCGATCAGTGACAATGTTTGCCCTTCAGCTCCCGCTCCTCTTAAACAGCCTTTCGTGATCGGTACGATAAAACTCCTTTTTGTCTCTCTTCCTTTCTCTCTCAATATTGATTTTGCCGATCTGTTCGGTGTAAGTTATCTCGCCGATCTTCTCATTCAGGTGTTGCCGGCGGAACCGCCTCCGGGAAGACGACGGTCTGCAATATGATAATGTCTCAGTTACACGATCAACGTGTCGTGCTTGTGAATCAAGTAATTATCATTCACTCATAATAATCTGTAATTATTGGTCACGGAACTGGGGAAAATTGGAGAAGAAACAAAATGATTTTTGCAGGATTCGTTTTATCATTCGCTCAGTGAGGAAAAACTGAAGAAGGTTCACGATTATAATTTCGATCATCCTGGTAACATATCGATTCCTCTCTCTGTATCCACAAATCGAGAATCTGTTTTCTCACGTTTGATTCAACTACGTACACAGACGCGTTCAATACTGAGGTTTTGCTTTCGTGTATGGAGAAATTACGATCTGGCCAACCAGTGAGCATCCCGAGTTATGATTTCAAAATCCACCAGAGCATCGAATCTGCAAGTCCGGTACATTTGCTTGAAAAAGATACAGAAAATTTATCAATCAGTCACCAAAGCAACATTACACAGGTCTAATAATCGCTTTCTAAATCCAGGTTAATCCCGCTGATGTAATCATCTTAGAGGGAATACTTGTTCTTAATGATCCTCAAGTTCGTAATCTCATGAACATGAAGATCTTCGTTGATACAGGTTTCTATCCTCAGCTTAGTTGAATCTTTAAGAAGGCCACAAATGATTCACACATTATTTTCTTGAGTCTCTGAGACACTGTTCTCTTACATATGCAGATGCTGACGTACGACTCTCGAGAAGAATACAGCGTGATACCGTCGAGAGAGGAAGAAACATCCAAAACGTTCTTGAACAGGTCAATCATAATGTGAATCTGAATGTGTCTTGATGTCGTTTTCTAGATTTTCATCATCAAAACGTTGATTTTTGTTATGCTTACAGTATACCAAGTTTGTGAAGCCGAGCTTTGATGAATTCATCCAGCCATCGATGAAGTATGCTGATATAATCATCCCACGAGGAGGAGACAATGATGTTGCTATTGACCTCATTGTGCAGCATATCCGTACAAAGCTGTGCCAACACAATCTCTGTAAGATATACTCAAACATCTTCATCATTTCTTCTACGTTCCAGATCAAGGGAATGCATACTCTTATCCGTGACGTCAACACAACAAAACACGATTTCGTCTTTTACGCTGACCGATTGATTCGACTGGTAAAAACCACCTAACAAAACATCAAATTTCCGACCATATATGATTTTCATAAAATGATCAAAGATTAAGAACTGGAGTTTTATATGTTTGTCACAGGTTGTGGAACATGGACTTGGTCATCTTCCTTTCACAGAGAAACAGATAACCACTCCAACAGGTAATGTTTGTGCGACTGTCTCTCTCTTCCAAACAGTTTAACGACGTTCTCTTAAAACTTATCAGGGTCAGTGTACACCGGGGTCGATTTCTGCAAGAGATTGTGTGGCGTCTCAGTGATCAGAAGGTATCTATTACATTACTGGCCTGTCTCGTTTCTTTTCCGGTTAGTGTGTTTCTGCTTCGTAGCTTTACGTTTTCGGTACCTACAGTGGAGAAAGCATGGAGAATGCTCTAAGAGCTTGCTGCAACGGAATTAAGATTGGTAAAATCTTAATTCACAGAGAGAATAACGATGGTCGTCAGGTCTGATTCCCTTGTCTGTAAATACGTGCAACATCTCAGCTCAACGATTTCTCATTCGGATGTTGTTTCCTGCAGTTAATATATGAGAAGTTACCGAAAGATATCTCAAGCCGACATGTCTTCCTCCTTGACCCTGTTCTAGCGTCAGGTTCAGTAACCGATATAAAAAGCTAAACAAAGGTTACATCTTTCGAGTCAGTTGTTAAAGAAATGTCTGACCTTTCAAATGTGTTAACAGGGAACTCTGCAGTGAAAGCTATATCTTTGCTTATTAGCAAGGGAGTTCCAGAATCACATATCATCTTTCTCAACCTTATAGCAGTAATCAGACCAACCAAACAAAACCTCATTGTTGAATTTCTGTCTTGGTTAATGAAGTGATCACCAACGTTTTACTAACACAAGCAAAAAATCTGCAGGCACCTCAAGGTATTCACGCGCTCTGCAAGAAATATCCGATGGTAAAGATTGTGACTTCGGAAATCGATGCCTCCCTCAATGAGGACTCGCGTGTGATTCCAGGCATGGGAGAATTCGCAGACCGTTACTTTGGTACAGACAATTACATTAACTCAAAAGTATCAAGCTGGTCTGCAAATCTCAAAGTAAGCTAACCGGATGCAGTCTTCTACCTTAATCACTCAGTAACCAAACCAAGCGATCCCTTCATCATTCATCAATCATCATATACAAAACCTGATTTATCCCGAGTCTCTTCCATCTTCGTTCATTCTTCTCGTTTATTAATAATATATGATATAGATTCTCTGTTTCAGTACACATTACAATATATCCAAACACATTCTTTCTTTTTTCGGTATTCACTATCTCAAATCTTATAGTTGTATATGCTCTTATACTATCATTGATTTATTTTGGCTCGATACGACTTGAAATTGTATAAATGACACAAGATAGAGCTAATAATTCCCGGGAAAATAAGAACCAACCATCTCAGTATTTCAAACCAATATTATCATTGCGGGAGAAGAAAAAGAAAACATAAGTTCACATCCGGATAAACAACAAAGTTTTGAAAAATCTAGAAAACAAGCTTTTATTGCTCTTACTGCTGCTTAGTTTCAACCTTCTTCTTCTGCCAGAGCCTGTCGACTCCACTGTCAGCATCACCCTACATCGTTTCCAAAAACAGAGTTTGGTGAAAATTATAAGATGAATGATTTAGTGCCAATTCTATTGCTAATAGAGTTTTATAAAAAAAGATTTGATACAGCAGGAAAGTCGACAAACCTGAGCACGGACAAAACCGCAGAGAGCAAAGGTAGTGAACTGGCCGGTGTAGATTCCATCAGCATCTAGATGACCAATGTTGAGCTGCACGGAAGCATGATCCTTTGAAGTGATCAACCTGTTCGTCGCTGAACTGCAAAAATAAAAATCGAACAGGTTAAATTATCAGATTCATATAATAATCACTTCCTTAAAACAGAATTGATATTATATGAATCTTTACCATTTCCTTGGAATGTAAAGCTCAGTGATTTGACCTTCTTCGTTCTGCATCTTTGGAGATTTTTTAAAGCTTTTTCAAGTGCTACAAAAAAAAAAAAAGGACATTGTAAAATCTTTATCAGTAAGCAGACAACAACACAAAATTGATCTCAAACTATAGCATCTAATTGTCAGGGCTGGGGATACAAGAATTTCTCAAGCAGAGTTAAACCACCAACTAAATTTAAACAGATATAAACACGTTTTGATCCTATTTGTACATATATAAGATTGAATCCCAAGAGAAAGACGAATTTGTTTACCAGATGTAGAAGACGCAGCAAGCAGCAATTGGCGACGACTGGACAAAGCCACACCTCGTCTATATGAAGCAAAAACCCTAACCTTGAACTTTTGCTCCGTTATGACAAAATTAACCTTGTGATGTTACTTAATTTACATGATATGCCAATAGAGCCCAACGACGGCGTTTTATAACGTCAGTCGTTCTCATACTTATTAGTTCAAGCTCTCAAAACTGCTATTACTGGATTATTTTTGTTTTTTGTTTTTTGTTTTTTTTGGGTAAGTTTGAATCAATTTTGGGTTGTAAATCTCAAAATGTGACCCCATAAAACAACCAAAGTGTGGCCTCATGAAACAAGCATTCTTTGGGCTCTAAAAAATATAATAAATCATATAGTAAAACAAGTAATCTTCGAATCTTCGAATCTAAATCCTCAGTTCTAATGAGTGCAGTTCTAAAACCGACTATTTCTTGAAGCTCAATCTCTCCCCCGGATGCCATCTGAGATCATTTTCCCCTTATGCTCACTCAATGCAGGCTTGAAAAGCTGACTCTGTAAGTCTGTAAAATTCACTAAGATAAGCGATATTATTAAACCAGACAAATACGAGACTAGTTGCTGTAATTCAATTTCTAGGTCTGGCACATCCAAAAAGGACTTCATAAGATGTCGATCGTAAATGAGAAGACCAATCACAAACATTTTTTTAATTATGAATTTATTAAACTTGGCCATCTGACTAATTTCAAGTTTTCGAGTTTATGCATATTTTAAATCTGATAAAAGAGTGAAAACGGGAGATCGAAAACACAATGATTATTCAAAGTGTAATGATCTAAGCTCATCCTCAACCTTGTGCCATAATTCATCCGTCATGGCATCTTTGTATTCTATCTTAAGCAAGGAAATTTTTTTTTGATTGAAGACAAAAGTATTTAAACTGATGAATGTATTATATATTTTTCACTTTGTTTCTAAAATATTTTTTGGAAAATCAATAATAACAAAAATGTACAAACAAAGCACATTAATTTTTGTTTTTGATTTATTGTATTTTGATTAGTAAGTACTACATTCATCAAACAATGTATTGTATATATGATAAATACTTTCAAAGCATTTTCAATTATTTTGATAGTTACCATGTAACTTACAAATAATTAGTTTTACAGAAAACATGATTTCATAAATTTTACTGTGCTATTTTTTCAAAAGTTAGAGTTTAAGTCTTGTAAATTTTGCATAAATTGATAAAAGTATAAGGAAGAAAAAGTGTTACTGTATTTATATATATATATATATATATATTAATTTTTAGATATGTTAATATTATGTGTGATTTATTTACATATTTATTGACTAAATATGTAAAATTTATAAATGAGTAAAAGTGATTTTAAAAGAAAATAGTAATTAAATACATTTGGCCATCAGATTTTTGTGTAACGCACTGTGGTTGGTTTTTGGTTATGTCGACTGTATCTCGTCGTTGTAATGCTAACAATATTGGTCATATAACGGATAAATAGTATACAGCACTTATTAATAAATAAGTGCTGTATACCCACATCCAAAAAATTCAATAGAAGATAATACTAACTCATTCGAATGGATGCCCACAAATAGAGGAGCTGCGCAGGTTAATGACTTTGTAATTCATAAAGTTTGAAATGAACAAAAGGATTCGAGCCAAAATTCGAAAGCTAAACATCATAAAAGTATAGGTAGTAAATTAAAATAGTATGATGTTGAAAAGATGGAACAAAATCCGGACTAGAGATTTGTTTCAGAAAGATCTAAATCTTGATGTTGAAGTAATCAGAGTCAAAGTGATGCAATCTAACGTATCCATCTTCACCTCCACTAGAGAAACTGAAGAAGAGAAAAATCACAAACTCAGCAACAAAGCCAAAAAGAAAAAACTTAAAACTAATCATGTGAAAATTGTTCCAATCAGATAATGTTACTTTACCTCTTTCCATCAGGATTGAATGCCAACGCATTTATAGGTCCAAAATGACCTTTAACACCACCAATTTCCTCTTGCAGAATCTATATATTTATCCATAACAAACACAATGTTATAAAGTTACATGTATGTTTCTGATTACAATTTCCAAGTAAAAGCCTCTATCACAACACTAACCTTGTCATAAAATTTAGCCTCGAACTTCCCAGCACGATGATCAGTGGTTGTAACAGCTGATGCATCTTGACCACCTCCAAGCACAACCTAAGAGAGAGCAGAAACATTCACAAAGACAATATTCATGACTTGTTGATTTTAGGAATCAAATTCAAATTTCTTGACGCATTACTACATACATGGTTGAGAAGTGGAGACATGGCGACAGCATTCACGGGCACTCCTGTTGTGTAAGTCTTAATAAGAGTCAACGTTCTCATGTCCCACAGCTGAAACAATTAACAATAAAAGAATAATAATCTTATCAGTATATCTATACCGTATAACTTTGAAACAACAGATAGAAGAAAAAGAAAAGAACACATGCCTTTGCAGTTTTGTCAAGTGAACCTGTAATGAAGTGAGAATCATCAGCTGCTTTACAGAGCGATGTAATTGTCTTCTTATGACCCTCTTCCTCATTTGATTCCTTGATCAGTTTTCCGGTCTAGCAACAACAATGGCAGCACCATAGACGTTAAAGCTAATAACTTTAAATTTGATATTGACACACCAGAAACACCTCAAGAAAATGGAGCTACCTCGGTATCCCAGACCCTGATTACAGCATCTTCACCACCACTCACAATGGTTTCGTTCAAGGGTCCCCAAACAGCTCTGTTTATCCTCTTTTTCCCGTCAGGATTTTGAAGGATAAGCACAGAATCATCAATCTCTGCACCATTGCATCAAACAGATTCCTTTTACATAAATACAAGACGCATACTAAAACTTAAAAGGTCGATTTTCCACCTACAAATCTATAACTTACGGTCTTCGGGATCTTCAGCGATGCGTTTCACATGAATAGCAGAAGTACGTTCCATGAATGGATCAGTGGTAATCACTGCAAGCTTATCTCCTACGGAAAAGTCCACAGACCTAGCCGGAGAACCAAATTTGAATGAGAACAACTGTCTTCCAGTTTTCACCTCCCATATCTTTGCAGTCTGATCAGCACTACCAGTTATCAATCTCGAAGAGTCTCCTACACTCATGAACAAATCACCAAAAAAACTCAGCTAAGAATTGTAAGACTAAAGACAAAAACCCAAGGTTTTGTTATAACCTTTCTATTCAGCAAACATCAACCAAACCCTAAAAACCCCAATTACTTAAGGAAAATTGAATCTATCCATCAACTCATAGCAATGAAAAAAACAAATATTTTCATCAAATTCAACCAAATCGATGCGAGACTTACTTGAGACATCACAAGACCAAACAGCACCATTGTGGCCACGGTAGGTTCCGTGGCGTTCACCGTTATCGGCATACCAGAGAGTGGGAGTGTGATCTTTCGCGCAGGAGAATAGCAGATCACCATCTCTATTGTACCTTAGGAAGGTCAATGGACGTTCATGTCCCTTCATTAATATCGGCCTCATCTTCACAGTACCTCAATCTGAAAACAGATACAGAAGAAATCGATTCACGACAAACTATCAAAACTCAAAAGAGAGTAAGCGGATTTGGGAAATATGAGTTTCTTTTTAACCAGTTAAACCACGGTGAGAAGTTGCAGGCGACGATGACGGCAAGCGAAGAAGAAGAAGAAGAAATACACCAGATTTTGGAATAAAACCCTAATGTTGAATTTTGTGCTCTATTGGACAAATACACCCCTGTCTTACTCATTTACTCGACATGCCGTCAATGCCAGTCTCTAAGAAGTTTAATCCGAATTTCGGTTCAGCTTCGATTCAATTTTTTTTTGGGCTTTCCGGTTTTATTTTTTTATGAATGGTACTAATGAAGTGTTGTAAAAACTTAGAAACTTTATTAATTACTGGAATGTATATATAGAGTACATAGGGAATCTAGGTTAAGTACAATGCCCTGATGGGCCTAATGGGCCGGTATAAGAGTCCATATATGATATGTGTTATAACACTCCCCTTTGGACGAGTGAACCGGGCCAGCTACTCAATCGGGATCTCGATAATGCGCTGGGGAATGTTGCCTCATTAAAACCTTACCAGGAAAAACCCAGTGGGACAAAACCATGGTGAAGGAAAAAGAGTACAACACGCATTACTCCCCCTGATTGTAGCATCACTGCAGATCTCTAAGTCTATACATTCCTATCTGTTTGACGAGCTTCCGGTGTGTTGAAGTAGGCAATGATTTGGTGAAGAGGTCAGCTGAATTCTCACTGGATCGGACCTGCTGAACGCTGAGAGTGCCGTCCTTCTGCCAGTCTGAGGTTGAGAAGAACTTCGGTAGAATGTGCTTCGTCCGATCTCCTTTGATATATCCTTCCTTGAGCTGAGCTATGCATGCCGCGTTGTCTTCATACATCACCGTGGGCTGTGTGTCTTCGTCCATACCACAATCTCTGCGGATGTGCTGAGTCATGGAGCGCAGCCAGACGCATTCCCTACTAGCCTCATGAATGGCTAGGATTTCAGCATGGTTTGATGAAGTGGCAGTGAGTGTCTGCTTCATTGATCTCCAAGAGATGGCTGTTCCTCCATGCGTAAAAACGTAGCCAGTTTGAGACTTGGCAGTGTGCGGATCTGATAGATATCCTGCATCGGCGAAGCCGACTAACCCATCTTTATTTTGGTTAGTATAGAAGAGTCCTAAGTCTTGAGTACCTCGAAGGTATCTTAGGAGATGTTTTATACCGTTCCAGTGCCTCTGAGTTGGAGATGAACTATATCGAGCGAGGAGGTTCACGGCGAAACATATGTCTGGTCTAGTGTGACTAGCCAGGTACATTAACGCTCCTACAGCACTGAGGTATGGCTTTTCAGGACCAAGGATTTCTTCATCATCCTTTTTGGGACCAAGAGGGTCATCACTTAAGCTTCTAACTACCATTGGGCTGGTCAATGGGTGAGCTTGGTCCATATTAAATCGCTTGAGTACCTTTTCGATATAAGCCGATTGATGCACAAGGATTCCTCCTTTGATGTACTCAAGTTGTAATCCCAAACAGTACTTTGTTTTGCCTAGGTCTTTCATTTCGAATTCTGCTTTTAAGCAGTCGACTGTTTGGGAGATCTCACCAGATGTTCCGAGGATGTTTAGATCATCCACGTATACTGCTATGATTACAAATCCTTTGTTTGAGTACTTCTTGATGAAGATGCATGGACTGATGTGGTCATTTTTGTAGCCTTCTTTGATGAGGTAATCGCTGAGGCGGTTGTACCACATACGCCCACTTTGTTTCAGTCCATACAAGGATTTGTTCAGCCTGATGCAGTATTGATCTCAAGATGCATTTTTGTCTTTTAGTTCAATGCCATCTGGGAGTCTCATATATATTTCGTTGTCCAGGGGCCCATAGAGATATGCGGTTACAACATCCATTAACCGCAGATCAAGATTTTCTCTTATGGCCAGACTTATGAGGAATCGGAATGTTGTTGCATCCACCACTGGAGAATAAGTCTCCTCATAATCGATTCCGGGTCTCTATGAGAATCCTTGTGCTACAAGCCGTGCTTTGTATCGAACGACTTCACCGAGTTCGTTCCTTTTGCGCACAAAGACCCATTTGTGGCCCACTGGCTTGATGTGTGATGGGGTCCGGATGATCGGACCGAACACGTTTCTGAGTTTGAGACTCTTTAACTCCACGTTTATGGCTTCTTTCCATTTTAGCCAATCTGTTCGATGTGTACACTGTGTTATTGACGTGGGTTCTAGATCCTCTTGCGTGAGCGCAACATCAAGTGCTACTTTGTATGCAAAGAGTGCATTTAAGTCGACTTCTTTTCGATTCCATTGTATTCCGGACATATTGTAATTGATGGAGATCTCATTGTTATCTTCTGAACCTGGAGATTCGGCGTCCCGAACTTCCATTGAGGGTTCATTAGATTGAGTCTCAGTCGCGGCTATGTCTGATATTGCAGGAATCCCGGTTTCGGTTATTGCACCTTTCTTTGATTTCCGGGGATTCTTATCTTTGGAACCGAGAGGTATGCCCCGTTTGAGACGTGGTGCAGACTCTGTAGCAACTTGGGTCTGTCCCGTTGGGACAGCTATTCGTACTGGTGCATTACAAGCTGGGATGTACGATTTGGTTACTTTGGTCGGGTCAGCAAAGGAATCTGGCAATTGATTAGCTAGCTTTTGATAATGAATAATCTTTTGGATCTCTGAATCACATTCTAGAGTCCGAGGATCTTGCCAATTTAATGATGTTTGATTCCATGAAAGATCTTTGACCAGCTTGTTTGTCTCACCACCTAAAGAGGGATATACCGATTCATCGAATTGGCAATCCGCATATCTGGCCTTGAAGAGATCTCCAGTGGTTGGCTCGAGATATCTTATGATGGTGGGAGAGTCAAAACCAACATATATTCCCATCCTTCTTTGAGGTCCCATTTTGGTTCGATGTGGTGGAGCAATGGGTACATATACTGAACACCCAAATGTTTTGAGATGGGAGATGTCTGGCTCATGACCCGAGAGTAGTTGGGATGGGGAATATTTGTGTTCACTAGATGGCCGGATGCGTATGAGTTCAGCAGCATGTAATACTGCATGTCCCCATGCTGAGGCCGGGAGCTTTGATCTCATGAGTAATGGTCGGGCTATCCATTGAATGCGTTTAATGAATGATTCAGCCAATCCATTTTGAGTATGGACATGTGCTACAGGATGTTCCACGGTTACCCCCATGGCCATACAGTAGTCATTAAACGCTTGTGAGGTAAATTCACCAGCATTGTCAAGGCGGATAGTCTTTAGTGGGAAGTCAGGGAAATGGGCCCGCAATTTGATGATTTGGGCCAAGAACCTAGCGAAGGCTTGGTTCCGAGAGGACAAGAGACAAACATATGACCAACGGGTCGATGCGTCTATAAGGACCATGAGGTACCGGAATGGTCCGGAAGATGGATGTATAGGTCCACAGATATCGCCCTGGATTCTTTCTAGGAAATGAAGTGTTTGTTTAGAGATTTTAACTGGTGAAGGCCGAGTGATCAATTTGCCTTGAGAACAAGCTGTGCACATGAGGTGTTGAGGATAAGCTCGGTTTTCTTTGAGGGTATGCCCTTGAGAGTTTTGAATTAGTTTACGCATCATATTTGCACCGGGATGACCGAGCCGGTCGTGCCAAATAGTATAATCAGTAAACCGGGCTTTGAGAGTGGTATTAGCTTCAATCATACTGACTTTAGCATGGTAAAGTCCAGTAGAGAGCGCGGGTATGGTTTCGAGGATTTGTTTATGGCCGTCTACGGTTTTAGTGACTAGGAGGGATTCTTTGTTCCCTTGACCTTGGGTTTCTATGTGGAAACCATTCTGTCTTATATCCTTGAAGCTCAGAAGATTTCTCTTCGAACTAGGAGAATATAGAGCATCTGGTATTTCAAGTTGTGTGCCATTTGATAGCAACACATAGGCATGGCCATATCCTTCGATAAGGTTTGAGGGACCCGCGATGGTGCTAATATTTGCGGTTTGATAGGTTAGGTTTATGAAGTAACTTTTGTTTCTTAAGATAGTGTGGCTGGATCCACTATCTACGACTATGGTTTCCATTTGCTGGTGTGCTTCATTATGAATAGAAGATAGAATTCAGTATTGAGGAATTCAGAAAATGTGATAAATCATAAAGTAAAGCAGTGTCTGAGAATAAAGGCAAATGGAAAAAAAAAAATGAAACAAATCCCAAAATGAAAAAAAAATAAAGAACAAAATCAAATTGTATCAGAGTTTCAGATGATTGAATTAATCGAGGAGATCAGCTGTTTCATAGTCCATGGGGTCGGTCTGCTCGTTTGTGGTGTTCTCATCATCAAGGAGGTCGTCACCTTCCAGGTTAGCAGCATCGACTGGCTGAGTCATGTTGGCTTCAGCAGGAGCTTTTCCGTACTTCTGGTATAGATCGCAGTGGATCTTGGGGGTGCGACATTGCTTTGTTGGGTGGTTGAACATCCCACATCTGGTACAAGCAGAGTGATCGGGGTTGGTGTAGCGGGTCGGCTTGGTGATGCCTCGACCACGACCAGGACCATAACTGAGGTTAGGTCGGTTGCCACGACCATGTCCGCGTCCACGTCTTCCACGTCCATGTCCTCGGCCATTACCACGTCCATTACCACGTCCACGACGGTGATCTGAGAATCTATCGGGTTGAACATGGTAGGACTCTTGACGAGAAGCTGGGACAGGAGCCGATCCCGGGGGCCTCATAGCGCTGTTCCTCATAAGCTGCTGGTTATTCTTCTCAGCGAGGAGAAGACAGGACAACAAGTCTTCGTACAATGTGTGTTTCATTGCACGGTATTGTTGTTGGAGCACAACATTCTCTGTGCTGAATGTGGATAATGTTTTCTCGAGGAGATCATTATCTGTCACATCCTCGCCACAGAGTTTCCGGATGGCAACAATACGAAAGAGTTCGTTGTTGTAATCATCTACGGATTTGTAGTCCTGGAACCGAAGGTTCTTCCAGTCGAAATCTGCTTGAGGCAACTGGACCATTTTCTGATGGTCATATCGCTTTTTCAGCGCTTGCCACAATTCAAGTGGATTCTCAAGAGTGAGATATTGCTGCTTAAGGCTCGGGGCCAGATGATGGCGTATGTGACATATCGCCTGAGACTGTCCCTTACGGGATGCGGTGTTACCGTCGGTAATACACGCATCGAGTTCTTTCGATGCAAGGAACAAGCGCATGTCTAGGGCCCACTCGAGGTAGTTATCCCCGGAGACGTGAAGGGCCTCGAATTCACATTTCTGAATGTTTGACATCTGAAACATGAGATTGATTTTGTTAGGGATTGTTTTGAGAAAATTTTGAATGCTGATGATGAAACTTTCTATTTTGAGAATATTTTTATTTTAGGAAAGTTTCTAAATATGGAAAGTTTCTAATTTGGGTAATTTTCTAAATGAGGAAAGTTTCTATGTCGGGAAAATTTCTATATGAGGAAAGCTTTTATATGAGGAAACTTTCTATTAGAGGGAACTTTCTCGGAAAAAGTTAATTTAAAGGGTATGGTTTTAGTTACCCCGAACATGATGTCGGTTTAATAGCTGTGATTTAATCGGTTAAAAGCCGAATATAATTTCGGTTAATGAGAACCAGGTTTAACCGGTTTTAGGCGGTTTAGGAGGAACCCTAGGGGAGCCGAATATGATTAGGGTTTTATCTAGGGTTTTAACGGTTTGGAAAACATATTTTGGATGTGATTTCGAGATCTATAGGATCTGTGGTCGATGGTTTTAATAATTTCACAAGGACAACAAAGAAATCACGTGAAAAGGACTAGGGTTTAAGCATTATGACTTACGATTTTGAAGATTACAAAATCGTGAATCAAGTTTAGGATTTAGGGTTGATTTTCTTAGTTTATTCAATCAAGTGTTTCAAGCAAGAGAATCAACAATCAAATAAGCTGCAATAAGCTTATTAAACATGAAGAAAATCGAATAGGTTTATGCCATGAACATGGCCAAAAACGGTTGTTAGGTTTTTGTAGATTAGGGTTTTATAAAACGAGTTTAAAACCTTTGAACATGCATAAACTTGTAATTTAAACAATCAATCAACAAGTTATCAATCAATCATCAGAGTATCAAACACTTTCAATCGATTAGAGATCGATTTTTTTTTTTTTTTTTTTTTTTTTTTTTTAATAGGGTTTTGAAGTATTTAAACAACAGGTTCTATGGCTCTCAGTTTTAGAAGATACCTTTTCCACCTTTGGATTTCTGACAGGCTAATGAAACTGGGAGCTAATAGACCTCAGTTAGCCGCTACAAATTCCAAGGATTGATCACCAAAACTGGAGAAGCTGCTGGTTGAAGAAGGAAAAACTCGGATCTGGTTTTTTTTTTTTTTTTCGGTTGATCGTCGTGTACTGTAAGTGTGCGTGAGAGCGCGTCCGACGTTGGATCGACAAACGGTTTTCACCAGTAGATTCGTCTCGTCGAGGGCTTCGATTTGATATGTAGATCGTCTTCTGGTTCCTCACGGTTTGGAAGATATGCGTCTTTTAAGTTTCGACTTGCTTTTAGGGTTTTGGTGGTGGCCGGATTTATTAGGGTTTTTCGCTCAGAGAGTCTTATCGTGCTGATAACGTGTTGTAAAAACTTAGAAACTTTATTAATCACTGGAATGTATATATAGAGTACATAGGGAATCTAGGTTAAGTACAATGCCCTGATGGGCCTAATGGGCCGGTATAAGAGTCCATATATGATATGTGTTATAACATGAAGTAATTTTTTCTAATTATAATTTAATGAATGATTTGGTTTATTTTGCAAAGAAACTTTAGATTTGAAATTGGATTTTTCTTTTTTGATTCGGTTCAAATTTTGATTCGGATTCAGATACGGTTATCTAGATATGGAGAAAACATGTAAACCATATTTTGGTTCGGTTTTCTGATCAATTATTCTGGTTTTGTTTTGGAGCAAATCAGTTTATCCAAAGTGAATACCCTACTCTAAGTATCACGTCAACCCATCAAACTTGGTATGTTTGGTTTCATGTACTGAATTAGCTCCTTGTCGCCATTTCTATGTTGTTTTAAACTCCATCAAGAGTAGCTTTTCCCCAACTTTAATAGAAAGATAAATTTGGCTATCGTTAAAACTGTAGTGGGATTAGGAGTGGAGTTAAAGATGCTCTAAATACAATTTATCACCGTTTTACACAGCTAGGTAGCATTCATCAATGCTCGTCTTGTTTGCAGTTTCTCCATGTTCACTCTTCTTAAAAGGTTTCATTTTTTTTCACCCTCTTAAACTTTTTCTTGTATAACCCAAAACTTGTAAATGTAAATTTCATACAAACAAAAAAAAACAGAGTTTCTTTTGTTTCTAACATTGTGTCTCAACATAATGTAAATAACCGTACATTTATACACATTCAAATATTACGTTAAACTAGAGTAGCTTTTCCCCATATTGAGAAGCAAAAAAAAAAACTCACTTTTTTATTCTTCAAAGAGATCTCCTTTGAACACAACCAAAGGTAACAACCTTTAACTTTTGATGTGGCCATAAAGAAACAAACATGAAGAGTCTCATATTTCAATGTACCCATCTGAAATCACTGGCGATGGCCTTCTGGTAAAGCTACCACTTTGTGGAAAGGCACTGTTCTTTGTGGTAATGCTCCATCTTCTTCATCGTCATCGAATTCTAGCAAGTACCTGGTGTGATCAGAAATTTATCATAATTCAGTACTTGGGATTCCTAAATCTTGACCAAAAATGCTTAATTAGTTTCTAATAAATATGACCAAAGGTGTGGAGGAACTTACTCGTCAGACTTCCTCTGTAACCGAATGTGCAACATGCAGGTTTGAGTATCTAGAGGTTAGTTTTGTTTTTCTTTTTTTACATTATCGAAACGAGATTGAAATGGTGTGAAAAAAAAAGAAAACTAACCTTTCGTGGGGTACTAATTACAGTCGCCTTGTAAAGAGCTGTGGTTCCTGGATATACAGCTAAGACGTGTTTCCCTGGTAAAAACTCTTGTGTGTTTGATGGATCATTCCGTTTTGGAAACGGTAAAATACACGACATTGATAGTTTATATGTCCTACAATTTTACAAGACAATAGTCAGCAATTTACTCAAAGTCATTGCAAAAGTTTTGAGTTTTTCACAATGAGCCTTAATTTACCTCTGGCCACCTCCTTCCTCGTCATCTCCTGGTTCTTCATCGAGTACTTCAACTCTGTGACAAAAGTTTGAGCTTTTTTAGACCCATTTATGAATCCATTGTAGACGGAAACATATACATCATTGCATCATATACTGGTTTGATCAGATGCATGGCAAGGTTTCAAAATCACTCTTCCAGAGAAAATTTATTATCAGAAGGGTCCAAGCATACTCTTTAGTTTCTCTATCGAAGTGAATGACTTTCACCACAAACCATTCATCCTTCTCGGCGTCATCGGCTGTGACTCTTGCAGCAACCTTACATAAAGCAGATGTCACAATGATTTTCGCCATAAGTGATTCAACTCAAAGAAAAGAAGTAGCTGTTGTTGTACCTGTTCACCCCTTAGACTGGCATATGCCTCGATTTGATTTCTCATGGAAGGAGAAACCCTTGTTACATCTGAATCTACTTTCATTCTCTTCCTCTTCTGATCGTTGCCTTCTGCCACTTATGTGATATCATTACAAGCATCGGAAAAATCTTAATCCCTCTTATATATATCAAATCACTGGAGAAGTTTGAGACTCAAAAGAGTATCAAGTCTGCGCTTTCTCACAATAGCAATTTAGCCCAAAGAGTAAACACTACAGGACAATACCAAAGGTCTAATGGTAGTCGAAGTATACCTAGTTTTCTCCGTTGTTGCCCAGTTGGTCCAGATGGAAGCAGGGAATCCAACTGAGTAAGAAGAATGTTTGAAACACTGCGTTGAACACAAAACATCGAGATTAGTGTTTTAAAGCCAAAATAAGTTAAGCAGTCTTTTTTTTTGGGTACACCAACAACGGTGTCCTTTAGTTGTATCACTCTCTATCTCACTCAAAACTTTTGTGCTCGTCGATGTAACAATCAAAAGGAAATGATGGAGGAATCAGGCTTACGTTACTTCACTTTCTGAAAGCTCTTTTGCTTGAATGTACAAATTTTTAAGCTTTGACAATGAAGTATCACCAGGCTTCTCAACTATCTCAGGCGCTGCATTTGAACATAATCACCAGATAATTTAGTAAGTAGATGAGCATTAGAGCCTCCATAAAGATGTATATAACCGCTACTGGTCATGGAAACATTATAAATAAACAGAAAGAGATTGTTTATGACTCCTTCAATAGCTTAACCATTAGGCGGCTAAATATATCTGATACCATCAAATGAGGATATTTATCACACAATATACAAATCGAAAGCAAAAATTAAGTCACAATAACTCTAAGCTAATTGGCTGAGCAAGCTTCACAATGTATGATAGTACTAAAAAAGAGCACTTTCGTGGGAAAAATGCATCAGATTCTCATTAGTTTGTTGCCAGAACAGATACTCCGAGAAATCGAGTTCATTGTGGGGGGATACTTTCTAAATACGAAATCAGGGTTTAATCAAGAAGATTCACAAGAACAAATGTCAAAAGGAAAAACTATTAAATTTGGCTAAATCCTTTCCACACTAAATCATGTACATAAAGTTAAACCAATCTCTCTACATTACAACAAAGGTCCCGTGAATGATTTAAGTCTCTCATTTGGTCTCTTGGCAGATAATAGTATTTAATAAATTCGAATATACCAACATCTAATTTGTATGAATGTAGTCAATTATGGAATCATATAACATTACTAATTAATTACATTAGATAATTACTTCAAGATCCAAAACCTCAAACTATCAAAAATAAGAACTAATCGAACAAAATCAGTACCAATTGAAATCACGGTCCAGGGAAGAAGATCGAATCCAGTCTCAGATCATCAAAAATTTGGGAAATGAATACCATAATTTGTTAAAAATGGAAAACACTTACTAGCTTGAAGCTTCTTATGCATCTTGTTAATCTCCACAAGCACTTCCTCTTGTTCTTTCCTTAACCGATCAAGCTCTTTCGTGTTATCCAAGATTCCGGCAATGTCCGGCGATGAAGACATCGTCCTCAGGCTGCTGCAAAATCGACGACACGAGCCCGAAAAAGAAACCCCAGAAATTCAGGCAGATTAAAATTGCAATCAGCAAAGTATCATCAATTTCTTGTGGAAACTCAAACAAAAATTAATAATCAACGTTCCGGAGTTCAATGTTGAAACATAGGAGGAAAAAAATCTCAGAAATGATGGAAGAAAAGAAAAGATCTGAGTTTTTTTTTTTTCGTTTAAAATTCAAAATCCAAGTCGAAATTTTATTTTGTTTTGTTAGATTTTTGATTCAGTTCAAGAGAAGTTACGACGTCGTTTTATCGAAAGGGAAAGTTTTTCAAGTATATTCCATATATACTTGCAGTTAATGGAGCATTAGGGGTGTAATCTGGATGCACCGTTACAAGTCAGATCAAATCTAAAATTCCGATTTGGAAAGGACCTAACGTTTTATTTGAACCAGACCCAAAAAAAAACTAGTAGTAAGACTTTCAGCTTTGAAATTAAGAAATATATTTAACGATAGCTTAAGATCAATTTAGACTAAAATTTTATTACACTTTATACTATTGTTAATGAAAAAGAAAAGAAGAAAAGAACATATGTGGATCATCTCTTGATGTGTGATTTTATAAAATTAATATGTACATTAATATATTCATAATCACTATTAATTGATGTCTTAATCTGTGTGATGATAAATTTTATTTGTGCTACCCGTGAATAGCTTAATAATGGTTTTTGCCGCTTCTAAACTCCCTCATTCCTTTTGCCACGTGTATCTCATGTCTTAATTAAATGGGACTGAATGAGAGGCCCAATTTAGATTGAATCAGGCTTCTTGATGGGCCTTAAATAATCGATGCGAAGTTAAAAAGGTCTGAATGATAAAATTAACTTAACCCGAAGTTCGCAAGAGACAATTTTAGTCAAGGAGTTACAGAATTTTGAGTTTTGAGCTGCCGATTTTGCCGTTTCCTGCAATAATTTCGACAAAGCGTGGACCATTTCTGGTGGTTTCAAAGACGAAGATCTCGAAACGTTGAAGCGGAACCAGTTACGAATTGTGATCGACGTTTTATGACTTCTGTGTTTGTCGGATTCTGAATTTGGTGTTTTCTTCTCTCTGCCTCCAATAGTCAGAACAGGACCAAAACTTGTCTCCTTTGATCCTTTCTTTTTCGGTATATGATCGCATGTTCTTCGCTTTTTGGATTATTTTCTGTCGGTGATTACGTTGCAGTGTTTTGTTGTGGCTATAGACTGTTGTCGTAAGATAGAAAATTTGGAGTGCAGAATTGGTATTTCCACTGAGCAATGTCTTTTTTTGGTTTCCTGTTTAAGTAAGACTTTGTTAATTTAGGAATGGATTGTTGTTTTGGTGTGATCCTAGGTTACTTGGTGAGATTTTATTAATTTAGACGCATGCTATTGAGGAATTGAGAACAATTGATATTTATCCATTGAAATGGTGAAAAATGGATTTATGATTCTGCTTGGGAAAAGCTATTCTTAGACGATGCTATTGTGGATTGGTTAAGTATATCGAATTTCCACTCTGTGATGCTCACAGAATTGAGTGTTTTGCAAAGCTCGTTTCTTTCAAGATCTTAAAGGATTGGTTTTAAGTTGATGAAGTTGTCTTATTGTTTGTAGTTAGAGGAATCAAAGAGTGCTATTGGGAGTTTGGGACGAAAGTGAAGGAATGAAAATGTGCAGTTCTTTGTAGCACAACTTTAAGCCTGCACAGAAAGTAGATATCAGATAACGACCTGTAGGTATATTACTGAGGTAGGTGCTTTTGCTTTTGCTTTTTTTTTTACAGGTCTTAATCAATATAGAAGCAGTACACTAACTTAATTAAGTATCTATGTGAATTAGTAGTATAGTTATTATTATTTCAATCGTTATCTGTATTAAATATTCAAATCACGTACATTTCTCTTTTGAGATACAGTGGAACAATGAGAAGACCCAGTCAAATGATGAGGCTTCTAATAACTTCCTTTTTTGGGGTTATAGTCGGTTTCCTTATGGGTATTACTTTTCCAACCCTAACCTTAACTAAGGTAAAAATAGTTCTTTGCTTGGTGCAGCATATCTAAACTTTTTTCATTCATTTTAAACTTAGAGATTATGTCATTGCTTACACGGTAATGGGTTTTAATCTGCGTGTTTTGAAATGGTTAGATGAATCTTCCATCCACATTGTTCCCTTCCATCGATCTTGCATACATTGAGGATAAATACACAGACTTATCCAGACAGAGACTGTTTGGTGCTTGGTCTTCCACAAAGGGCCTCAAAATCAAGAAAGACATCCCTGATCCACCCTATAACTATAATGACACTAAGGTTGGGATTTGCTGCTTGTTAGTTTTTTATATGTTTTCATCAAAAATGGATGATAGAACTTTCGAGCTATTGCAGATATGGGTTCCTACTAACCCCCGTGGTGCTGAGAGGCTACCCCCAGATATAGTCACAACTGAATCAGATTTGTACCTCCGTCGATTGTGGGGTGACCCAAATGAGGTTCATAAATTTGAATCTACTGGCTTTACATCATTATGGCTTCAAGATCATGACACAGTTCGTTGGTATGTCATGCAGGATTTAACAATCAAGCAGCGTTATCTAGTAACATTTACGGTTGGTTATGATCAGAGGAAAAATGTAGACACTGCGTTGAAGAAGGTATCCTGCCTCCCATGCTTCTTTATTCTTTCCTTCTCCTTTTATCATTGCTTAAATTTTGCATTTCTCAGTTCTCAGATAACTTCACTATAATGCTGTTTCACTACGATGGCCGGGCCAGTGAATGGGAAGAATTTGAATGGTCCAAGCGAGCCATTCATGTGAGCATTCGGAAACAAACAAAATGGTAGGAGATTTAATTTCCTTAGTAGGAACTTATATCGTCTTTCTTGTGAGATTTACTAAAAAAAATTATGAATTTTCCCTGAAGGTGGTACGCCAAGCGATTTCTACATCCTGACATAGTTGCCCCCTATGAATATATCTTCATATGGGACGAGGATCTTGGCGTGGAACATTTTAATTCGGAAAAGTATGTTTTTGAAGCTTTGACTTCCTTAAAATGACCATTTCAGGTTATGAAGATTTAAATTTCTTTGACAGATATCTGGCGGTGGTAAAGAAACATGGTTTGGAAATCTCACAGCCTGGGTTAGAGCCATATGAAGGGCTCACATGGGAGATGACAAAGAAAAGAGACGACACTGAAGTCCACAAGTTAGGATAATAAAGTTTCTTAGTTCTTTTATTACCATCCCCCTGATCATATTCAACAGCTTGCACTTACTCTATATTTCCATTCATATTTTTTTTTTTTTTTGCAGGCATGCTGAGGAGAGGAATGGCTGGTGCAATGATCCAAATTTACCCCCTTGTGCAGCGTATGCTACTTTACTTACCTATCAGTATATACTTCCTTTTGTGTTTCATAAATTATTAGCTCTTGATTTGGGTGGAGGGTGACTATTTTCATCATTCATGCTTATGTAAACAACAAGCAGATTCGTCGAGATTATGGCTCCTGTTTTCTCCCGTAAAGCATGGCGCTGTGTGTGGCATATGATTCAGGTATGCAAAAGAACCGAATTCCGAGTCCTCTTTGTTTAAGGGACTCAAAAAAAAAAAAAAAGATTTCAATTGTATACCTTTGTATCTGCAGAACGATTTAGTCCATGGGTGGGGTCTGGACTTTGCGGTTCGAAAATGTGTTCAGGTCTGATACTCCACTTCCTTTGGACACACTTAGATCCACGTTTAGAGATATCTGTGTCAGGGGTTCTTTACCTACACGTTATTAAAAGTTAATTAATCTTGCAACTAATAGAACGCGCACGAGAAAATTGGAGTTGTAGATGCTCAATGGATTATTCATCAGGGTGTTCCATCACTCGGGAATCAAGTACGCCCTCAAATCCCTGTGTGCTTTATTTTCTAGGCTACTAAGCTAAGATTTTGGATTTTATGTATCACAACTCTCCATTTAGCGTTTGACTGATTCCCATCATTCAGTAGAAGTATCTAGTAATTATATCTATACTACATTGAACACAATAGTTAATTAGTCTCCTCTTTTTTTTCTTTTGTGTATCTAAAATCTGACAGGGACAACCAGAGCAAGGGAAACAACCATGGGAAGGGGTAAATATCATTACAAGAACAAACCAACTAATCCCTGAAGTCTTTTTTTTTTTCGGTTATACATTAAGATTCTCTCACCTTTGTCATCTAAGATACTAACACAAACTCTTATCTGATTTTATCTACTATCGTAGGTGCGTGAAAGGTGCAGGAGAGAGTGGACGATGTTTCAAGACAGATTGGATAATGCAGAGAAAGCTTATCTTGAAGCATCTGCTCACAACAATGCTTCTTCACGGCTTCACCGGTGAAAAAAAAGAAAATAAAAGCCTCTGACTCTAACTTACACTCTCTTTGCTTTCATTTTCCTATCTGCCAACGAGAAAATCCCAAGCATATTCATTAACCTCTTCGTCTGCTTCTCTCTTTTAGTTTTTCTTTGTTTTTTTTGGTTCTGTGTTAGATCACATCATTGCTATGAGATTCACAGAGGAGAATATAGATAAACATTTTCCGCTATTCACTTGTATCAGATGTTACAGTGAGGTATTTTAAATTCTAATCAAATATAAAGATTTTAACTTCTGGTACGAATTTTAGATATAAATTTAGTGTGGTGCAAAGTTACAGTGAGATGTTAAAAAATGGGAAGCTAATTAGCTCAATGCGTCTTATGTCGTGCTTAACTTTATTTATGAGAGTCTATTTGCTCCACGTATCTAATAACTACCAAAAAAAAACACCCCACTTAACGTATATGCATGAACATGATTTTTCATTATGTTTTACTACTAAGTTTTAAAAGCTTGTTTCGTATTTAATATGAATGACAAATTACAAAGGCTGAAGGATACCAATGAGTACCTTGAAGCTGAAGGAGAGGAGGCTCAAAAAATGAGTCCGAATACTGGAAAACCCCAAACTTTAAAAAGAGGGAGACAGAGAAAGCAATACTTTGAAATTTGAGAAATCCAAAAGCCTCACAAACTAAGCCACATGAGGTACAAGGACAGTCGCACAGTCGCATGTTATAGTTTTCAGGTAATATAAAATGTTGGTAGATGATTACCAATCGGTTCACATTAACTTTCAATTCAAAATCGTGGCAGTGGAGAACAGTTCAAAATTAACTTGACCGCATCTTCATGTCTTGGTTCATTGATCCACGGAGGGATCCTGAACTTCATGTTGAAACTCTTCCATGATTCTTTGAAACGAATGAGACAATATAAAGAACAGTAGAACCTGTCGTAATGCCAATATTCATGAAGCGTGAAAGGTCCTGGGCAGTGGCAATGACAGTTGCTGCAAGTTGGCCGTGAAGAGCTACTGTTAGACAACAATTCAATCTCGTTGTTGAACGGAACTCCTGATTTGACGCACTTGAAATCCCCAAGCACACAGAAAACATGCAAAGTAACCCCGCAATGTTCACAAGTGTAGAACCAAGTCTCTGGATCTGTTTCTCTTTCGCAAACATCGCACCAATACTTTCCGCTTGCCTTTTCATCACCGTAACAAAGAGTGAGTGGATGATCATCATACCTGTCAAGCCTTACCGTTAATGGTAGAGTGGCACAACGAAAGTCCAAGTAGAAGCTGCATTTGGTGCAACCTAAGACCATTCCTTCTATACGTTTGCCGCAACCCCGGCATGTCTTGATAATCTCATCATCACGCTCTACGTTGTTGATGAAGAGTAAAGGATGAGAATGACTTCCATGGATAAACGGCTCCGTAATCGTACTGCATAGTAAGTCGAATTTCTTTGAATAATGCTCTCTATACATGAATCCTCTGCCACAGTGTTGCAAACAAGCAGAGCACTTATTATACTCGATCGCTACCGTGTTCATGTTGGTGAGAGTAAGAGGTTTTGTGCTTAGAAAATGTCGTTTCTTCTTCGGAAGATTAGCACATGTTTCATGTAGAATGAAACTGCAATCTGAGCAGCAGTAGAACGTGTTAGAGCCAATGGGACGAACACATGCATCACACAAGATGCTTTCCTCCAAAGCTATACCATCTTTGTTGAGGCTCAGGTTATGTTCACTATGAGCGAAATGAGTGATCGTGTTGTCATCATTCGTCTTGAATGGCTCGATATCTTCAACTTGTTCAGGTACCCCATCAAGCTCTTCCCCATCCCACACGTCATCTCTTATTGCACATCTTGAATGAACAGCATAATTATTAGGACAGGTTAAACAAGAATAAGCCCCACAGGACCAATCAATGCCTTCCCAACAAACTCCACATTTCCATTCTCCCGGACCAAGAGGATACGTGTAATAAACTCGGTGCTCATGGCGATTAATGTGAATGACACGTGGTAAATCAGCACAATGTCCATGGATCATGAAATCGCATTCAAGACAGACATAAGGAGCACGGTCGCCTTTCTCCCCACAAGCATCACAAACGAATGAGACTAATCTTGGCATAAGTTTAAGCGTTGGCTCATGGATCTTCAGATTTGAGAGAGAAACTGGTGGTGGTCTTTTGATCGCACAATCAGGATCCAAGTTGAACTTACAAATATCACAATGATAAAGTAAGTTCCCAGTGTTAACTCCACACAGATGACATTTTAGATCAGTGTAGTCGGGAGCTCCTTCAGTGAGAAGCTTAAGAGAGTGTTTGGCATGACAATTGTGAGTGATCTCCGGTGATTCAAATACAGAGACACATCTCTCATGAACCGTCAACCTACAAAGAGGGCAGAAGTAGCCATTGCGGAATCTAAGACCACAAAAATCGCATTGGAGACAACCATTAAGGTTGACCAAGAGCAGAGGATGATTGTGCCATGCCATCTCCACATTTGCTCGTGCACACATGGCATCAACCATGCACTCAATGTCCAAATTGAGATTACATACGGAACAATGAAAAAGAAGGCATTTGGTGTTTTTACCGCAGATATGGCATTTCGGATCGGTGTTACCAGGAGCCCCTGTTGTGAGAAGCTTGAGACCATGTCCAACATGAAGAGGGTGCTCGAACAATGTCTCTTGTGTGTTAAACACAAAGGCACATTTCTTGTGAACAGTAAACTTGCATTCATCGCAAAAGTAGCCGTCGCGATAGGACCCGTCGCAAGCATCGCATTGCAAACCGTCACGATCGCTAAGGATGGACAAAGGATGCTCGTGTCCTTGCAAAGGTACCATCTTATTCATGGCTATTTTGTGCTTATGCAAATCAATGTTTGGGTAGATGGACTTTTAGTTTCGTGTAATAATGGATTGCTGTTCATCTACCTATACTTTAATCAATTGTCACTTGTCATATTTATATGTACGCATTAAATATTTACGTTGACAAATCTACCAATAATAGAGCTAGTGGGCACGTATTTACTATTGAGTCTTTATTAGTATTTTTTTTTTAGTATTTTTCTTAAAATAGTCTTTGTTATTGTTAGTTGAAACGCTAACCTAGGTTATCCTCTCTGATTTTGTCTGCCATGTGAGTTTTCTTCAACTTCTTTACTTTCTATTCTTTGCTCTTCTAATCCTCAACAGACAAGATTTCCCCCTTGTTAATTCTTTTGATAGTCCATCTCATATATTATTGGTAACATATTCTCACCACAAGTCCATAGTTACTTTTATAGATGTGCTCTAAATTATTCATATCGGGAAGATAAGTCACTAACTAGTTGTGGTCTTTGAATGGAACTCCTGAGCACGATAAATCTCTTAGCACTTGTTCTTCTGCCCTTTGTTGTTCCCAAGATATGGGAAGCTTGTTGGATCATCGTTTTGCGGCCATTGATGCTATCAAGAAAGTTCAAGAAACAAGGAATCACAGGCCCAAAGTACAGATTCTTGTACGGGAACCTCCAGGAGATGAAGAAGATGAAGAAAGAAGCTAATCTTCGAGTTCTCGATCCAAACAACAACAATATCTTCCCTCATGTGTATCCACATTATCACCAATGGATATCTCAATACGGTGCCGTTTCTGTCCATCTCGAAATTGTTCTCATCTCTTTATGTGTCCTAACACACAAGCTGTATCTATGATGATAATATATATATAACAGGAGAAACGTTTCTATACTGGAATGGAACAAAAGCGACAATATTCATCTCAGATCCTGAGCTAGGGAAACAGATCTTGTCGAGCAAGTTTGGTTTCGCTGTAATAGCAAAGACAAGACCCGAGGTCTTCATAGTTTTCGGTAAAGGACTCCCTTTTATAGAGGGTGATGACTGGATTCGCCATAGACGAATCTTGAACCCTGCTTACTCCATGGACCGGCTCAAGGTCTTCTATATTTACAATTCTTATATATTTAGTACTTGTGATAAGCTCCATCTGATCAGAACGCTTTATTTGCTAAAACATTTGTCAGGTCATGACGAAACTGGTAGTGGGTTGTACCTTGAGGATGTTGGAGGAGTGGAGAAAACAGAGGAATGGTGAAGAAGAAGTTGTGATGAAGATGGAGATTAAGAAAGAGTTCCATAGATTAACCGGCGATTTTATAGCGACCACTGCGTTTGGAAGCAGTTACGCGGAAGGAATCGAATTGTTTAGAGCACAGGCTGAGCTTGGGGAATATTATGTTACTTCACTCACTAACGTCTTCATCCCCGGAACACAGTAAGTCGTAGTAGTCTAGTTAATTTCCTTCAGACAAAAGTAACTTGCAATAACATATGTTCTTGAGATTTGAAGGTTTTTTTTTTTTTTTTTTTCTTATAAGATACCTTCCAACGCCGACCAACCTTCAACTAAGGAAGCTCGATAAGAAAGTGAGGGACTCAATCAAAAGAATTATAGCTGCAAGGCTAAAATCGAATTCCAACAACTATGGAGACGATCTTCTTGGGATCATGTTGAAAGCTACAAGATCTGAAGACGCTGAGAAAAAGATGAGTATGGATGAGATCATAGAAGAATGCAAGACTTTCTACATCTCAGGGCAAGGAAATAGTTCTCTTCTGTTGACATGGACTACGATGTTGCTGTGCTTGCACCAAGACTGGCAAGAGAAACTCAGAGAAGAGGTTTTCATTGAATGTGGTCAAGATAAGATCCCTGATTCAGACACCATCTCCAAACTCAAACTGGTAATTTTCAAAAACGGTTTCTTGCGTTTGAAGAAATGAAAACGGGGTTTCTTGTGGCTGAAGAAACCTATTTTGAACTATCTTGCAGATGAACATGGTGTTGATGGAGTCGCTGCGTCTGTACGGACCCGTGATTAAAATGGTCAGAGAAGCAACACAAGATATGAAGATAGGACACTTGGAGATCCCCAAGGGCACGAGCATAGTCGTCCCGTTTCTGAAGCTGCACACCGACAAGGCCATATGGGGAGAAGACGCCCATCAATTCAATCCATTGCGGTTCCAAAACGGCGTTTCTCAAGCAGCCAACAACCCAAACGCTCTACTTCCTTTCTCGATCGGACCAAGAGCTTGCATTGCCCAAAACTTAGTCATGATCCAGACCAAGACTGTGCTCACTTTGATCCTTCAGCGGTTTAGGGTTAGCCTCTCACCCGAGTATAAGCACACGCCGGTTGATAACTTCAATCTCTATCCGCAATACGGCCTACCCGTAATGCTTCAGCCTCTCGATACTAGTGCTCGACGGTGAGGAAGAGAACAAACTAAGAAAATTCTCAACGGATTTGGTCAAGTTAATTATATGTTCTATAATTAGACTTCATCAAAAATAATAAAAGTTAAGATGATATATACACTTACATAAAACGGGTAATTCAAATTATATGATTTTTCTTTAGATAAACAAAGAACTATGCTAGAAAATTATTTAGTTAAGTCTTCATGGCTATTGGATGAGAATAACGTGGTATAAACGATACTCGTGCCCTTCTAAAGCCACCGTAGTCATGGTTGTTGCGTGTGTTAGAAGTGCGTAGAATGCGAATTATTAATGTTTGGATAATTGTGGACTTTTGTTCTTCTTCTTTTTTTTTGTTATTTACATCGATGATGAACCCCAATTTATCCGATGGATGAGCAAAATCTTTTGCTTTATCGATCCATGATCCCTCATATATATAGAATAATTTGGATCGAAACCAGATAACGGAGTTCAATTATCATGATGAAACCCTACGTTTTTTTTTTTTGGGGGGGGGGGGTTTAAAACCCTACGTTATCAACCAGTGATCACACCACACGTGGATTGAGGACTTATGGGATTGTTCGGATTGTTACAACCTCTAGCAGATGGTTCGAAATTGATTCTAGAAGAACTTTGTTTTATTTGAACATTAATTAGTATCTTTAACCAAAATGACATTAATTAGTATCGTATTAGGAGGATCCTGTCCCGCTCAGATGTTGTCTGCAGGCATGTGAGTTTACTCTTATCTTTTTGCTCTTCCAAGTTCCAACTCTCCGAGAGGCAAGTTTTCCCCATTTTTAATTCTTTCAAATTAAATAACTGAAAAAAGTCATTACCAAATCAGAAGACGGAGGATAGAAGCGAAAGTCATGACAGCTCAGCTTCCAGATTGATCAATATTGTACGTGATTTTTGTTTTCCTAGGCGCTATCTGGTGTGTCTTATCATTAAACCTTTCATTGTGGTTTAGATGGCAACAAAAAAAACTAATAAAGGTTAACTAGGTGGCTGGCCCACGTCCTGCTGATGCTCTTCAAAAATTTTGTTAATTTTGAATGTAATTAATTTTGAATGTAGTACATAAATAGTTTTTTGTGTTTTAAATTTAATATTCGATTCATATTTCGAAAGCTTGTTGAGTAAAAAATGTAATATTCAAACTATAATTGGAAGCTTATAAATTGATTTGTATAATGTTTAATATATATACTTAAAAAAACATATTATAACAACTGATCATTTAATAATTTTTTAATTCAAACAAACAGAACTATTCAAAACATTATCATATTGAACACTAATTCATAATATAAGAAGATCCAAAAGATAAATCAGTTAAATATAATAAAATTTAAAAGATAAAACAGTTTAAAAATACCAATGACCACCAAAATAATATAACTAATATCCAATGTAATCTAAACATACTTTTAGTAGCAAACAAAACAATCTATTCAAACCAACCGCGAATTTCTATAAATGTTTTCAAACACGTCTTTGTAAACAACATTCATTGTCTTCTTTTGTGCTTTGCCATTCATATATGTAATAAGAATCTTCAACCCTTGGCGTGATGTAACTCTAGACACGGCGACATAAAGTTGACCATGCGAGAACACTGGCTTTGGCAAATATAATCCCACCTTTTGTAGAGTCTGACCCTGACTTTTGTTTATAGTCATAGCAAAAGCTATGGTAATAGGAAACTGCCTCCGGCGCATTCTAAAAGGAAACCTTGCTTCTGGTGGTGACACAAACATTCTAGGTATGATAACCTTTTTTCCTATTTTCTTTCCGGTTATATGGCTTGCCTCGATTACATGCCTAGCTAACCGAATAATAAGCAACATCGTACCATTACACAAACCACCCTTAGGATCAATATTTCTAAGCAACATTATTGGAGCTCCTATCTTTAACTTGAGAGAATGATTTGGCAGCCCTGATACCTTTATACTATTAAGATACTCCTGTGTATAGACGACTTCGTCTATTTTGCTTGTGTCTGAAGTATCAATGCTATCAGCACTAAGGTATTCATGTTCCTCACCTAATAAAAACAATTCAAACTATGTTAGTACTGATATATTTTAATTATAATATAAAAATACGTATTAAAAGGAATTGTGATAAATCATATAACGAAGACCTTTGAGTTCTGATAGCATGAATTCATTAATAACGTCGACATCCTGATTCCGTGGACTGAGTATTGCCCTTTTCTGAAAAAAAACTGGTTCACGAGTGGTTGTGTAAGATTGACCATAAATCTCCGAGACTATTCTCTTAACAGGATCACCTTCTCCGCTTATCAGCAAATCCGCTGGAATTTCTAATTCATCTTCTATGGTATCATGAATATTTAGTTTTCCATCACCAATATCCAAGATCCACTTGGCGAATTCTTCAATTTCTTGATTATTAAAATCATTATCGCCACGAAGCAGTCTTATATTTGTCTTTAGCTGCAGAACTTTGCAATCAGACCAAATATGAGAAGAATTCACAGTTGCCAATATAGTCTCTGAGCTATTGCCTCCGACAATAACAGGGAGTATTTGTCGAAAGTCACCACCCAAGACAACGACCTTTCCACCAAAGACCTTATCACACTTTAGTATATCACGCATAGCCTGATCCAATGTCTCAAAACAATGCTTGCTCATCATCGGAGCCTCATCCCATATAATAAGATCGTCTGCTTCAATCAGCTCTGCTTGGTGTGATCCAGAACTCACATTACAGAATGTATACTCGTTCACAACTATGGGTATTCCAAACCGAGAATGCGCTGTTCTTCCTCCCTCTAATAACAATGCTGCAATGCCACTTGATGCAACATTGAGAACTATTTTTCCTTGAGAACGAAGAGCAGCGCCTAAAAGCCTCCATAGGTACGTTTTACCTGTCCCACCATATCCATAAACAAAAAACATTCCACCGATACCTCTTGTAACTGCATCCATTATCTCATTGTAGATATCCTTCTGTTCATTGGTTATTGTTGAAAACAACTTGACATGATCGTTTGCAAGTTTTGCACGATCGTATGATTTCTCATCCCGAATTAGATGATTTGATTTCTTATACTTTCCAATATCATCAGGGACTGGCATCTCTTCTTTATAGTCGGATAATGAATGACCGTTTCTGCGCATATACTTCTCTATATCTGACAAACCAAGATTCTTATATTGGGCTTCAGTCAACACCAAACCTAGATATACAAATAAGTCTGTTAGCAACTAAGATAATGTGAATCTTGTAAAATAGTCTAAAATTTCAAATCCATCTTACCTGGGTCATTCTCTTCACGCCTTTTCTGATATAAGAAATCCTCTGTTAATATTTTCCAAGTAGCATTCCAGACATTGATCGGAACTGCTACACTACTCGAAAGAAGCATTATAGCAAAAAGTTTACGAAGAAACTTTCCAGTTCCCCAAAAACTGGCCTCTTTAATTCCTTCGATGTAGTCTTTATCATCGTCTAACAAACCAAGCGCAAAGCATGCTTCTCGGAAGGAAGAGTATATAACACCATTAACCTTTTTTAAGTCATCAAAACTCTCAGGGCCCTTGACTATATTGAGAAGAATCCTCAAATGATATGCGTCTTCAGCGGAAGGTAAGACATACACCAGTCTGCCTATGGCAAAACCTTGTTTTCGTATCCTCCATTGCCGCTGCTTTGAGATCCAGACGAATTTTGTTGGGAAATCAGCATATGTTAGCTCCTTTGCCAAGGCATGTTCCTTGTTTGCCTCCATCCACGCTATAAATTGTGACTGACCTACCGATGCCTTGTTTAAGACTTGGTCAACGCTCTCTCTTTCGTGATATATACACATTTGTTTACCAGGCAAATGAAACGAAAGTTGCATTATTGCCGTGGTTCGGTACTGTGTAGGAATCTTTAGAAGCCTCCATGAAGATTCATACGGTGAAATGTATCTAAGAATGAGCAAATCAAACAGAAATAAATAATCTTCTTTTTTTTAAATCATACTTAAGTAATTATTCAAGCGATCTAATCTTAAAAATTAGTTTCGCAAAGTTACCTACAATTGAAATGTTGCTCAACCTCATCTTGGGATATAACGGGGTTACCGTCTTCATCCTCGATTGCTGCTCTAATGTAATCTGGACCCTTGTTTATATATTTGAATAGGTACTTTATAGACATGGTTTGGTTGCACCACTCAACGTTAACATGTGCCCGAAAACGCTTTAAGAGATCTGGATTATATGGGACAACATATCGGTTATCACACAAAACACCCCTCTTCAGAATGGTTCTTTGATCCATACGACGTCTATAGGTGGGGAAGCCAGCATCATCGATTTTAGTAACTGATCCAGTAGGCTTAGGAAAGAATTTTGTACACCTTTTCTCATGCATACAAACATTTTTTGGATTGTCATCGCCGCATGGTCCATGTATCATCAAGTCTCCAACAATTTCGTACAAAATTGGATCCAAGTCCTTGTCCGGTATCTCTGCTGATATAAATCTATCTATGTCCTCGCCTGTTGGTAGTTTGGATTCGGGTTTCAAGAAAACAACCATGTGGGCATGTGGCAATCCTCTTTTTTGGAATTCAATGGTATACATCGCTGAAATAAAAGTAAAACAATTAGAAAAAGTTCAAAATACATATAATAAATCGAATTAGTACCTATACGTTAAGTATAAGTTGGCACGATTTATATATTATGACTCTTTACTTATATTTAATCTTTTTGACATACCTGAGTTAACGTGGCCTATAACGTGGTCTTTCGTTAGATAATTCACTAAATTATCGAGCTTCATTTTAAAAATCCTGCAACAAATATCTGGTTGATCCTCGATCTTTAGATCATGTTTTTCCAAAAACCTCGTTATCTCAGGCCATTTTGGATTGCAAGTAATTGTTATGAAAAAATCCGGGTATCCGTAGTACTTGCATGTTGTCATCGCGTCTAGATAATGTTTCCTCATGAATCTCTTACTTCCCGTGAATGAAGCAGGTATAAGCACCTTTTTTCCTTGTTCAGAAAGATCATTATTGCCACGTTCACCAGATTGTTCAATCTTATCAAAGCTGTCACACCATAGCTTCTTTTGATTTTGCCATATATAACGAAGCCTATTTGATTCTACCATCGTATATGTGTCAACCAGAAACTGCTGATACAATCTCCCAGACATCATAATGATTGGGGATTCTCCATGCCTGTCTTGAATGCGAAATGCGAAAAACTCGCGCATTGTAACGGTTGTGCGTTTCCTTCCAGATGTA